TTATTTGGACATCCGCCATATTCACATGCTGATCTTCAAATCCAATTAATACTGTTGAAAACTATTGAGCGAAATAGGAGATGAGATCACTGCTCAGCGTCAAAAAGACAAAACAAATGTCGCAGTCCTCTCCATTCTTTAAAGGCTGCAACACTTAATTAAATAGCTCACGTCATTTAAGCCTTTTAAGTTTTTAGTTCCTAAGTTGCCTATATTGTTAACTGTTTAAAATAGCAACAAAAATATTGCTTCCACCATACTAAAAGCTGAATTGATCTTGTTAACTTAGCAGCTTTCATCACTGTTTTCAACTTGATATCCGTTAGACTTGATGAAAAGCTTTGATAATGTAAAAGGAATCTATGTAAGGTTTAGATAGGGAAAGACTGTAGCTATACGCCTTGAGATTTTTTACTTTTTGATGACAGCTTGAATGTCAGATCAGTCAATAAGACGATAATACAGCAGCTCTCTACAACAGGGAGGGGCGTTTAGTCGTATTACTAATCACAAATATTTCTTAGTAAATAAATTCGATTATATGTGTATTTACAATGTACATGCAAATGAAATTTTAGGTCGAAAATATTGTAATATTTTTTTTATTCTCAATTTCAGTACATTATGACTCTAGTAGCATTTCAGTTAATGAGGTCATGGTCTAGTTTGTATTCTCGACAGCAGAGAACAAGACACACAAATCTAATACACAGGTCTATTCAAAAGGGGTTGGTGTTAATCAACTTTAACATTAAAAAGTTACAGCACGCGAGGGTGGGGGATAAAAACTGTACGTGTGCCAACACCTCTGGGTGAGTTCCTAAAAATTTGACTTCACAATTTCAACAAGGTTGAAAATAGATACCACAGCCGGTTCAAACCTTCTGTTGCCAAACTACATACCCCTTTCTCTCAGACAAACAGTCAGCATGTGAAAAGAGGGCGTAGCAGTTGGAAAAAAGTTGAGAAGTGGAATTATACAACAAGTTGATGAAATAACATCAAATATTATTTTATTTGATCTTAGATCAGATCTTACGATTTCTTGGATGGTTTGGATCAATTGCCGATCGTTAAAAATGATCAATATTTAAATCTTACATCAGAAAACTAACATTCAAACTTCAACTTTTGTTGACAATTTGGTCTGATCAACTCCACTTTTGTCATTTGTTATATAATTAAATAAACGGTATGGAGACACAAACAGTCGTGTAATGTTTGTGAAGTTTGTCTATAGAAGCCCTAGTGAAACATCTTTCACATTCTCGATGTTAATATTCCCTTATATTACACAAGGTATATAGATTGTTATATTTATATAACACTGAAAAGACGAAAGTCAAACTTCTTCTTCTCAATAATGAGATCAAGTCTACAAAGATTTTTTTCAGTTTCAATAGGGACTGTTTCAGATTTCTACGAATGGAGAGTTTTTTTATCGTGATGTAAAAGTAAATTAAAAAGTTAAAAACTATTGAAATAGTGATGGAAGCTCTCTGTCCATCTCAAATCACATCTTGTAGAAATTTAATTACCTCTTTTCTTGTAATTTACTCTTTTATGTCTGACCTTTCCTACTACCTTACCTTGTTTCTTTTTTTTTATTATCGTGAACTGTTTTCTGACTGTATTAGTATAATGGTTGGTGTGGTTTTTAACACCTTTAAATCACGATATTATAATAGTACCGAGAGATGATCCATATAAATCTATTTAAGATATCTATTTGTCCAAGTATTATACCTATGAATTACAGTAATTGCTTGTCAAATTTGGAAATTGTGCATTTGTTTTCTTCTACATGCACTTCATGATGCATAAAATTAACATCATTGTTCCGGAGGCTTGAGAGAATTAATCGGACTAATGATTGATTTTATTTACGTGCAATTGGGTTTTTTTCTGGTTTCAAAGAGATAAACGTTAAGAATCTGCATTTTCGGAAGTTAAACACTTCACGACCATTATATTATAGACCTTCCATAATTTATTTAGTACATTAGCAATGTAGGTCTATGTATATATGTATGAATTGGTGCGATATATACGGTGAATTGTGACACACAGTGCATTCAATTTTTAATTGTATATGAAGAGTTATATTAAGGTAGCTATATACATCCCTGTCGTCTGGCTTACCTAATTAAAAACTGAACATTCTACTGCAGTCTGCTGCACACAAATAACTAGTAATATATAATGAGACTTCTTGTTATTACTTTGCTTCTTAAGATGACACAGTGTCAAAAACAGAGACATATTGGGTGGTACCAGACAGGTTGAGTGTTGCCCTCTGTCAGACGCCTGTTGTTCTGTGGTCACCATCGTGCCCCTGTATTCAGATTCCTGCAATACCTCAAGTAGTAGCTCACTGAATAGGCAAACAATCCATAACAATTTGATAGCCCTTCAATAGGCCACGAAAGACGTTCGCCTTTATACTAAAGCCCTTGTACAAACAATGAATGGTCCATCGTGTAAATTAAGAATCGTATTTCGCACACACTGTTAAAATTTGAAAATGTTTGTCAAATTTGACCTAGTATATGAGCGTTGGAGAGACAATATTCACTGTAATTGATCCTAGAAGTTTAAAGAGTTTTAAAATAACCTCTATATAAAGGTAGTAGTACACAGGCTAGAGATGTAAATAAAGAGTAGAATAACACAATAAGGCTTGATATTTGATCCAACTAGTATCTAACAAAACTTATTGGCAATCCCCTATATCAGAAATTATATGATATAACCACAAAGATATTTCTAATTTGACTGAATCGAAGGTCTTCGTGTGCATCAAAATAACGTAAGTTGCATTGCGAAGGTATACATATCTCGGTATCGTTAAACCACCCTTGTTTCATGCAACCGAATAAAGCTAAAAATGAGCGACAAAGGATGACATAAAACATAAACCAAATACAAAGTCAGCGAAAAGAACAAAATGTCAACAGTTTCATAAGCGCTAAATCAAACAGCTCAAATCTCTAGAATTTGTATTTTTCTCATAAAATTTTTATAGGACATAAAACTCTTAAATCACACATAAAACTAGCAATAATACTTCATATTATATCATTACGGAATCATATTCATCTCATAAACACAGTCGTAAAACACCCACCAATCTCTCATAACATGTGCTTCAAGTCACAACGATTCTTCCAACAAACTTTATAAAAAATATATATCACAATATCACACTGCAAAAAACAGAATGAAAAAATCGACAAAATTAGGTGACAAAACTATTGTGGAATATTCACGAATGATATCTTTGGGTTTTTAGATTAAACAATCTTTATCTTCAGTATAAATTACGAAATTTACGTATTTAAGTATTTTCATATATCAAACACAACCACCTGCTGTCACTCTGCACCTGTGGTTTTCTTAATCCGTTTCGGAAATGCCAATTAATAAATATCCAGGAATAAAATTAATTGGATTTTAGCAATTCAGAATTATTGCATTTATACTATATCTACATCCTAGGAACCATTCACTAATTTGTACGCAATAGTCTCTATGGCTGATTTGTGGGAAACAAGTAATGAATTAAGGGAAATATTTGGAGAGGTCGTGTTAAATGATGAAGGTTATCATAAGACAATTTTATCGTAGACTTGGATGACTTCAATTACACTTTCCTCGACATTCTGAAGATGTGATTAGAAATTGAGGGGTAAATGAACAATAAAAACATGATTTTACTAACTACTTTCTTGAAAGATTTATCTTCTTCTCGCCCACTGTGAATATAAACTTTAGATTATTGATAGCTGAACGATAGAAACATGTAGGTCTACCTAGTCTTTTTCTACCCTTCCGTTATTTTATGATTTACCAGCAGATAACCGTCCAAAAGCGCCAATAAATCCGAACGAAATCTTAACTTGTTACTAGTATCTGATTCACGTCTTTCAACGAGCTTTTTTTACAAGATAAAATTTGGTCTGGGTGCGAAAGGAATCTGTTTAATAAAATTATTCTCTGTAGGCCTACATTAAAAAGAAGTGAAAAATTTTCAAAAATTTAACCCTGTTTCTTTTCAAAAGGCTTCTCTTGGAAAAGTATTGCTTAGTATTTCGGATGTTCAACTCAAGTGAGGCACTAAATGCTGCTGGTTGTGCTGCGTAAGACCCAACAACACTGATAAAAAAAAAGTAAAACAATAAGCTGAAAGTGCTATGGTACAACAAACTTTCGTTTTATAGCACACTATATGGCGTTGACAATTTTAGCCCAAATAAAAAGCAGAAAGCAACATTTCTATTTCATTCTGAATGATGACAATTCGGACGACTTCGTTTATTCTAATCTGTACCGTAATTGAGTCGATGATCAGAACGAAATACGATAGTCGTTATTCTATTGTCGCAAACACTTTCTAATTAAAACTTTGATCATTTTGGAAATCTGATTGTTTTGTTTCGCTAACATGTAGAATAGAATTATCGAATAATCTTTTGTAAATAAAGATAGTCTGTCTGCCTTATGTTGATTTTTCACTATTTGTAAAATGACTATATTGGGATTTTATCGAGGTTTCATAGAGTTTAAATAATTATCGCACAAGTCAGAAATAAAACCCTTTTCGTCTCATTTTGTGTTGATTATCACTTTTGCCACCATGAATGTTAAGTTACATTACAATGAATATTTACATTTTTTGTATTACATATTCAGTTGATCATTACAATAACATAATACCTGAAATTATATGATTTTCTGTCTCGAATATGATGCCGTGGACAATTTTAGATCAAAGACCACACTTATGACTGCCACCATTCAAATTTTCAGATTTTATGTTCATGAATTATTTATGTTGACGGTCATTTTCTCGTTTTCCCCTTATTTTGGATTTTTCACTTTGCAATGTTGAGATCGACCAGCATAGTTCGTGTGGAACAACAAAATATATGATCGTAGAAGGAATATATATTTGAAAAATTAACAACAATTTTCATGATATGTTTTTCTTATATTTTCAGGATTGGGAGATGCCTGGGGTCACAGAATACCACCAAGAACACGACTGGAGAAGGAATTAGGATCTCATTTACTACAGGTATAGAATCCTAATTTATTCATAAACTATCAATTTACATCTCATGAATATGTATTATGCTAATCAATATTTACATGCCTTTCTACATCTTTATGTAAAATGATTGAATAATAAGAGAAATGTAGCGATAATAGTTGTAACTCGAGATGTAGGTTGAAATATCACCATGGAAATATCAATCATAATAGTTCATTATTATATTTAAAATATCACCGACAACTATTTTTCATGTGGGTGTCTTGTCTTCAGTTTAGAAAAATAAAAAAAGATTTATAAGTTTACAGTATAGATCATTTTAAAGCATTTTTTGTTATCCCTTCTCTCTTTTTAAATTGTTCATAATATGTATTACATATTTATTTCATTTCAATAATAGTAAGCATATAGAATTTCTGTCGTTTTAACGTATTTATATTTTTGCGGATATTAGTATTGCCCGTTTTTAATGAAAGATCGAATATTTCGCTTCCCCCTGTATTTTTCTTTGAACTTATTGAATAAATATGTTGACTTCCCGATTGAGACAATTTAATCTGAATTCAATTGACCAAATATTTACAAATTGGACTCATGGGAATTTTGTTTTAATTATATTACATGTATTAGAATTTGTGCCATAAAAAATAATAAAGATTAGAAGTGATTTTAATGAAGTGAACGAATTAAGAAGTGAAGAGATGCTGTCATGTTTAAACGTCTTCAATAATACTGCAATATGACGTCAAATCTCTCAATAAGATGCAAGATCACGACAAAGATTTCCAACTTCAACCTGCTCAATTTTTTCTTCATTTAACTTTCGATGAGATTTGAGTGGGTTGTCGGATTTAAAGAAAAAATCCTTGTTATGTGGCGAACGAGATAAACATTTAATATGGACAGTTTTATTAAGAATTGGACGAATGTTGTTGAAAATGTCAATCAAGGGTTAGGGATTAAGAGAAACCCTGTCAATACCCTGTCTGAATTACCACAAACAATCATCGTATTTGAAGATATAATAATTTAAAATGTGTTTGTCTTTCTCTTATACGTCGATAACATTAATCACTCGAGTTCGGAGGCGAAGAGCTACCAAATGACCTGATGAGTCGCACGTGAACATTGGCGGACAATGCTTGACAGAAGTTTTATCGTAAGGACGACAGACCAAACGCTACGTGACTTGGCATCACTTCTTCTTGTATTCCTGCAAAATTACAGACTTTTAAAATTATCTATTCATGAGTCTTTTCCTGAACTATTTGTTCTTTAACAAGTAAATGGATAATAATCAATACGGAAGATAAAACGAAAGAGGAATAAAATAGAGAAGTAATTTTCTCTAAGATTTCACTTGAATTGACAGATTGTAGAAAATATTATCTCTAGAAAATGTCAATCTTACGTTTAAGAAATGAATTGAATTATTCTGAAATATTTTCTTTCGATCCCTATAAGATGAAATTCTCGTGAAATTGATTTTGCATTACTTTAGATTTAAAGACAAACATCCTAAAGAAAATTACGTTTTGATAGAGTTTTAAAGATGTTGACTGATTTTAGTTTAATAATAACCAATGCGACATGAGCAATTTTCAATTTGTGGTAGTTTTATGTTCGATGGTAAAACAACAGTTAGCGATCTGATCAAAAGCATGACTTTATTTTAATATTGCTATAACCATTGAATTTCAGACTCTAGATGGGTTTATATTTGTAATAGCACCTGATGGTAAAGTGATGTATATATCAGAAACAGCTTCAGTTCATCTTGGTCTTTCTCAGGTAATTGTTTTATTATCAAACTTCTAGATTGTCATATTTAAAATCTTTTTCTGCCATGTATGTATTGTTTAGATTTAAATAGTTGCACATGATTTCCTGTGAAATTGTCAATCGTAGAAGCAAATTGCTCTTGATTTTGGAAAAACAAATAATTTTGAGAGAGAAAATTGAATAAATTCTTTAAAATATTCACGAATTGATTTTTTCAATGAATTATAAAAGACTCATTCATGGAATATTTGTTAATTTTTTTTTTGTATTTGCTCAATTTGAGTTATTATTGAAATAAAACTTCAAATTATTAAATATATTGTTATTAATTATAGGTTGAATTAACTGGTAATAGTATTTATGAATACATACATCCAGCTGATCATGATGAAATGACTGCTTTATTAACAATACACCATCCTTATCATACTCATATTTTACAAGGTATATAGAATAATATCTAATCTTTTACATCAACAGACTAACAGAAATTAGAAAACAATAATACACCATATTTTAAAACAAGGCCGACTTGAAATATAAAATTAGATATCAATTCTGCGTAACAAATTTTCGAATATTTTACCATGAAATATACCAATTATCCCAGAAGTGTATTGGGCCAACCAAGGTATTAAAGTGATAGTACGTCTTAGAATGAACATAAAGTTTAATTCTCAAGAATATATATTTATCAGTGAACTTACCTGGTGTCATTATAATAGAATCCCTGTAAAATGAAGAAAATTGGAAAATTCATAAAACTGAGTAATGATTGAAAAACGCTTAATCATAATATTAAGCGTTATAATAATGAAATTCAATATTGGTCATGTCAACTTATTTACTTATTTTCCAGATATTGAAATTGAAAGATCTTTTTTTCTAAGAATGAAATGTGTTCTAGCTAAGAGAAATGCTGGTCTTACATCCGGTGGTTATAAGGTTAGTATATTTTGAATTGCATTAATATTACATAAAAACACAGCATTTGTTGGTCTGTGATCTGAGTGCAGGCGTTATAAATACCTTTTTATTTAGCAAACATCACGTTTAACAATAAATATCAAACTACATTAAACGATTCGTCCTCACATTTATCTAATACCTAGAAGCTACCAGCGATTTCACACTGACCTATATCTCTCTCCAGCCAAATAGACACGAACACACGTTACTTGCATGGAAAGTTAGCAATTAAGAGGGGATTCCCCAATATTTTCATTCATGTTCACAGTTTCCCGTTACCAAGACAACGTCATCCTCGAGGAGCAATATATGCAGGTTATCCTTTCCCCAATTCTTTAACAGTTTGTTGATGTCACGTTTTCTCTGATGTGAATGAAAGAAATGGTGTGAAGTTGTCGTTAATGATTAAGTTCTTTCACCACCAATTGTACATTTATGTTGGTCATCTCAACATTGATGTCATGTTAACATTGTTACATTAGCTGCATTCTGACCACAGTTTGGCTTTGCAGATTGGCATGATATTTCCCCTTGCATTGGATGCTGCTGCATCACGTGTGCCAAGATCAGTTACAATTGCTATTGTCAGATTATTTCGGTTTCGCTTTGATACATCAGCTGGCTCTTGGGGAAACAGATTCGAACTCCTTGACTGTGATCAACCTGGCCTCGTTTTTTACAAATCATTTTTAAGATCATACTGATTCTTCCTTAAATCAACAAATATATTCAAAGTTTAAAAGAAATGTTCTATAATGTGTTTCAGGTCATACATTGTAGTGGGTATTTAAAAATCAAACAATATACTATGGATGTATCACCCTATGATGGATGTTATCAGAATGTGGGATTAGTAGCTGTTGGTCATTCTCTACCACCTAGTGCTATCACAGAGATTAAAATGTTTAATAATATGTTCATGTATAGAGCTAGTCTAGATCTCAAACTTATCTTTTTAGATGCCAGGTAAGATATTGACGATTGTCTTTATATTAGGTGTCTCTATCATCTCACATCAACTCAAAATTACAAATTGTAATATAAATGTGTATTCTTAAACGATTGTTGAAATATCCTCTTGGTAAACAAATACATGTATATCAATTATTTTGTGAGTAAGTAGAAAGTATTTGAGAGGAATGTAGTGAGAAACTTGCTCTTAGATGACTGCTGAAATCATTAACCTTCAAATGGTCATATTTTTATCACAAAAAGAGGATTATAATTATTGGTTTTGGATCATTTCAGAGTGGCAGCTTTAACTGGTTATGAACCTCAAGATCTGATTGAAAAAACTTTATATCATTATATTCATGCTTGTGATATTTTACATATGAGATATTCTCATCATACATGTAAGTATACTTTTCAGGAATCTAGTTTTATGATATTCTTTGGGTGTTGTCTTTTATACCAAATAATGTTTAAAGATATAATAACGGATAGTTTTTTTAATTTTTAGTCTTTGGTCTGAATTACCTTATTTATCTCATACACACGTGTCGACAACAAGAGTTGAGCTCTAGCTGTATATAGTAGATCTTAAAACTGTCCATGAACATTGTCAACGATATGCAAAAGTTTCTCGATACAGTTTTTGAATTTTAAGTCATTGTCTTAAATACCAACGCATTAATCGTAAGCAAAAGGAAAAATGTTCAAGGTTTGGTGGTTCACAAACACAGGTGTTAAAATTTGAGAAGAAGGGTAAAATTTATCTTGTCTATCATATTACAAGGAAATCACCTGAACCTTGATCTTCATATACATTCCTTATTGGTTATTGAGGATTAAATGTGTCTTTATATTATCGTCTGTATTGAAATAAGGATTATAAGGGATATTTAAAGCGACGTGTATTCATTGAATTAAAGTCTAGCAGTGAACACCCCAACCGATAGTGTCATGTTAAATACCTCTGTTGCAGTGATGAATTCAAAATTTCAAGTTTTTGCACGTGGCTGATGAGTTAAAAGATTAAGTCAACCTTCTTCAATTATTGAAGAGAGGACAATAAATGTCAATAATCTGTTTGAAACTGTTCGATCGTGTTGTTCGACATATTACATACTGATGCTCTTAAAGAAAAGCTATGACTTAAATCTTATATCTTACTTGCCTTTTGAATATCAACCCAATCACCATCTTCACAATGTCAAGCTATTACAAACTTCTTACTTATACCTTGACTGCAATAGCCACATTTTGGGCAAATTGATTGGATTATATACCAGCGAAAACAGCCAATCAGAGGTCTCAACAGAAGTCTGTGAACTATGAAGTCATAATGTTTACAGCCTTTCTGTTGGGGGCTTTGATTTTCTGTTTTCGCTGCCATCGAATCAAATAGCGCATTCCGTAATACAAGAATATTGGCTATTGTAGTCAAGGTATGATAGTACGAATAGCATAACATTGTTATAATGCCCATTCACCGGAGAGACTTGTTTGGAAGTATGGATTAATTTTCAGGTAATTTGAGCAAAATTTAACCCATTAAAGGATGATTCCCAAATCAAACCATAGTAACAAAAGTTTATTTATGTTGATTATTTTTGTTGTTTATTTCAGTATTATTAAAGGGTCAAGTTACTACTAAGTATTATAGATTTTTAGCCAAGGATGGAGGTTGGGTGTGGATGCAGAGTTATGCTACCATTGTCCATAATAGTCGTTCATCAAGACCACATTGTATTGTCAGTGTTAACTATGTTCTAAGGTAAAGAATGAAAACATATAACCACAATATAGCCTATTAGGATTTATTGAAATCGAAACAGGAAATTCCCAAGCCAGGAAAATCTTCTACAGCAAGCTGGACACGATATTTTCGTGTGGAGTATTGGGATATGCAATATTGAATGTGTGCTTTTGTTTGGACCAAACACAACCTAATAGTTTTTTACTCTATTTTTCAGTGATGTTCAGTGCAAGGATCTTCAGATTCAACTTGAACAAACCCTTTCATCTAAAGAAGTGTCTCCATATTCGTCCATGCATGAACGAACTAAATCAAATGGAAAAGTTCGACAGCCACGGAATAAAAACAGACGATCTCCTTATCCGCAAATGACGGAAACGACTGAATATACTGCCCCGGAATATCCGGAAAGAACGTTTGAGTATCCTACGGATGTATCCGTCCCAATGCAGGGTTACCCTAGTATGGTGTATCCTCATTCTACTGAAGGTATTGATAGATATAGCGCCCTCTATGCTGCTGCACCTTATGCTCATGCTGGAATGTCAATGTATCGAGACGCGGCAGCGGCGGCCTGTGTTTATCCGTATCAAGCAGCAGCTCACCAAAGATATTTAGATGAAAGAAATCCTTATAGGACGTATGAAGAAAGATATTATCCTGCTAGAGATCCGGCGAATTACCCGGGCTACATTCAGTCTCAAACAACTTCACAATCTCGCTTAACTCATAATGAATCGAGTCGGGAAAGTTCTCAAAGTGCGGGACAGCAATATGGCGACTTCCGTGCAACAGGACAGTGTTCCAGGAGTAGTTCGCGGGACCCTTCTTTTAATACCTCACATTATCAAGCACCGTACAGCAATCGTTCCGAGTCGTCTGCATCGGAAGTAGATGTCGGTAGTGAAGAGTATGAAAAACGTCATTCTAGTGGACAATCTCATAGATCTGAACGTCAAAATTCTAAGTATGAACCTCTTATGGATGGTGCGCAACAATTGGTTAAAGATGAGGGATACAAATCTCAAGACCAATCAAATGCTCCGTTACAAACGCTGTCACCTCCACGAGATTCTGTGCCACAATCCGTTATTATTAGAAGACAATCAAATCATACATACTCTTCAACTGATGTTCGTAACTCAAATTCTACAGAGTATACAACCTCGGCTTTTATCAAATCACCTACATCCGCTAATCCTAGTCTCCAACCCGATGTGAGAAAGACATCCAATACGGTGTCTGAGAGCAACCAATCAAATGCTTTAAGCGCTCCGTCTGCAACGGACACGAGCGCAGGTGATAAACTTCTAAACATGAGACTTCTTCATGAAAAATCTTTAAATTCTCAAGATTATACTCAGTGTTTAAAAGCGGCAGCGTGTGGTTATGACAATTATGGTCAAAACGGTATGTATCAAACAGCCGCTATCCAAAACCAAAGAACTTATCCAGTCATGCCTCAGGCTGGGTATACCAGTGTGATTGTAGAACCACAGCAATATCATATGGCAAACGGCTTTGTGCATTAATAATTTGTGTGTTTTTTTATCTGTATTTTGAACAATCAAGCATTTGAAGTGGGCAAGTTTTCAGTATTTTTACTTTAAAAATCTCTGTAGGATGTAAGAAATACACAAAGAGGACCTATGCCTGTATGTATTTAACGAGTAACACTATTGACCCAAAAGGACCCAAATATTTAATGTCACATAACTATCACAATCACAATATTTTACAAGAATCTGACATAAATTAGTTTTTATAACATTTAATTGCCTTTGACAACTCATGGAATATTAAATTTCTGGTGGTTCGGGGTAATTTTGGGTGAATAGTGTAGCCCGATATTATTAATATATGAGTAGAAATCATGTTTAAATCGTTGAATTGATTTTAATTCTATATGTCTCTCTGTTATATTGTCATAATACTGATATACAGTGTTTAATTACTTCATGGTCACATTATTGATGATTTGTTTGTTTTTCCTAGGAAGGTGCTATCATTACAGTGCTCTACGTCACTTTGCATTCACTTATCAATCTTCTCCATTGTCTTAATAATATGCCATTTTGGTTGAGTCAGATTTATTAAGGATATAAATTGATTAATTTGTTAACTTATAATCGAATGTTTGTCGAATCTGAGGAAAATCTAGTCTCAAAATCAATGATAGTTAACGATTCTCCAAGTTATTAAGCTGAAACCTTCGATACAATCTGAAAAAATTTGTTTCGTTTTGCTCTAAATTTAGCTCTTTTCAATAAAAATAGCCAAATAATCAGTACAGACCAATTATGTTGAACTGTAATGTATTTGATATAGATATTATAATTTTTGTTAATGATGGTTTCATTTTGTAATAGTTGCATATCTTTTATGATTTATGATTTGTGGCCTATTTATAATATATTTCAATTTTCATAAAATTCGTAATTTCAATTTGATTCAATGATTACGTAAAAAAATAATTTGAACGTTCAAAATTTCTTTTTAGGCAAAATTCAAATCAATGAAACTTTGTCTGAAAAATAATTACCATATGAGGTAATTAGCATCTCATTTGCATAATTTATGTCCTCAAAGAAAAGATCTATTTGCCAATTTTAAATATATTATCTTGTACACAACTTTAAGTGTCATATTATAATTATATTCAAATATAATTCTAGAAATCAATTTGTCTTCTTTCTTTATGTAGAAATACTTCACTGTTCTCAGATTAGAGAAGCTAGCATGTTACATGATAATGATAGCAAGCCGTAATTTACCAGTTACCCCCCCCCCCCCCCCCCCCCCCCCCCTTACTTTCAAATTATTTACCATTTTGCATAATAAAAGTATTGCATGTAGCTCCCCTGGAAAATTGTGTGTTCCCCCCTCGGCCTCCTCACCTCGTGTTTTCTTGAAACGCAACTGTATACTAACATTTATGTTGGTAAATCGTTTAACAGACAGCAAAGTTATATCCAATATGTTGCTCGTTTTTCACCATGCATGACATGACACTTTCATATAAAATAGTAAAAGTGGGAAATATCTATGTGGTAATCTATAATAGGTATATAGGCTACTCTGTAAGGTTTTACCATGTGTCTATAATCAATAAAATCAAATATAATCATGATACAGTCCATTTATGGATTTTTGGAGATGTGGAAATGTATAACAATCATAAACAATAATAAATTCATTTTGGGCATTTTGAGAAATATATATATATCGTGGTTCAAAAATCAACGATCCTCTCCTTCACAAATCCTGAAAGAAAGGTGACTATTACAATCAAGTAAGAAGTTCCAAACAGCTTGACATTGTGAAGATGACCAATTCCCCGCCCATATGAACCCAATGGGCATGTTGATAACCTTTAAAGCTGTTTTCTCTTCCCAGTACTATCACTATTGAAGTCCATGATAATAAAATATGCCCAGAAATTGAAAACAAATCATCATTAGCCAGATAAATAGTTAAATGGTCAACAAGTCGATCAAAGACTTCATCTATAGTTCTTGAGTCATTGAGACCAATGGTTGATTTGGAATCGTATACAGAACTAGCACTCAAGTGTATTGATCTTAGTTAAAGAAATCAAATTAACTTTCTAGTCAAAGGGGCCACCTTTGTTCACATCTAAAACAAAACGGATTATTGACGGAAGCGGAAGCTACCATTCAGTCATTTATGCAAATTTGGATTTTAGACGCCATGACACCGGAAATGCCATACTGGGGCTCTCAGCTTGTGAAACAGGTTTAAAACACTGCTAGTTTGACTTCCGCTTTATTGACATAGCTCTCTAATATTTCCGAAAGACCGGAAGTAAGATTGTCTGCTGATATGACGTGGTTTATTGTTTAATAATTTGCTTACCCCAAATTTTTTGATTTTTGATAGGATTTGTACTATTGACGAGGATTAAATCAGAATAATGATAGTCAATCAAATTTTTATACATTTTTAACTAAACGCCTTAATTTTATGCAGAATCTATGGCCTAGTTTCTTTGCGATGTAATCTATTTTTTTTTAATATTGATACTGATATCGAAGATGTACAATTTGTATATTCTACGTTTAGAACACTTTTTTAAGGGTTTTAAGTGGAAACTTCTGTAAAATGTCATTTAGCGAAACTTATTATTGATAATAATTGAAGTTGTGACTTGTAATAAAAATTTGAAGGTCTTGTGTATTCATTACATACTTTATACAAAAATAAATATAGTTGAGAATGGGTTTGAATGATTGTTGAATGGAATGGAACAGAATTATTCAACATTCACAGAAAGTTTATTTTCTTTAACAGGATTAAATTCTATGGAATCAATCCTTTTTTATTTTATTGTAAAAAGACTCTTTTACTGAGTTTAAACGAGCGAAAGAAAGAGGAATAAATTTAATTCCAAATGTTAAGATTATTTGTTTGGTAACAAATAAAAGACCAAATGGGAATGGTTGACAATCAGCTAATCGATAAGCTTTAGAATCAAAATGTTGAATTTTTTTCAGTTGAATAGAGAATCGGAAATAATGTCCCTTTAAGTCAAGAATAACCTCCATCTCTTTCAAAGAAGTGGCAAGCGGAAGTACTCAGATGAAGAGGGGTGGGAAATGGCCTTTTCATGTTTTCAGCACATCAACTTTACATTATCTTTATATTAGCGTCATGTAATCTCAAGTTATTCTCAAATAAAACCTGATTAGCCAGGCTTGTAGGTCACCTACCCTATCTTTGTTCTGAAGCTAACATGAAATTTAGGAATGTATGGTGTAATCAGTTTGTTTCTTTATAAGGCATTGATGTTCTATCACAAAAAAAAAGATTCCAAGAGGCTTTTAGAAGACAAGTGCCATAACTCGTGTGAAGTATTTTTATGATTTTTGTGAACTTCGGTATAGGGTGGTGCTTGAAGTGGTAAAGGGAATGTCATCAACAAGTATTATTGTTTATTATCTATTACGTTATAAGGTACAAGGGTCAGAACTACATGCAAAACATATTCCAAGCAAAAACATTCCCAAGTTAGCAAATTATCTGTATGTAGCTCTTGTTTAGATATAAGTATGGATTAATTAAATAAACTTTTAGTCAAAGTTTCTACAAATCATTAAAAAAAACATCCCAGACGGGCGTGAAGACTCTGTTTTCAAGTAGAAAGGAAGACATGCCCAAAGCGACAGTTGGCTGATTAGCTTTCACAGTAAATAAAACCGGATGTATAGCTAGGACAGACCAAAAGAAATTAATTTCAATCAAATCGTTTTAATTGACAATCATAAAATCATCATGCAAATTATGTAAATAAAAATCTGCATATAGAAATATGAAATAAAAGAATCAAAGTTGTTAATATCTTTTGAAATACTTGAAATAGTCAGGTAATGAATAGATTTTCTCGTTTGTCAGGTCTCTTAGATTAAGTGGATTTAAAAGAAAGTAAAGATATCAACATGAAGGACTCTTGTTTTACAATAAAATGAACAATGACATACTGAATTTCTTTAACTCTAGACGAAGCCAAGTGGCATGTATCGCCGTCTTGAGTGTCTTGCTCTACATGAGAGCAAATTTAAAATCAATTGAACAATTTGACAAGATTATTTAGCAAACAGTACGAGTCTCGACCATCTGACAAGGGAGGTAATATTCCTTGTTTTTTGAGCTGAAGTTAAAATTTCATCTCTCTAAGCACATTGATGGACAAAATATTTGAACTAACTTGCGATCAATTGATAAAGTAGGTATTAAAATATGATATTCAATTTATATTATAAAAGTAGGTAATAAGGCTGGTCGAATATTTGCCTAGTTTTGCCATCAATTGACTAGCATAATAATTTTTGTATACATGTACTTATTTAAAGGGCTTCAGCACTGCGAATTTAACGACAACGTTTATATTTCAAATAAGACATTCGTTTAAGGAATACAGCAGATTCTCGGAAATTGCCAGAAAGTCTTCCTTTTCCCTGCTTTCAATGATATTTTGCTATTAAACTTTACAGCTGATGAAAACGAGACTTTGATTATTTTTATCGTAGATTACCGTTACGGTTTTTGTGCTCAAAACTAAACTTCTTGACTCTTAATACCAAATTTTGGTGGTTGCTGGCAACGTTTACAACAACATGAACAACTCAATCCTATAGATAGACTGGAAGTTCGATTTACTGCGGTTTCAAAGGATAAAAAGAAACAAGCCATCGTGGAAGAAATACTTGAAATCAAAACTAAAGTTACTGGAGCCGATATGACTGTATTTGTTTTGTCTCTGATCGGTTTACAATGAATAATTGTCAAGGAAAGAAAAGAATGTCTGATTCTTCCCAAGCAAACCATTAGTCAAATTAAACCAGTCGAGCAAATTTATTCTGCAATTGATCGAATTCCAGGCATAGAATTCAACAATAACACTTGAAAACTAGGAGATATGAGTGTTTTACATTGTATTTGGTTTGATGTGAACGTAGTACACTGGTACTGTTATAACTCTTGAGAATCTGGGTTTTAGGCAGTGTGTAACCTTTATAGCCTCACACTTAGATGAAAACTCAACATCCCGAAAGTGTGGCAATTTCTGGGGTTTGAACGACTTGCCGGGTCGTACCACATCAATTGTGTCAGATCAACGAAAAAGAAGCAGAAACTGTCGTCTATATCCTAATTTTGTAGCTTATCGCAGTGAACAGTACTTCAGGGTTTGTTAGAGGGTGTCGAGCGATGCTAGGGGAGAAATAATAATTAATTTTTTTTTACATGGGTCAGAAATAGGCCCAAAACACAAAATGACCCTGTCTAGCTCATGGGGACAATATAATGAATGAAAAATCTTGAGTAGAGAGGGGGTGGGAAAGTGAGGAAGAAGAAGTGAGAGAAGACAGGGATCTAGTCAGTACCTACGGGCTTGACAAGGGGCGTGTATACACAAGTAGATGATGAACACAGGAGTTGAATTGATATGGTTGGAGACTTACCAGATGGATTGATGAGGGTGGGGGATAGTACTAGTGGAGAGTAGGTCGATATGGCGGGGCGGGGGGATATGTTAGAATATTTTGTTTTATTGAGAGGTACTCGTAGTACCTCCGCGCAATGCTTCGAATTAAAGTACTCCAAAGTCTTACTTTGGATTGCCACATTTCATCTCTCTATGTACACGACCTCTCAGGTCCACTAAAAAATTCTTTTAAAATTTTCATAATTAGTCACAGTGGTCAAATTAAATTACAGAGAATTCACTCCCTTGAATAAAAAAGTTAATTAAACATTAGACTACTTAATCTAGGCCTATCTAAATTAAAAAATTTCGCAATTCATAAAATGTCGATAGGCTTACCAATTAAAAATATCCATCACGTCCAAACTGATAGGCCTAATATTTATAAACTAATCCTATTGTAAGATAAGACACAACAGATCCAGTTATTTCTACACTAGCCTAAACAGTTCATAGTTCTTCTATACTTAAAGGTACGGTACTTCGAGACCCTCATAAGCGTTAGCCTATCTATACAGACAGCCTTGAAAAAAAGTACAATTTGATTCGCAGATCGATTTTAACTTTTTAATCATAAGAAATTCTGGATCGCACAAAGGCTTAAATTGTCTCTCAAATTGTGATGCGATAGTTCTTAATTTAGTTTAGCCGTAGCCGTAGCCGTAGCCATAGATATCCTATAAAAAGTCTATATATATATAGCTCAGTGATCGTAGCCATTGGATCGTAGCACGGTTAAGGGGAGGTAACTACACCTTTCAGTTGTAATTGACGATTGTCGTAAAGATAAAAACAAAACGAAAAAGATGTATGCACAGTCGATATTGTGAATTTTAATATCTATTCGTCATAATGTATGACTTCTAATGTTAAATAAAAGTAGGAGCTAAAACTATCTTAATCCGGAAGAGAAAATTATCATTACCAAAAGTGAGTATTTCTACATCCGCCATCTTTTATTCATCCACACTTTTCGTAGTGGAAATAGATCTGAAGTAAGCAATAGAATACTAACATCATTACAAACTATGTAATTCTTAACGCCGACTGAATTGCGTGGTAAACAAACAGGTAAAATCCCCACACATTTTTGATAGCACTAGTCAACAGATAGCAATCGGTAAATAACAGTTTCTGGTCAGGAGACACAGAAATGTGAAACTGAAAATTGCCAGGAAGCACTATCAATAATCACCCTGATCATCATTCTATTTTTAAAAGTTCCCGAATGGGCTATTTAATTTCTAGCCACAGATTTGTCTTACGTAAGAATAAATGTCTTCATTTAAAAAAAAAATGATGAAAATCTCCCAAAATTCTTATAGTGATTTATAGTGATATGATCTATAAACTTTTTTGTAGTGAAGAATTAATCTATATCAATGAGAGTTTTAGAGGGTGTAATTATTACAACCTATACCATGGGTAAGAATAAAAAACATCGCTTGAGAAAGAGTAAGGAGAATGAAGGTGGTTCCGATACATCTGATGAGGGAGCTGCAGGTATACATATTTCTTACTACAACCAGTATTGCTTTCTGTCATATACCGTACATAATATACATAATTGTCATAGAAGCAATGTTTAAAACCACTCAATTAAATCGAAACACATGGTTCTTACATAGAAATAACACACACGAGCGTAGTTCACAGCAATTTTCGACTTTATAAGTCAAATTTTGAAAAAGGCTGCAATATTTCAGCAAAGCCTTCAAATCACATCTAAAGGCTTAGAAATGGCTTTAAATGTGATGATTTGCTGAAATATAAGGCTGTGAACTACTTTCTTGTGTGTTATTTCCATGTTAGAACCATACATAGTTTTGTATGAGTTGAGAGTGAGATTTACATTTATTCAAGTGTATTTTTTTCCTATCCATTGCAGCTCCTGTAGGATGTACACACATCAATAAATCAGTCAATTTTGCTGCAATGAGAAAAGTTATTTTGAAAAGTAATTTTGGAGAATGTGTTGTAAGTTAATTTAAAATTTTGTATCACAAAATAATATAGGGGACATGAGACTTTCGTCTGCATGGAATATTGTAATTATGACATCTGTAACATCATAATGCCTTGGATGCTTTTATGTACATTATTGGTGTCTTATTTATCCTTATTATGAATATTTGCGATATACTGTCCTTATTGAGCTCTATTCAGACATCTGACATATGTTACTATTAAATCTATTTTCTAGGCATGTAATAAAGATAATAAAAGTAGTAATAAAGAGAGTAGTATAGGAGCTACTGCTGTAACAACTGAGACAGAGGATATCATAGATCATGAAACTACCATTTGGGTCTGTCTTCAATGTGGAAACCAGGTACCTTATACATAAACTGCTTTAGTAAGGAACGCATCCAATGCAAGTTTTCTGACATCTTAATTCTGTTGGAAAATATAGCATTTGAAGAGCACTTACATTATTTGATTTGTTAAAGGAGTCGCTGAAGTTAAAAAATGTTCAATTGCCAAATAAAGAAAATGGACATTAACCAAATGTTAAAAGTTAACTACCAGTACATGATTAATCTGCTCTTAAATTATTTGTGAACACTGAATTTCAAATTTTCTGATTTCAGGGCTGTGATCGTAATTCTAAAGATAAACATGCTTTAAAACATTATGAAACACCACATTCTCAATGTCATTGTATAACTGTTAATTTAACAACATGGGCATGCTGGTAAGTGAGACCTTAGTTCTCAATAAGTTATAGATTGCTATGTATGGGTCTCCCAAAATCATTATAACCTAGAGTAAATCCTAAAAGAGACTGTAAAGGATTAAAAGTCTTGAGAAACATGGAGCACTGGGGTCAGATATGTCTAGCATCATCAGCATGTATCACAGTTTACCTTCAGTCTTTATAACTTGACAATGTTTTTTACATTGACCAAATATAAATGACCAAATTAGCATACTCAACTGTGTACACCCTCATAATGGATGCCCAGTTAACAAACTTTGTTGGTCAGGAGTTGTGGAAGTATGAGGAGGTTCTGATTTGGTAACATATCTCAGATTATGTCTTTGGCTAAACCTTTCGTTATCATGTGTATTTGTGATGATTGTAGGTGTTATACCTGTGATGATGATGTTGCTGTAGAAAATTCTAAAAGGATACAGGAGTGTGTAGAATTTTTACGTAAACAATCTGGTCTTCCTAGATCTGATCAAACTTCATCAGGTGAGATTATTGTAAATATCTGACAAATTAAAGTTTTATACCTTAACTTTTTACGTAGTCATAGACATACATGTATACTTATTTATTGCTAGTGGGAACTCTATCCATTCAAAAATTATATTTATAATATTTGAAAGCTAGTGCTTGTTTCAAAAACATTGTAACATGAATATTAAAAAACCTCTATTACTGTATATTGAATAATCTTACTAACCAGTCAGATTTCTAGAAGTTAATTAGATATGATATTGGTGAAGAAAGTATATATTTATTTGTTTCCATTCTAGCAAGGAGACCATTGTCAGTTTTAAATACCTCACAACCAAAAGTGGAGCCAAGTTCAGAGAGCACAAAAGAAAAATCCCGTACTGTGATCCCCAAAGCTAGCTCATCTGTTGTTTGCCTTAAAGTAAAGGTAATTTATCTTGCTTTTATATATAATATATTAGAAAAGATATGTCTCAAACATTTGTGTACAACGCTTAAACTTAATGGCATTCAAAACAATTATCGTATTCATTTCCTGTTTGTTATTTTCAGGGTTTATGTAACCTAGGTAACACATGTTTCTTTAATGCTGTGATGCAGGTAAGAACTTTATACTTAGATATGATACATAAAATTAATAATTGTATAAGAATTACAGATATATCAATAGATGTAGTTGATATGATTATAAGAGGTCACTGAACCAGTTAACCCATGCTCAACTTGTGGCAATGAAACTTTTTATTTTACTTTCTAGAATTTAAGTCAGTCCCATAGTTTAGAATCATTATTAGTAGAGAAGACAGATAAAGGTAAATGTATAAGATTACCAGGTCATACTATAATAGATGTTGAAAGTAGTGGTTCTAGTGAAGAAGATGAAGATGATATTACTAATAAAGAACTGGTAATTATTTTGTTTAAGTCTTTTACACATCTCATTTTGTTTGAATAAGATTAATGGATGGTAGTTAAACGCTAAATGTAAATATATGGCAACTCCTTGAGTTTTGTGGAACTAACTGAGTGCTTTTTAGAACCTTAAAGCATTGTGTTTTGTTTTGTGGTTGGTTTTTTTATCTACTGCCGACTGAAAAAGTGTATATGGAAGTACTATCTTTATGTTTTTAATATAGAATCTATTTATATTTTACAGGCAAATATAGATATAGTACCTGGTGAAGCTGGACCATTAACACAATCTTTGTTAAGTTTTCTACAAGATATGAATAAAACTGGTAGTAAGAGTAGTAGTAATAATATTGTTAATCCATCACCTTTATTTGGTCAAATATGTAAGAAGTAAGTGAATTTGTTAATAGTTTCTCCTTATTTAGAATTGGTGCAAGTGACGCTATATTTGCTAGATAGACTTTGTTATTGTGAAATTGATAAGCTGTTGTCACTAATTGGAGGTGTTATGTAGCACAATCAGCTAAAGTGTTGGAAAATGTGCTTAAGCATTTACTTGGTCTAATTTAGATCAGCCTGTAAAAGTCTATTGAGCTATTGAAATGCGGGAAAGATCAAGTTTTGGCCTTCGGCCTTCAAATGAATTGTTAACTTTTAACATATTTGATGAAACATATTTTGTAGAGCACCAAGATTTAAAGGTTTTCAGCAACAAGATAGTCATGAATTATTAAGATATTTATTAGATGTTATTAGAACTGAAGAAATTAAGGTCAGTACAACCTTAAACCTTTTTCTCATGAGGGATGTAAAGGCACATAACAGCCAGTTGTTTTGTGACATTGAATTTGGCCTTGTGTTTGATTAGTAATTGTTTTGTACTTTTCACTTGTTTTGTTTTCTCCATGAAGAATTCTATGATGTTTCTGAAAGTAAAAACAGACCTTGGAAAACATTATTAGAAGCGTGTGACACAACTGATAGTAGCATTTATTATTATGATATATATTTATTTTTATTATAAACTTCAGAGATGTCAGGCTGGTATATTAAAGAAATTCAATGTCAATTCCAAGACAGTAGATGATGAAACTAAAATCAAAGTAAAAGGTAAAACTTTTTTCCTTTTAAGATTCTGATGCAGATATAATCATTTGTGTATCTAGGGTATTGAACACTTGCTTTCTGGGGATTCGGGTTAGAGAATCTGACATGGAAAAATGACAAGGCAATCAGATGGGACAGTTAAATGGGGTTATTAAATGCTTCAGTTTGTGGCAGTAAAAGGTCGCTAGATATTCCTTCAATTTAAAAAAAGTATCATGCTTTTATTTGCTCAGTTTGTTTTTGTCATAGCTATTACCGTTTTGTAGAGTAAAGTATATTATTCATAATTATAGAATATGGTCGTCAAGTTAAACATACCTTTATAGACAGTTTATTTGGAGGACAGTTAGTTAGTACTGTCATGTGTGAAGAATGTAAACATGTAAGTTATTTTATTTTGTTTACTCTTCCTTACAATCCATTATTCATGGTGGATTATTTTGTTTTCATTTAAAGGGATTGTTTGGCGGTTTCCTAGCCTTTTTATGTGTATTGGGGATACATGACTAAATCAATGTACTCATTATATCTGTCAATATCTTATTGTTTCATTACAGATTTCTCAAATATTTGAACCATTTCTAGATCTATCTTTACCAGTGACAGAGGAAAAGGTACTTTAAACTTCCTTAGTCATTTTCATTTCTGGATTATTTGATCTCTTTGAGAGCCTCAGACTGAAGGATCTGTTGACAACTGGACCATTTCATCTTTGTTGCAAATAATGTCTTAAGAAGTCTTACAATAGGCTGGAATTTTATATAATATAACATATGATAAATGTATTTGTATAGCCAAGTAGACCAAATTCTATGATTGGAACTAAGAAGAAATCTATGGATGAAGTTGATGATTCCCACACTAAGGCTGTTGATGGATTTGCTGCTAAAGATAAACCTACTAAACAACCTTCTAGAAAGGAGAAGAGAATGTCTAAAAAAGAACAGAGAGTATGTATCCACTTATAAACTTCTACAAATTTTGCATGGTCTTGAATCCATTACTCATTATTTAAAGAAAATTAAACTGTTCTAAAAAAATGTGATGAAAACATTGCTGCAGAACTGAATCATATAAATTTAAGATAGAGCTAACATCCCAGCAGCAAAATATTTATGTAGGATGTCCGAGTGGGTTCTGAGATGTTGGGCTCATTATAAAGAGGATTGGGTCGAAAGGTTGACACAGGGTACCAGGTTTTTCCAACATTAAGATGAATAGATTATTCTCTATTCTACATCTTCTTTATAACTTATTTATAGAGAAAAGAAAAAATAGCGAGAAAGGGTAATAAACAAGAAGATCCAATTGAAAATGATATAGTTAAAGATGCCAACCCAGAGGAAGGGAAAGGATCAGATGATGGACCTATATCTGATGGTAGAATATCAGAATCAGCTGATAATATTGAGAAAGAAGAAAAAGAAGATGACCATGAAAATTCTGGTAATTTGTTAATTTGCCTTAATTGAAAGACTAAACCAAATGAATGAATGACATTCAAACACCAGTTTTTTAATTCACATGGCTAATGCCACTGTCCTGGCTAAATTTTCAGCTTTGCATTCTGTTGCCCATCTCCTTCAGCCCAATTGGGTCATAAAGATTAGACTTCATTTCAGAATATATATAACTTGTAGTTGCCAAGATTCTTTGCTTGTTTGGTTTTATTAGGAGAATTGTTCTTGTGAATTCTATTATCTCATTATAGATGCAGACATCGAAGATAATCTAGAGAGTGATGCTTCCAAATTATTTGGTGGAGCTACAGCCAATGTTAGTTTACTAGGACAAGATAATATAAACCCTAGTGATAATATAACAGATCCATCATTAGGCAGTTCTAACAATTTAATAGCTTTAAATAAGACTAATCCTGAATTACAAAATGGTGTAACAGTGACAGAAAGTTTACAATTTCTACCTATAGTGAGAACTGATAATAATAATGATAGTAGTATTGATGCTGATAGTAGTTCAGTAACTTTAGTAGATAATGAAAGTTCTACATTATTTACTAGTACTGAAAGTTCTTTAACACCTAGTACTACTGGAAGTTCATATAAAACTAAGAGTACCGATAGTTCTAGATCTAGTACATGTGATATCAAGGATACTGTGGATGGGAACTGTCTACGACGGGGATTATCTGAATCATTAAATGAATTACATTTAGAAGATTCTCGAACTAGATTAGGTGCTACAGGTAATGATATTGTGCAGGATTTAACCAAGAAATTAAACTATTTAAATCTGGATATGTGCCATTATCCAACTAGTACTGATGATATTCCTTATATTGATGCTGAAGAGTCACCAGAAGGTACCAAGCCATCCAGTTTACCAATAATTAATCAAGAAGAAGATACTCCTGTATCAGTGGATTGTAATGGTCTTTCAAGAAGAAATTCAACACATAAAAAAGCTCGACAAGCCTTACGTAGGGAAGCTGAATACAAGTCTATGTCAACACTATCAGCACGATACCATTCTGTGGGTAAAGAATGTTCTATATCATCTTGTTTACATCAGTTTACTTCAGCTGAATTATTAACTGGTAGTAATAAAGTTACTTGTGATAATTGTACCAGGATTAAGATGAAAAAATTACCAAATAAAGGTGGGTTTAACAATGTTTTCATGTACTTCTGAACTTTTAATGTATCATTTAACACATATAGCCGAATATCACTAATACTGTAAAAAAAGAAATTTTCAATATAAATAAAAAAACACTTGTATCTTTATGCATTTAGTAGAATATAACCAAAGTTGGTGGCCTTCTTGGTCCAAAATGATCCTAATCTTTTCATTTGTTTTCTTCATTACATTGCTGATAATTATTGTGTTGTTATATTCCAGATAAAAAGAAGAGTGATAGTGTGTGTTCTAATGCTAATAAACAATATCTGATATTCCAACCACCTGCTGTATTAACTTTACATTTAAAACGATTTGAACAGGTAATATATTATTTATTTAATGATTATAAAATGATGCAATGATATATTTGTGCAGTAAACATACCTGAGATATTTTGAATGTAGAAAGATACTTTTAAGAGGATAATATCCAATATTTTTAGAGATAGTAACTTGTTTTCCCTGGATTATTTCAAACAGTTTGTCTAAATATCTTACTTCTGAAGGGCTCTACAATTTCACATGTAAGTCAAGTTGACCATACAAGTCAGAAAGCTACTGCTTACCCAATCCTAAGTTGGAAGTTAGGTATGATATAGCATCCAGTCATTGAAATGTTAGATGCAACCACAAAAAGAAAATATTACACAGATATGTTTGCATTGTTTGACTGAACATGATTTGTACTCTTAATTCTATCATTTCAGATTGGATTTGCTTCTAGAAAAGTGAATAGACATGTTGATTTTCCATTATTATTAGATTTAGCACCATATTGTAGTTCTCTATGTCAGGTGGGCAATATCTTCAGTGTTTTTTATATTTTCAAAATGTATAGGGTTGATTATTAGCTATCACCATTATCTTGACATAACTCTATAGGGGTAGAAATATAAATATTTTCTTTCTTCATCCTTATCTAGTATAATTTAGTATATACTCTTCTTTATCCTTAACAACTTAGTTTTGTTTTGGAATAATATAATATAATTTCTATGTATTTTATTGTAGGGTATTGAACCAGGTCAAAAGAAAATCCTCTATTCTCTGTATGGTGTGGTAGAACACAGTGGACGTTTATCAGGTGGTCATTATACAGCTTTTGTTAAAGTTAGACCTAATATGAACTCTGTAGTTAGTTTTATAAATCCTAACTTTACCTTTCCTAAAGAATATATACACCGGTATGTTGAGCGGTCATTGAATGGACCCAAGTCACCTGATATAGATGTAAGTGATAAATTTGTAGAAAGTTTAGTACCGCCAGGTAAATGGTATCATATAAGTGATAGTCATGTTCACGAAGTATCTGAATCCTCAGTACTACACGCACAAGCTTATTTGTTATTTTATGAACGAATATATTAATATATAGATCATTATTATAGAAAATTTTGTATGTTACAAAAACATCTGAAGTGCTTTGAAAATTTATACTCAGTACTTTAGATAACTATATTTATTTGAAATACACAATACAGATTGTGCAATTTTGTTTACCAATTGAACCTAAGTCTGAGAATTGGGGAATTTTTAAGCTAAGCCAATCAGTAATAGCGTTCACATCTCACCATCAAAATTTGAGCTTTCAAATCCATATGTGTCGAGAATTATCAGGAAAGTCAGCCATTCCTCTTCTATAGAAATAGGAAAAGAAATTCCTAGTTTAAGATTTATTTGAGGTTATGGGATTTTCGTACGACTATTTACATATTCAAGACTCAAATCAAATCCCGAAAAATGGTGCATCTGAGCCTTTAATATATGATAAAGTATATGGTTATTTGGCAACAGTATTTATGTACAAGAATCCCTCTGAAGCTATATTGTTCAATGATATTGTTCATTATGTAACTTGCTCCTTGGCAATATGAGATGAGATTATGGCTCAAAATATATTTTGAATTTGAGTATTTAGATTTCATTGCTTGAATTTATATCATTATATAAATCAAAATGTTAAATTTAAAAGAGTGCCTTCAAATTGTACACCATAATTTCTATAAATTAATTCTAATTACAAGAACAAAGGTATTTAAAATTTGTCTTTTTTCATGATTTATAGGATATCTTTATATGTATTTCTGTTAATTTATATATTTGTTTCGAGTAATGAATACAATAAGTGTTATTCTTTGAGAGGATAATTTAACTATTAATCCGTCAACATGAGTATAAAGGCCATGAACTTTACATTAAATTTTCAGCCCTCAAATTTCACTTATTACTGTTTCATGTCAGTTTTCTGCTTTCAAACAATCATTCTTGAAATAGTTATATATTATCTTATATTCTAATGTTATTTGTTCTTAAATTTCTCGTGAATTTACCTGAATATAAGATATGAATTTTTTTGATTGATATTATTTTAACTCTTACTAGAATTTGATTTGGAACTTATAACTTTAAACTAATGACATAAAAGTATTGTAGATATAGAATAAATAACGGAAAGATCATGAATTGTTGAAGACACTCAAAATTGTTATAATAGTGTGTTTGTGTTTGAGGGTAAATTATATTAATGTACATTACATTATTTGTTACTGGTTTTATGGAATAAACATTTATTTGTTATGGTTCTGAGTGGCATTTTTAACTAATTCCTTGGAAATTTGCTGAAGGGAATTCCATACAACTTAAAAAATCACGACCAAATTACGTCGACACAGCTCTATAAAATTGACGTTAGCTATTGGAGTTGCTTCCCTTTATCCCAGGTTTCCATGTGTCATTAATTGTCTTGAGATTTTCTTGGTGAAACGGACTTGCCGCCAACAAAGATTTTATATGGACTCACTCCACTAATTCATTTGCCATCTCTTCCCATGTTAAAACACGAAATTCAACCTTCTATAACTTTTTTCAGAAATCTCGTTGAAAGCTTTCCAATATGTCGAATGAAAGTCTGACCAATTCTCAATGTCTCCTAAAAAATTCATTATGTGATGACCATGAAAATTTTGAGCTACTAAAATTGAAAGTAGACTACTACCGGTTAAACTCATCTTGGCACTTCACTATACGACTATTTTTAGAATTAGCCTTCCGCCTTTAGGTCTCTCATCATCTCACCAAATCTGAAAGATAATGCAATTTCAGACATCAAATTCCAAATCTAGACCAAATTTTACCCACAAATAGGCATGCAAAAACCCCATAAGGGAGAGAGAAAGAAGATTTGTACAATCATAAAATGTTTTAGTGGAGTGAGTCCTATATACTTCTGGTCAAAACAAACACACACGTCTACATTGTACTTCATATTTAGATAATTATTACAACAAAATGGGTCAGGATTGTAGGCCCTATTGATTCAATTATAATTTATTCCACTTAAAAATCAAGTGGACCGTTTTGCTCGACAAACAACTAAAAGTTGTCTCTTAATATTAATAAACACAGACCGCATCTGTATGAATTGGCATCAACCTTTGGAGTTGCCTCCCATGTTTCTGATACAAATTCAATTCAATTCAAATTCCCGAAGCATTGATTAGTTTTGTCACAATTCCGTCACGACCCATTCTAATCGAGCATTAATTCCGGGCAAGTTGCTTTTACAACACAATGGGATTCAATGTATAGATTCAATTATTATTTAATTCTCCCAAAAATTAGGTGGAATGTTTGTTTTATATGTGTACAAATTTGTTGATGTTCACAAAAGGCTTTTTTGAATATAACGACGATTAGATATCTCTGAATATCAACTAACATACTACAGACCAAAACTGTATGAAATTGACCCCAGCCATTGTAGTTGCCTCCCTTTTGCCCATGTTTCTGATTCTGGTCTCTGGCGCATAGACTTCTCTTGTTTTGATGAGTTCATCGTTTCACGATGGTGTGCAGATATATGACCATTTTGCATTCTAGGCAATAAAGAGTTTGAATGTGAATTTGATTCGGACGCATAAGGATTTTTGTTTCATGAAAACTTAAATGATGCAGGTCATTTACTGTTCAATAACATAGCATATAATGGCACAAGGAATAGTGGGAAATGAAGCTTCAAAGTTTTTGTATCCCCGCCACCGCCTTATCTTCTAAACCCCACACGATTACACCGAGAAAATAATCTAGTACCCACGCCAACGACAATGTTTTTTACGATTAATTATTTAAGACTATCACAATATAGATCAAAAGATAACAAAAAAGACAGACGTAAGTCTTTTACTCGATAAAACATACTGTGCTGGTACCATTGTCATACATCTGTCCATTCCCGCCATGTTTGTCATCAAGTTTTTGTTTCCATTATTGGTCATATTAGTTTGCGTTGATGCCAAATACCATTTCAGCGTCAAGGACTGTGGTAAGTGATTTCCTTTCCTTTCCAATGGACACAAACCAATTGTACCGGATCATTCATCCATATGGTTTAAATATTCGACGAATACCCGGTCATGAACTAAATGATCTCGGATTAGCGATAACCCAGATAATGATAATGCTGCATTCGGGAGATACGCACATCTAGTAGGTACATATGCACTGAAAACAGAACTTGTAAGAAGTTTATTTTCTTAGTGGTTCATTTGACTGTTCCTACTGTTTTATTTACCATGGTTCATATTAAGGTATTTAAACACCATATTAACTCGTATTTACATTCTCTAGTTCATACTGACTCGTATTTACATGCTCTAGTTCCTATTGACTCGTATTTACATTCTCTAGTTCCTATTGACTCGTATTTACATTCTCTAGTTCATATTGACTCTTATTTACATTCTCTAGTTCATATTAACTCGTATTTACATTCTCTAGTTCCTATTGACTCGTATTTACATTCTCTAGTTCCTATTGACTCTTAGTTCAGTCGTTGGTTCATATTAACTCGTATTTACATTCTGTAGTTCATATTGACTAACATTTACATTCTCTAGTTCAAATTAACTAACATTGCATTCTCTAGTTCACATTGACTCGTATTTACATTCTCTAGTCCCTATTGACTCTTATTTACATTCGCTGGTTCATATTAACTCGTATTTACATTCTGTAATTCATATTGACTAACATTTACATTCTCTAGTTAATATTAACCAACATTACATTCTCTAGTTCATATTGACTCGTATTTACATTCTCTAGTTCATATTGACTCGTATTAACATTCTCTAGTTCATATTAACTCGTATTGACATTCTCTGGTTCATATTAACTCGTATTTACATTCTCTAGTTCATATTGACTCGTATTTACATTCTCTAGTTCATATTGACTCGTATTAACATTCTCTAGTTCATATTAACTCGTATTGACATTCTCTAGTTCATATTAACTCGTATTTACATTCTCTAGTTCATATTGACTCGTATTTACATTCTCTAGTTCATATTGACTCGTATTTACATTCTCTTGTTCATATAAATTTCTATTTACATTCTCTAGTTCATATAAATTGCTCTTTACATTCACTAGTTCATATCAACTAACATTACATTCTCTAGTTCATATTGACTCGTATTTACATTCTCTAGTTCATATTAACTCGTATTTACTTTCTCTTGTTCATATAAATTGCTATTTACATTCTCTAGTTCATATAACTTTCTGTTTACATTCTCTAGTTCATATTAACTACCATTACATTCTCTAGTTCATATTGACTCGTATTTATATTCTCTAGTTCATATAAATTTCTGTTTACATTCTCTAGTTCATATAAATTTATATTTACATTCTCTAGTTCATATTAACTACCATTACATTCTCTAGTTCATATTGACTCGTATTTACATTCTCTATTTTATAAAAATTTCTATTTACATTCTCTAGTTCATATAAATTGCTCTTTATATTCTCTAGTTCATATTGACTCGTATTTACATTCTCTAATTAATATTAACTCGTATTTACATTCTCTAGTTCATATTGACTCGTATTTACATTCTCTTGTTCATATAAATTTCTATTTACATTCTCTAGTTCATATAAATTGCTCTTTACATTCTCTAGTTCATATTAACTAACATTACATTCTCTAGTTCATATTGACTCGTATTTACATTCTCTAGTTCATATTAACTCGTATTTACATTCTCTTGTTCATATAGATTGCTATTTACATTCTCTAGATCATATAAATTTCTGTTTACATTCTCTAGTTCATATTAACTACCATTACATTCTCTAGTTCATATTGACTCGTATTTACATTCTCTAGTTCATATAAATTTCTGTTTACATTCTCTAGTTCATATAAATTTATATTTACATTCTCTAGTTCATATTAACTACCAATACATTCTCTAGTTCATATAAATTTCTGTTTATATTCACTAGTTCATATAAATTGCTATTTACATTCTCTAGTTCATATAAATTTTATGTTTACATTCTCTAGTTCATATAAATTTCTGTTTACATTCTCTAGTTCATAAAAATTTCTATTTACATTCTCTAGTTCATATAAATTGCTCTTTACATTCTCTAGTTCATATTAACTCGTATTTACATTCTCTAGTTCATATTAACTCGTATTTACATTCTCTAGTTCATATTACTCTTTCGTTATACATTCTCTATTTCATCCAACTTTGTGTAGACTTTCTTGCTCCTATATGTTAAATTCTTGTGTTACAGCACGCAGGGAAAATGCTTCAGTTGTATTTAGTGATTTTAAAGTTACACCTGATCCTGTAGAAATACCTGGAAATCTAACAGTATCTGGCGCTGTTGTATTTAAAGAAGCTATAAGTGGTAATGTTTCTCTGGAACTGGCTATTAATAGATCTATGGGGTTCTTTGATTTAACTTTACCATGTATTAATCATCTAGGCAGTTGGTAAGTCCACCAGTTTGATTAATCTAAATGGAAAAGTGAGTTCTACCGAAAACTGCTAAACTGGAGACACAGTTGAGATGGATTTCCTTGTGAAAGCAGTGTTTTGATCATTGTGAAGGTTGAGTTTCGACACTAGATTTTGATCTTGAAAATTTTCTTTCTTTGTATTGAGATGGATTTGAACCTGCATCTCCTAATCGCTAAGAAGATTTGAGCAACGCTACAAAAGGCCTTTTTCAAATCTAGCTTAACATAATCGATATCGTTTCTAGTTCAGAATTCTAGTCAAGTTCTGAACATTGTAACATTATAATTTCAGTAAATATGACGATGTATGTACCATATTGGATCAAGGCAATGCTTCATTAGGTTGCGCACCTCAACTGAAAGAAAATGGTTTTCCGTGTCAATGTCCGTTTTTAAATGGAACCTACGATATAAATCATACAATATTTGTTTTACCGGAAGTGAAGGGTATTTGGAAACAATTTGCTAAGGTAACTATCTTATTGTTAACTAAACTATCTGTTTGATTACCTTTGGTTTCTTTTCAACTCATTTGATGTATATTTCAACAGATTTTTTCCTTGGAAAATGACTGAGCCTTTTCCGTTAATTTATTTTTCAATTTGTCTCAATTGCTCTTTTCTACATCTCGTCTATTCTTGAATTGTGTAAATAAATAAATCAAGTACTAACGATCCGAACCACAAAACGAAACCCGAAATAAATTATAATTATGAGTACTTTTCATAAAAGAGACATTCCGCTTTTTTTGTGGCTCAAATTTTTTTCCCCTCAAATTTGTGAAAACTATACACAGAGAAATGTGTCCTTTAACGTATCTGAAATTTAATTTAATTAAAAAAATCCAGCCGTTAATTTTTTAATGCCAAAACTATTTAAAACGTAACTTAAGTTTACGCAAACTTTCAAGATTCGTTATATTTTTTGGAAGCTTTTAGAAAACTACTGAACCGATTTCAGTTTAATAAACACCTAATTGTAGAGAAATATGCCTCCTCCATATTTTTAAAGGTTTCAACGAATAATATCGAGCCATTATAAATCCAAACACAAAATTTAGTTTAAGCTGCTTACTTAACAATTATTACTGTCCGTCTTTAATTAACCTTTTTAAAACAAATTCATTTTGATCAAGTAGATTCATATATATAAATAAGATATATATTCAGGTATACCTGAAGATTATATATAATTTATAATGCCCTTTAACTTAAAGCTCCGATCCAAATGTTTATACAAGTCCTTCAGGAATTTAACATGGAGTAATCTTTCAGGGTGATTATGCTATATCATTAAAACTGGTAGATGAAGATGCTGGAGAAATACTCGGATGTCAAGAATTAACCTTTTCTCTAGATGAACCTCATCCAGAAGGTGTCACACCAAAACCATGTGATTGGCTGTGTAAATTGATTGGATAATTATAATCATCAAATAGTAATTATTTTTATGCCTTTTTGTAAGAATAAAGTATGCCTAAAACTATTATGTTTATTTTCCACCACCATCCTCTCAGTTAAAGAGCGGATCTGAAATTTTGTGGTATTTAGAGCTTTGGACAGATGCTTCGACTGTCTTTTCCATTTCCGTAGAATATCTTCAGAGAAAAATTCAAACCAAATTAAGACTTTCAGGCTACCATACTAATTTCCTGTTGTATAATTTGCAACCCTGAGAAATAAACGAAATAACATGAAATACACCACTGAAGTGAAGTGAAGACCGGAAGTGACCTATTTATAACTAACCTGGGGATTGTCGGATGGTCAGTAAGTGATATACATGACCTGAAAGTGGACTAACTGATAAGATAAGAAGGGTTAAGTATAAATAGCCGGATCTTGGAACCTGGCATGTTCTTTACCTCTACTTTCACTATGTTGGCACTTATTCTTCTGGCAGTAGTATCTTCAGTATTCGGTGCACGTCCTGGATTCCATGGTACCGGCAATTTAGAATGGAGAGATTGTAGTAAGTTAATGTTTATTTAAACAAATTGCCGAGTTTCCCCTCTTGAGAAGAGCACTTCTTGTGCTATCCCAGCATCCAGTCAATTGTTATGTCAATTTTTGCTCTGCGATATAGGTTATATTACAGCAGATATGTACAACCCATCCATAGTAAGCTATGGAGTTGATTCCATGATTCCAAACACACTAGTTGTTCAGGTTACTTTACCTTCCTCTCTTATTGTAGGTAATTCTGGCGATTCATGGCTCAAAGTAAATAAATTTGACATCTCACCAGCACCAATCACTATTCCTGGTTCCATGAGAGTCACCTTAGACAGTAACCTGAGTCACCAACTCAAAGATGCTGTTACTATGGATGTCGTCATTGAGAAGGAATTGTTGGGTGTTTTCACCAAGGTTGTCTGTGTTAAAGATGTTGGAACTTGGTAAGAATATTATTATGTTTTGATGATTGTGGTTTAAAGATGAAAAAAGTGAATATGTGCAATTGACTGCTATGTTTCGAGATTCTTGAAGAGAGGAAATCAAAAGTTATTTCTGTCTTTATCTTTTAGCCATTATGACGATCCCTGCCATTTCTTAAACACATTCAAAGGTGTTGGAGGATGTCCTAAACAGTTAGCAGATAATGGTTTACCTTGTACCTGTCCTTTTAACCCATCACAAATCAGACTTCCACCAACACAATTTGATGTTACTAAAGTTTCTAGTGAATGGTCTTTCTTAGCAACCGTGAGTTCTCTTAATTATTCACCCCTTGATGGCATAAATACCCTGGTGCCACTCTGCCATTGTGAGGGTTCAAAAATATGATATTGTTGTTCTTGGGGTCGTAACCCCCCTATGGCAATGACTTCCAGTAAAAGAATAAACTTCACGTCTTTCACGGCTAACAACAATTTTGAAAGCAAAATACGAGTGATACATCCAAAACTCTGTCTCTGTTATATTAGTATTCTGTTCCAATATTAAATATTCTACCTCGTATTTAATTTCAGGGAACTTACCATATCAAAATCTCCATGACTGAGAAATCCAGCAAGAAAGTTAGAGGATGTATTGAAAGTTTCTTGAAAATCAGTTATAACAAATTAGGTTAAGTTATTGGACAATAAAATATTTATATCATGTACACCACAATTTGTTATTTAAAGCTGTTTGATAAAACTGTTAATTGTCCCTTTTGAAATTGATCCGATTTTAATCTGCGCAAAATTCATCATAGGATCGGGTTATTGGAAGTTTCATCGTCGGATTAATTTAATTGTTTTTACATCTGAGTCAGTGATAAAATGATTGTTTCAGTGCTTTGCTAAAATGTATTGCAATGATAAAATTTAAGTAAAAAAATTGGCCTTACAGTAGTTAGTAAATCGTTATCTGCATTTGATTACTAAGCTACTTGTTCTGCTGTTCTGTTCTGTGATAAGATAAGCTGTAGTATATAACAGATTTTCATCTGATCTCTTATCACTTGTGGTGCAATATATTACACAATGTTTGCTGCTGTCTTCCTATCGCTTGTAGCTACCAGTTTTGCTGCCCATCCGGGTTTCACAAGTACTGGCAATGTAGAATGGAAGAATTGTGGTAAGTCTACAATGATTTTTCAACCATCCGTGGATTTTTTGAGTAAAATGCTTTTACAGATTTGTTTGTAGACCAATTTTAATGTCGTATGTTGTTGGGTTGTGATTCTGTGTTTGTAATATGGATTGACAACCTTTTTACTGCACCATAAATTGTACATCTTTAGGTAACCCAGCAGATGACTGGATCGCTGTCAGTAAATTTGATATTACACCATCTCCTATCAAAGTTCCTGGTAACCTTAGAGTTAATCTTGACAGTAAAATAACCCACCAACTGGAGAATGCTGTCACTATGGATGTTGTATTCGAGAAGGAATTATTGGGTGTCTACACCAAGGTCGTCTGTGTTAAGAGTGTTGGAACATGGTAAGCTACTTGTTGACTGTTCATTCAAAGCGCAAGAACTGAGATCGAATACATTTGAAAGCACGCACTACGTGTAAAGAATCGACAAAGAAGTTCTGGTTACTGAATTCCTCGTTCCTCCTTGCGCATACTATCACCAATTCAAAGACATTCGTAAGCCGTAGACCATGATCGACCTGCAAAAGCAAATTACATTCCATCCGATGATGACAAAGTAAATTGTTGAATCGTGTCAAATAAAAGTTTAAAGAAAATATTATACATGTGACATAAAATTGTGTTGCGCGAAAACCGAGGAGATTTTGCTTTTTTCTTGGTCGCGAACAAGTCACAGTTCTAGTACTCCCGTCTTAGATATAATTTTAAATGATTTCTTTTCAGTCACTATGACGATCCATGTCACTTCTTAAATTCATTTAATGGTCCAAAGGGCTGTCCAAAAGAGTTGGCCCAGAATGGTTTACCCTGTACATGTCCCTTTAAAGCACAAGCTATCAAACTACCCAATACTGAGTTCGTTGTTACCAGTGTTTCTAGTGCATGGTCTTTCTTAGCTACAGTAAGTAAACCAAATTGTAAATGAAACCTTGCGTCCAACACGCAAGAACTGTGTCGGACAAAATGGCAGTTTTCTTCTGGTCAGCACAATTGATGTCCCATGGTCAGAAATTTAATGTCAAAGAACAACCTAATAAGATCATATTGCATACAAATCGGTTGACCGAAGTAGGAAATAATACACATTTGTAGAAAGGGGTTCGCGTTTTCATTACAAATTAATGCGACAGGAGAACAATTTTCTACTCCTTTGTACAGCGGAAAATTACTAACGTTTGCTCTTTATCCACTGAAATATTATCTTTTTACAGGGAACATACCACATCAAAGTCTCAATGACAGAAAAAGCCACCAGCAAAGTCCGAGCTTGTTTTGAAACTTACTTAAAGATTCAACATTAAGATGTGTATTATCATAGAAATATATAATATTGAGTACCGTCAAGATTTGAAAGTTTATATCTTATGTATTTCATAATAAACGTTAGAGTACAGTAAAAACTTTGAATTAGTCATTAGAATATTTAGAACATTAAGGGATTGTAAAAATACACTTTTTATTTATTTGTACCATTCCAATTTTAAGTCAGATGTCCGAGGTGCCTGCAAATCCACTATCACAAAACTGCTAATATGATTTAAAACCCTTTGCGATCTAATAGAGCTTAGATTAAGTGAAATTGCAAGAACCACAGACTCTCGATTGAAAATTTGAACCGTGCATATGTTGCTTTCAGCTTCCCCAAAACAGAAACCCCTTTTCTAACGGCATGGCTGAATTTCACATCCATTGGGTGAATTAGGCAGAAAGTCTTCATCCCCCACATTCCCCTACTCCACCCTTACCAAGAATATTAGTTCTACCTGTGGTATACCTTGCTAATAAAGAGAATAATTTAGAATTTGAAACATTATAATGATTTATTGTGATTAATGAAATAGAGTAAACTGTAAAATACTAGCACTACAAAATACAATAAGTTTGTTAGTTGGCTACTATCATCCCACTATTTCAAATAATATCCTAAAAACCTGAACACTCAACATCTTGTCCACGTTACATTTACAATTATTTGTTAAGAATCGATGTACAATTTTCTTTAATGATTTTATTCCTTTCACAAACTGATACCAAATCTAGTTCTATGTTGGACATAGCAAACCTCTGATTTCTTTATGCAAAATATGATTTACTTTTAGATGCATAAAAAAGGCTCAATGATTATAAATGGGAGACCCATAAACCCTGGAGGTACATGTCAATAATCTTATTTGGTTTCCTGAAATAAAGGAAAATTTCACACAATCTGGCAACCAAGCTAATCTGGTATAAGAAAATAGATAGTTAATGTATAATGATAAACAAGTTAATTTTTTTTTATTAAATGATTATGCAGGTCAAATTAGAAATTGAAAATCTTAAAAAAAAGTTAAAATATAAACAGAAATTTACATAAGTAGGAAAGACCTGAGAATTTTGCCATGTATCCTGAAAGTTTCATTAAATGTAGGATATGGACAAATTCTGATAAGGAAATGTACAGTTTTGCTCAGTAAAGGTTGTATTTTAATATTACAGATTCTTTGAAATGACCTCTCAGTAACTTAAGTACAGTCAGACTCTCTATCATTTTTGTCATTTCACAAGAGCCATAATACCTCAAATAAAAAGGGCACACAGAAATCTTTTGATCTTCGTGGCACGTAATTACAAATTATGCCAATGACAACATTTGTAAGAAACAAGGATGAAAGGAAAACAACAAAAATTATTACATGGATACAAATACAGGAAATAAATAAAAAAAATTAAATAAGAAAATATCAGAACAATCAACAGGATATTCTCTCATTGAATTGTTATAGTTAGTTCAAAACAACATGTTGACTTTTCATTGAATTGTTAACAAATCAGTTCAAAACAACATGTTGACTTTTCATTGAATTGTTAACAAATCAGTTCAAAACAAAGTTAACATATCAAATCATAAAATGACAGTTGAGTTGTAACATATAACAACAGTCACTTGTAGAATAGTTAACAAATCAAAACTGCTGAATTGTTAACATATCAGAACTGTTGAATTGTTAACATATCAGAACAATCTGTTTTCTCATTGAATTATTAATGTTCATATCTGTTAACATATTGCACACTATCTACTGCTAATCACTTCATTCAAAATATCAGATTGTGGTTATTATGATTATCATTATCAATAGACAAAAACATGCAAATTCATTACTATAAAAAAATACATACACTAAGCCAAGGATTCTCAAATCAAAGTTTTACAAAATAGAATATACAAGAATATACAGGTACTGCAGCTAGAAACATTTCAGATTCTCCTACTGGCATCATTTTAAAAAATCATACTAGTTTTCAAAATGATTGCAACAGTATTAGCCAATCAGAGATCATAAGACCATAAACAAAATGTTTCAAGCAACGTGTACCAAATTATTAAAAAAATTAAACCGGATAAGGTTTAATATTTGAATTATGCGTAAATTTGAGCAGGGTTGAAATTTAACATGTAAAGGTAAAAATATAACAGGGTATTTTATATACAGAATTCTATAGACATATGTCACAATACTTTAATATAACAACTAATACTCTAAGGGGAAAATCAACAGGAAGCTAAATTTCATGGCATACATTTCTAAAGCAAGCACCACAAAGTATCTAAAATTTATGACCCCACTTTTTGTCACTAATCATGGAAGTAAAGTAGACAGTCTGTACAAAACCATATTAAAAGTACATAGTTTTTAACAATATTAATATCAAACTTATTCAACATATTTTTAACCCTGTGCCAGTACTTTCTGTTGAATAGTAACTTGTTATCTTTTATCCACTCTAATCTCTAATTTAACAAGAGTTTTGAAATTCATATTGACCTGATTGCTGAACAATACAGAAGGGTTTCACTGTATATACTTAAGACTCTCATTCAAATACAATAAAACCATGTAGTAATGATCTAACAAAAAATAACAAAACAAAATACTAATTACAAGAGGGTGATTTGGTCCATTACTGCCACTGTTAACTGGAATAGTCTAAGAATAATGCTACAGGCTATGTCTATACATACATATATATATATATATAATGGCCAGGAAGACAAAGACAACACAAGTTTTGATTTCATTAGTTAGATTAATCATCCAGATATGTAACAATTAAGATGAAAGAAATGAAAATTCATTTCATTAATCTATATTCTATTATTATCATTTATAATTATAATTTATTTATTATTTTGATAATATCTTAACTTTAGAATGAAAACATCTTATATCTTTAATTTATAATTTTTGTAAAAATAATTTATTCTTTAAAAACTTCTTTGTAAATATAAAAAAATCTATTTTCATTTGGCTTTGTACTCAATAATCAAATTAAGTTTTAGAAGAAAACAAGATACAAATTATTTGTATTACATTGACCTCTATATCATATATAGTCAAATTAATGAACACAATTAAAGTCATCACATTGCTTACCCTAAGATCATTATTTATTTAGAAAAAAAACTTAAAATCAAACATTAGTGTAAACTGTAAACATGAGATTCATTTACTTTGATCAAATTCATTCAAAAAAATCAAATATTATTCAAGCACTTCAAGACAATCTAATCATGATAGGTCATGGGAATTTTACCATTTGTTTCTGACTTTTTATCTTGGTTTATCTAATGTAGGACATAGATTTATCTGGTATCCGATCCTTTTAAAGGTTAGCTACTAGGTTTAAAATATTCACTATACATTAATATTAATATACTCCTTTAGAGTCTTTTTCAATAATCATGTAGCAGAATGAGAATTTTTCATTGCCGAAAAGGGTTTCAAGTTGACATAATTCAATTGCAAGTCAAACTTAATTAATGGATGTTAGTATTTAAAAGGGACATGCATGCCAAATCTTAACTACAAAGTTAACAAGTTAAAAAGTTAAATAATCATATCAACATAAATACAACCAAGTATGGTAATTGTGATTTTTATTCTCTCTAATAATTGATGGAACTCTCTATATTCCCCGCGGTTCCATTTTTATCATTTTTTCTACGTCGCAATGACTCAGCCTCCATTATAGCTTCTTTAGCTAAATACTTCTCTCGTAAAACTTGTAATTTAACAGTCTTAGGTATATCTGGTACAATGTAGGATACCAACCAGGAGAAAAAGAACACTAACAACTAAAGAAAAAAACAATAGAAAATAGATAACAAATAGCCTAACATTGACACTAAAATGTTTGTTTTTGTTTTTAGACCTGAAGTACTCTTTTAATTTATTGATAATCACCATCCTTTCTTTTTTACTGAAATGGGTCTTCAGTCTTCACTTACTTTGTATCTATCATCCTGTCTGAATTTTACTTTTAATATAAACAGGTCTGGTCGATTTGTCCCAAATGACAGGACATGCCTGAAAGTCACTTATGGTTGGTAAAGTTTCAGGTGTTCAAATTACTTTACATGGTAAGACTTGGCTTCCAGAGCCAGTTTTAATGGACCTGAAGGCATTTGGGGTTAGTAAGAGTATAATCAGAATACTTACAATAAAGATGAGAGCAAAAGCTAATCTAGCTGCCAGTACATGCCAGAAGTCCATATCAAAATTGTAATTATCTTTATCTCTAAAATCACGGTACCTGAAACAATTTAGAAATAAGAGAATTAAATTACTTGACACGTTCATCAATGTAAAATACAGTGGTAGTACAGTTATTGTAATCAACTTGCAACCCTGTCAATAATATCAACAAGAGTTTGGAATGAGGATGATATAAGATAATTCAAACTGGGTCTCTCAAAATTAACCTACCTACACTCTGTAACCACACCAAATACCTCCGAATTATTATTAGCAGGTCTACTCTCATCCTCAAAATCTTTAACTTTAAAGGTGGATAAACTGAAGTTGACGTAACCATGTAAATTTTCATTATTATAACCATAGACATACACTAATTTTGGTATGAACTCTGTAGTAAATGCTATAATCACTGACTGTAAAATATAAAAAAAATGTCGTTAGATAAAATATTTTAATAAATTTTGAGCAAATCATGAATTCTATAGTCTTCCTATTTTAAAATAGGTCATAATGTTCAATCAGTAATTGGATTTTCATATAAGAAATTTCTATTTAATCCCAAATACTCACATTAGTAATGACAGCAATAGTAGAAATACCACGTAAAATACCAAACCAGATACCAATGTCTTGACCACGTACTGCTAGTGGTCTACGCCACTGGGTTACAAATTTATAGGCATCTAGTCTAATTTCAATGATGTTGTTTATTAAGGCAAATAATGGGGCGAGAGGGAAGGCTGCCACAAAGATGGTGACAAATCCAAATTGTATGACTAAAATAAAAAAAAATAAAAAATCAAACTAAAATAATGACAGTTAAATTTTTTAAAAATCATTAAAGACATTAAGTTCTTAAAAGTATAAAAAATGATAATTGGCTTTTTATTGAAATTTTTTCGAGAGTAAGGGCTTGAAATTCAGTTGACATGTGAACCAAGGAACTCACCCATTTCTAAATATTCATCAAATAGTCCCAATTTATTCATAACAGCTAGATTATAGTCATCTTCCCATCGTGGTAATTTCTGTTTCTGTTCTTTAGGTATACCCCATGTTTTATATAAATTCATAATTTTACTGCAAAAATAACAGATTTGTAATTTTATTGTAAACATATAGATTCAAACTGTAATTAACATTTATTCATTATTTGAGTGAAATAAATAAATAAATAGATATATCATATTTCTGCACCTGATTATGAAAGGGGCAATGACATGCATATATGAAATGTTTATTATGATAAAAAAAGCACAATGATAAACATATTGCTACTCACGGTAAAATAATTTCTTTAAAGTTGTTGAGGGCCTGTTTACCAACCATAACAATAGCAAGTTGTATACATAGTTCTATTAAACACCCAGCTGGATCACACTATTCAAATAGAACATACAAATTATACAATATACACAAATTATACACATCAAATACAACACACAAATTATACACTATTCAAATACAACACACAAATTATACACAATCAAATACAACACACAATTTATACACAATCAAATAGAACACACAAATTACAAACAATCAAATACAACACACAAATTATACACAATCAAATACAACACACAAATTATACACAATCAAATACAACACACAAATTATACACTATTCAAATACAAAACACAAATTATACACAATCAAATATTACACACAAATTACAAACTATTCAAATAGAACACACAAATTATACACATCAAATACAACACACACAATTATACACTATTGAAATTTAACACACATTATAAATCACTACTCAATTATTCAATTGCTAATTTTGTAGAAAAATAAACATAAACAAAGAATAAGTACCTCTTCTTGTCTTTTACCATTTAATTCTCTGTTATACTTTCCTGGTCGGCCCAAAAATCTGAACAACAAAACAAACAGAATACAAATAATAAAATAACTTATTTTATGTTTGTTCATACAATGAAACCATGTTAAACACTAATGTTCTAATCCTTACTTATGGAGATTCTCTTTCTTTTCTATGGTACAAGGCTGGGTTGATAATAAAGGATGACAATTTATCATTGTTATAAAAGTCAAACTTTCTGTTTATGCTTAAGTGTAAAAGAGGCATTAAATGGTTAAGTTGTTATTCTTCGAAAATATGGATTTATTTTTTGCAAGGTGAACTTACCTGCCTTTGAAGAATGCAATATAGAATAGAGATGAATAATGATTGATAAATTGAAATAAAAACATTTTAAATGTAAAACTATCTTCCCATTCAGTCTCTGTTCGATGCATTTCTGAAAAAATAAAATAAAAATTATCTAAAAAAATATATAAATGCAAACAACAAATATCTGTGAGAAAATATTCATGCATAAATATCGCACTAGATTGTTGAATTTAAGACTACAAGTACTGTTCACTTACCAAAATTAGTTAAAAATTCAGCAATTCTCAAATAAACCTGGAAGAAAGATATAGATTTGTATACAGTACAAGATTGCACGCTTGTATTCCTTTTAGAGGAAATAAAAGGTACTTTAAAAATTTCACTTCTTGTTTGGCTTCGCGATCTAGCTTAATCTACATGATATCATCAAATGTGATTTGTGTCCAGGACAAGAAGAATGTAATAGAATTTGGCATTCTGGACTCCTTTTCTCCAAAATTTGTGTTAAGTGAAGAAATAAAATCGTTATTTTGGACATTATCAAATCGTTGCTTGTACGTCAATTTAAGACATGAGAAAAGGGGTCCAGGGATATGCTAAATGTGCTGGAAGATGATGAATGAACTAATTCAGTATTTAAAGATATATTGTCGATCAAAATAGCTCGCTGAGTATAGGACTATATACTGAGTTAGCCACATTGGGTCTTTGTCTCACCCTGAAGACTAACATGTCACAAAAAACTAAATACCTAATACTTACCATACTGAGAATAACAATTATAATCAAGTTGATAATGGCAGCAGTTACAGTAGTTAATAAATTAGCTCGAGCACTGATATCTTCTTGTTTAACACTATAGAATATAGCTGCTACAGTAACACGATACAATATAACACCAAATGCTGCTGCTACTACCAATAACAACTGTAATTATACAATCAATAACAACTGTAATTATACAATCAATAACAACTGTAATTATACAATCAATAACAACTGTAATTATACAATCAATAACAACTGTAATTATACAATCAATAACAACTGTAATTATACAATCAATAACAACTGTAATTATACAATCAATAACAACTGTAATTATACAATCAATAACAACTGTAATTATACAATCAATAACAACTGTAATTATACAATCAATAACAACTGTAATTATACAATCAATAACAACTGTAATTATACAATCAATAACAACTGTAATTATACAATCAATAACAACTGTAATTATACAATCAATAACAACTGTAATTATACAATCAATCAATTTCAAAGTTTGCTGGAAATGAAATGAATACAGTTGTAGTTAACTTATTCTGCACCTGGTTAGGCATGTGAAGATGGGCAAGGCCAAGCAGCGAGCAATAAGGGAAAAATATAATTTCGACCTATGCATGGATTCAACCCTGGGTGTTTAGGTTAGTGAGCGAGTATCTCATTTACTGATCCACCTTAGTTCCCCTATTGTCTCCTGGAGCTTCTACCTAAGCTGGGATATTTCGTAGTTATACTGGTATTTTTGTGTCCCTATTAGCAATACAATAACAATTGATAGGTATTTCTGTATAGATGGGAGAACTAAGATTATATAAATGAGATAGAAAAAGAACATGAAGAACAATATGGTTTAATTCTGATAAAAGTCATAATGAGTGGATGAAGATTATCAAGAACTTACCATGAATATAACAACAGTAAATGATGATGTGAATCTTGCCAATTTAGACAGGAATCTAACATGTGGTTCATCAAGCTGAAATAGAATAGAATATCTAAAGTTAAACTTAGAATTACACGAGTTGAAATATAAAAAGTACACCAACTGATCCATCATCTTCATCCAACACGTAAACCTTCGACAAACCAATTGAAAAAAGTTATAAATTCCTTTCAGCAGCATTTGGACATGGAAAAATTCATTCACAGTAACTTGACTAAGTTGTTGTGGAATTGAAATAAAGCTGTCAATATAGCTATAATTTATCTAACATTACAACAATATTGCTCTTCACTTCTGATACACTTTCAATCTAAAAAAATCTGCATTTGTCAGCAAACGTCACTTCTTTTTTTAAATTTGCATTCTAATTTGATTATCTTTTTATTGAAAGTTCTCTCAAATTATCCAAAAATGTTTAAGACAATTAGACATTGAAAGTAACTCATAAACTTGATGTCTGTGGCAGTATCCTGTCATAAAGATGGAACTATTCTGAAAAGTAAATACTGAAAAGAAATATCTAAGAAATGCATTTCTTATTAAAGAGATTTCTGTTTTTAATATATACATCACAATGCTCTAAAAATGCCAAGAAACATAGAAATATAACACAAAATTCAAAAATTAATCAGGTGTAAAAAATAAGTATATAAATAAAATTCAAAAATGCAAATAAATTATTTTGGAAAAATATGATCTATTATGTAATTCATTTTAATAAAATTATAAAATATTTTCTGCTAGCTGTCTAAGTTGAAAGGGTTAGATAAGGTTAGGAATAATCTACAACATCTATCTACTATTTCTACTACAATACAGTTTTTATTGGTTTCTCAAAGAATGCTTTTTTTTTACCAATTTCATAAAATGTTTTATTAACAATTTTGCTAATTTAAACCCTCTCCTGACAAAAATACATTTGTTTTGGTCTGTTCTTGCTTTCCATGAGAAACCTTTGTATGACACATTCAGTTAAATATAGACCAGTATTTCAAATTCCATAACAAATTATAAAAGTTGACTGACTGATAATTAAACTGAAAGGTTCTTTATCACTTTACAAACTCAAAATACATCTACAGATTTGATACATTGAGAATCTGATTACCTGGATAGAATCATTTTATTATTTCCCATCCTATGATACAATTATTCATTTAAAAGATTGCTTTGATTTCTATGAATAATTATGTTTCTTTATAAGTTGCAACTGAATCCGTATTCAAATCTAATCACTTGTCAATGCATACAAATACAACATATTCATATCAAAGGTTGACATCTCGTACATGATTTGAGTGACCTACATGACTACTTACTAGAATTGAAAATTCAGTCTACAAACAATGCAGGATGCTGAAGCAGTCTATACAAAATCAAAATTAACTCAAGGTATATAATAGAACTATAGTTTGTATCACAGGATAGTCTGTTTTAGATATTCTTGAAATGATAAAAGTTCTAGGCTTGACTATTATTCATACTCATACAGTACGCTATATATATAAAATAAACACAAAATAAAATAATCTTCAAATTCCAAATTCCAGGGAATTAGTAAAAAAACAATAGAAAGTGCAAATTGATTTTACGCATGCAGTGAAAAATTACCAATCACAAAATCAAAAATACTAAAAATTAAATATCGATACAACATTCAAAAATCCCTTTTTAAGACAATCATGGGGTGGATCCAGATATCAGTGTAAAAATAAAAATTCATTAACTACCTCTAAAAGAAGGAGTCGTGCCTGCCAAAAACAGCAAAATATTTCTTTTAAAATTCAAGCAAAACAAAAATGAGCAGTAACAAATGAATGCATAAATAAATAACATAAACACAAGACAATGATGTGCGTACAATCTAGTTTTATATACAACTATAAGGTCATGCTATCTCAAATCAATTATTAGCTTGCTCCAAATAACTTTTTCTTCGAAATCTATAGTCAGAAATACCATTGTTTTTACATTCTTCTATCCAAATTATTTTTATCAGACATCTTGGGTGTAACATAAAGGTGTTGAAAAAATAAGAAGTTGGGTGGAAGGAAAGATATAGATTCAGAACCCTTTTACCTCAGGAGTAAAGGAAAGTTCAAGTAAGTTCTAGCTTGTAATGTCTAATGATGTCATCGTAATACTTATTGAACTTTTAGATATAGCATCATTATTGAACTTTCAATTTCATTAGAGATGTAAATTTACTTCAATATTAAAAGTTGGTTTCATAAAAACTAGATTGTACAAAATAGCACATGGATTCAAAATGGGATGGAATAAAAAAGAAAATGAACTAAAAATAAACTAAATTTACTCTATCTCTATAAAAGGTGGAATCTGTAACCTGTAATACGTGTCATTAAAAATAATAATTGGGATTAATGGTGCACAAATAGTGATTATATAACTTTCATTCAACAAACTAAACAGGGTTAATGCTACTTTCTCATGCACAAAATTACTATTCCTGATAAAATTCTCACTTTAAAGAAGCCCTTACTTCTAGGAATTTATCTAATTATTCAAAGTTTTCCATATATTATAAAACATTTCTAACTTCTGACTTAAAATTCCATCATCAGAAGGATGCTTTACATAGTTTCGTGTTTGAAGCAGTTTATTTATCATAGCTTTCATTTTAAATTCTAGTATTTTCATTTTATCAGGCCTAATGAAAAATATATGTGCAAACCGAGGTAAAGAGGAAAGGGCTTCTCAAACAGTTTATATTAACATTTCAGAATAACATTCTAACATTTATTATAAAAAATAAAGGGAATTAATAACTAAAGATGTTAATTGATTCACACAGCAAGCAATCATTATCAATTACCAGTCCATTACCCCAAACAATAAAACACATTACCTGGTTGATGGGATTCATTTTAGTTGTGGAAACTTGAGCTTCAAATTCAGGTCGGATATTTTCCTATTTTGATAAAAAATATTTTGATGTAACAATCTTTTATTTTTCACAGGCATTCAATTAATTGATTTCTTGTGCACTTCCTTTTACTTTTACAATTTTTATTTTAAATTATCAACCTGCAGACAGACGTTTCCTTTTATCACCCATATCCCCAATTTTCTCATAAAATATATATAATATTAACAGAAAATAAAATATTTTTACCTCTTCCTCAAAATCAGCCACATCCCAATCATACTCTATCTCAGCTTGTTTTCTCTTCCACATCTCATGGAAAAACGTTGCTGCAAATATCAATTGTTTATTAAAGAGAAATTATTATTCTTAATGTGTTGGTATAGATATATTCCAAGTGATCAGCTCACCAATGAATCAAAGCATTTCATCAAGTCCATTGCAGTCTGACCATCTACAATTAACTGAAAGGTTACAGATTCTAGAAATTAACAATATCAGCAACAGATAGCAGTCGTCACCCAAATTAACTAATTCCTGTGAAGATCAGACTCTTCTCAATAAATTGGTTTGTCCAAACTTACCCCACAGTGCCATAAAAGCAGCAAAGAAAACTGTAGCCTCATTATCAAACAGATAGGTAGCTCTAGTATAAAGACAGGATTTCTTCAACTTCCAATAGGTACATCTTTCATCACATAGAGGACACATAGTTACATTTCCCATAAGATTCTCATCACAGATTTCTTCCCTATAAGTAGATTCCTTAGTTATAAGATTCATCTTTACAATGATCCTGATAACAATCATGATTGCTCAGTATATTCATGATACAAAATTCATGATCTACCATAAGATTCATGATCTACCATAAGATTTAGGATGTATCATAAGATACCATGATTTATGATGTATCATAAGATACGCGATTCACAATAAGATTCATAATCTATTATATCATGATTCAAGACAAAATCTGTAATTTGAGTTTTTTTTTGTTTTTTTTTTATTAAGCTATTTGTACCCACTGATAGAACAAAGAAACTATGTAATGACTTACTGCACTCTATCTTGAAACATCTGAATACAACCATAAAGAAATACTGCTAGTCCAACCATTGCTGCTGGTATCAATAATCCTGTATAATATCCTAACCAGGCAAAATATATTCCAATCTTCTCACCAAAATATTTACGAATGTGATCTAGGGGTTGAAATTTATACCATCGTCCAGGTCTAGCCCATGTTTCATACAACAACTGTAACATAAATACACACAAGGTAAAGAAAGTTACATAATGCAGAGCAGCTAATATATAGTGTTCAGTTACCAAATGTAGGACACTTCTGAAGTTCTTTTTCAGTAAGATTGCTAAATTTTTTTTTTCAGCCAAGTAGGCTGAAACGTTATGTTACAACAGAAACATCATCAACAGCAGAGCAAAATAACTTACATGTCTATCATTTGCTTTCCCTTTAGTTAGTAAAGAATGAGGACTTGCAAATTCACCCTGAAAAACAAATTTAAACAAATTGAAGTCATTAAAAAACGTCAATAACCTGATGATGACACTGTGGATCTGAACAATAAATTCAGCATCACTTTCAGCATCTACTGCAAAAAGTTCATTCAGCACTTGGTTACCAATATATGAAAAATAATTGATCCTACCTCATGTAAGGGAAAAGCAGCAGTATATACACCAGCATTTACTAAATTCTTTATACCTGAAATATATAACATGATGTTTGTCTTTATATACAGATACTCACAATTTATCTTCAACTGTTATTACAACATTTCAAATATTACATGTAAAATATTTTGTATTGAAGATAACCAATAGACTTACCAAATCTTTTCTTCTTCTTTTGACTGACTGTTGTTTCATAAACACATCTACTCAATACTTCATTGGCTATCAAACTACGTTGAGCTGAGGAGAAGAATGTCTCCTGATCTTCTATCACAAATCTATAATACCAATACATTTCACTGTACTTTAAAAATTCATTTTAACTTAAATCTAAGTTTGTGCCTTTTAACATACTATATTTTTATTGAAATATATAGACGATGTCTAATATTACTCTATTATATTTGAGGTAAGTATTGTATATTGTAAGTATTTATTATATTTTTAATGTTTTACTTCTATTTGGAAGTCTTTGATGTCTTTGTCATTTAATAAGTCACCATTAACTTAAATATCCCAACTAGTTATTGTGTATCTTGATAAATCAATATACTATACTCAAACAGAAGTTTATAGATGCTAATCCAGATTATGCATATAAACTAAAAAATAAGTGAATTGAATTTAACACTACAAATAACACAACAAAATGCATTGCCTTACAAATCACATACAGCAGAACTTATTACATTAAATAAAGATTTAGGACTTGATTTCATGCACTTAGTTGGTGTTATACACACTAATAAGATTAGAAACATTGTTGATCTGAATAATTTTCAGTCATATCAGATAAGCAGTGACTACCAAGAAAAGACAACTAATCTGTATTTTAAGCAAACTAGGGCACTTGCTTTTAGACAAAACAAGAAATAAAGTGCTTCATAAAAATATTGCATTATGGTAAAGGAAAAAATAAAAGGTACAAAATTCTGAAAATAAACCACAATTGCTGATTGCAGACTATAACTAGACAAAAAGAATTAAAGATTTTATAAACTGGTTCCTGTTATTGCTTATTATTACTGACATAGTAATAATAAGCAATAACAGGTTGCCTAATATTTTATTAAATCAACAATTGTATGTAATTTTAAGAATTTTGTATCTTTTGCTTTACCATAATAGAATGGACTAATAAAGCATTTTTTCCTAATTATGTGACTAAATATATATCTACAGTATGCCTACAGTAACACTTTTTATCAAGATATCTCTTGTTTTCACTATGTACTTGAAGTCTTGAAGAAGATGACAAGAGAAACACAACGAAACATTGCATAAAATTTAAACCAGTGATAGTTGTTATATAACACTTTGTCTATGACAAACTTTTAGTAATAACTGACCAGTTGCAACACAAAATTACAAAATTTAATAAATATTTAGAAAACGTGCATTAATAGTTAAAATGTTGACAACGTAACATTCACTCATGCATGGAATTTATTTAAGTACTACGACCTTAAAAATTTATCAAACTATAGTTATATGTCAAGAGAAATAGCTCAAAACCAGTTTGGTCAAATTCTTGGCAATTTGAACTAGTCTAAGATTACATACAACAGTATTCACGTAAGGGTAGTTTTTTACATAAACCAGAATAAGACAAAAATAGAATGACGTGGAACTAAGATATGAAGAAAACATACAACAATTCAGATCCAAATAAAAAGCAAATAATGTTTGGTTTCTAGTGCTTAACATTTGCTAAGGAACTTGAATGTTTCATGCCTGGTAAGTAGGTAAAACATACAAACTTCTAGTAACAAGCAATAAAGTAAAAAAATAACTCAAAAAAATCTTACACTCCCCTGTTTAAAAATAAAATCGAATATAAGAATTATTCTTTCAAGTTATATTTATACTTTTTTTCTAGAAGACAACTATAGTTTCTTCAGGAAAAAAAAATAAGCTTGTGAAAAATATCAATTTTCTCTTAACTAATTGAAATACAACTCCAAGAGTTCAATAAAATAATTTAAAACATTGTTCGAAATGCGTTTCCCCTGTGCCAAAAATAAGCAGGTGTAGAGAGAATTCAAAATGATGGAGAAAAGTATATAAGGGTAAATTTGGAATGTGAAAGATCCAATCCGGTACAATTTGATTGAAGCAAGATTTGTAACAGGCAAAACCTGTTCAGAATTAACCAATTGAGCGCCCCCTGGGTATCAGAAGGTATAATTAGATTAAATTAACCAGCCCTTTCATTAACCAAGGGAGATAACACAAACACTTACTGATCAGCTCTACTTCTAGAGAAAGCTGCTGTAAAATAATCAGGCACTGGTGGTAAATAATCTTCATCCACATCAAATGGTGTGGGACATTTCGACCAACATGAGGTGACATCACTCTCTAAATCATTTTCCTATCAAATATAAATATATTCGTTAAGTTTCTTTAAACCTTTCTTTCAAGTTGCCTTGATTATTAGCTGGTGACAGTGACAGTACACAAACTAGATTCATTATATCTGAAATTGCCAATAACTCTAGGATAATGTTTGATTTCATATACTCAATGTAAATAATCATAATTCACTTTTAACATCAAAATGCAAAATACTATGCTTTTAATACATAAATACACCTTAATCTGTTCTTAATAGTGCTGTGTGTAAAATAACCCCATTTGGCAAAGTTAGGTCTTGGCATTTTCGCTCTATGTGGCCTATGGGAAACTTCCAATTCTTTCTGTAATCATTATAAATCCTTAATGAGTTGCTTAGAGGAATTATTTCATACTTACAGCTAGAGGCATTTTCATGCTCATAATTTCAGCATATGTAGTGAGAACTTCCCATGGACAATGTACTTTGACAAAACGAACCTTGTCAGCCTTTTTACGCTGTAAATATAATGAACAATGATGACAATTTTGAAAGAGTAGTAAGATAAAAAGAGTGACAGACAATTTTTGAAGCATTCAAAGTTATTCCACTGTACAAAAAGTGGCAGTTTCTTTCATATTCTATACACATTTTCTTTGCATAACATTAATGAGAAAGAAATAATTCTTGTTTCAATTTTCATATATCATGGAGTGGGAATGATTTACAAGGAAACATGTTGCCCTTTCAATTTGTGCACATTATTCTGATGAAATAGTTATGGTATGTAAAATTACCATGAATTTGATTATTAAAAAGTTATATGTATCATGGCAGATACATATATACAACTACTTAAAGGAATTTTACCTATTACCTACAGGGAAATGCATTATTTATATATAAAGGTACTAAATATAAGCTAATGTCAATATATGATGTCAATATTATGATGGCAATATAGATGAAAAGAATAATACATGAATTATGTGCGTCAAAAAACCAATATTTAACATAAAAAGCATGCAAGCTAGATTTACTGATTATTTTCATAAAAACAAAATTAGTCTGAAAAAAAAACAAAACAACATATACATCATTTACAAACATGCAAAATATATTTAAATTCTATCTGAAGTAAGAAGACAATTTTTCTAATATAGCAGTTCTAGCAATATGAAATTTGTTTAATATCTACTTAAAGCTCACATCAATTTCACTTTTGGTCTGTGGAATTCATAGCATCTATAATCAGATTGATATGGTATAAGCTTCAATATGAAACAATTTTGCTTTCACAGATATCAACCAGAAAATAGGTTTCTTTTTATTCAAATGAAAAGGCATACAGTAAACAGTTCTTGAAATATAAACTTTCAAATTCATAGAGAATCAGTGGAATTGGATATCATTCCCTGATTTTCAAACCGTTATAACATTCAAAATAAGATGCAATTTAAAAATATAATGTTAAAGTGTTAGCTTTGAATTTGTACGAGATATTATCAATTTAATTAGACATATCAATTTCAAGGTCTAATAGGCATCCACTAGTCAAGTAAAACTGATCTTAATTTATGAACTAAAATCAAATGAAATTTGTTACTTTTTGTACTTTTTTTATTTTCTTTGGGGGTTTCAATTCTTTGAAAATATAACAAAATGTGCTTATCATTAGAAAGAAACTGTGAATTATCAAGATATAATACATCAATATAAATTATATACACTGAAATTAGGAGAACTGTGAAAACAAAACAGTGATTATGGCAGCCTAAAAGTTATTATAATTAGATGGAAAGAGATCAAACACATTACAAAAATACATTAACATGAAACATATATATTTTGTTATAGTATTGAAGTCCCCAAAAAATCAATTCAAAATCTCATGATCAAATGCAAATCTAGATGTTTTATTGAGTGTATTATCTGTAAACAAATTGTAATATATATTTGAAATGTGTATCAGTAAACTTCAATACTATTTAACAAGAACTACACTGTATATTGATACTAACAGTTATTACATATTACTTACCCATCAATAACAATACCATAATACACAATCCACAATAAATGATCACCAACAACAATATAAGTAAAATAGAAAATAGAGAAAAAAATGGAATGTGCAAGCAGATTATGATATTATGAGCTGGCTAATAAATATAGACTGAAAATCTCTTTCAACATTTTTAGATCAAATTGTCAAAATCAAAATTTAAAGTTAAATCAAATGAGGAAAATAGTTAAAAAAAAAAATCAATTTGAAAACTTGTAAACATGACATGGAAGCAACAAGGGCCCATTCTTAAAAATTTAACTCATGATTTTGATTGGCCATTCACTAATTTGATTTTAAAATTAGTTTTATTATCAAATAAGATAGTTGTATTTAATAAAATTTGGAGTTTACCTGAGTTATGTTTTAGAGAATAAGACCTCAAGAGCTATATCAGTCATATATTATGATACCCAGCACATTAAACTATAATATTACATTAATCAACTTCTCTACATCTTTTTGATAAATCTGTTCAACTCAAGTTAAATAATTATTGGCAAAAGCAGGACAAGATCACCAAAAATGAAATAATTAAAATCTTTTCATTGCTGACTGCGAATCTTTTATACACCACAATGCAATGACAAGGATAATAAGACAACAATACTGTACAACATTTAACAAACATGCCACCTTCATCATCTATATATAGTTTCTACTGTGGTCAATTTTACTTGCAGTCCATATCCCAGAGATTATCAAATATGATGTCATATGCTATGCTTGCATGCTTTAGATTTAACCTTTCCCTTGAAATGTTTCATCCAAATTTCAAAGCTGTATATAAGTGACATTGATGTGCATACATAAGCTAAAACCTGTTAGAAAGTGCAACCTTAGAAAACCCACTATATAATGTGTCAATGCCTATATATTATCTTTCACTTTGTTATAAGCTCACCCACTGATATTAAGAAGCAAAAAATTTAAAAGCAAAATGCAAAATCACTATTCTACTTGATCAACTGTTAGTTGAATTATAAACAATGAAATTTAAAAAGACACTATTGCTATATGCATAAAATACTACGTAAGCCAAAAAAGAATAATTTTAAATCATAATACATACAGCTCTCTCTTCATACTCCAATTCCAATCCATCCTTTATCAAATTATCTTCGAAGAATTTTCTACGAGCAATCTTTTTATCCTTTTCTTTGTCTTTATCATCATCCCTGTAGGTCAGAACAAAATCTATTCTCCTTTTACCATCTTGGAAATATAATGTTTCTAATTCTTTCAACTGAAATCACAAAATTAACATCTGTAAACACTTAGAAATTTTTCCATCACAAAATGTCCAATTATCAATTAATTTTTATCACAATTAAAACAAATAACAAAATATAATTCTATTACAGTTGGAGAACACAAAATACATGTACGAACATTAACAATTTCTGATTATGTGAAGTAACATTAACATTTTTAAATACATTGCCCTGTTTAATAACCAATCCACTAAAGAAAAAAAGAATAATTCAAAATTTGCAGCATTAAATCCACTTACTACAACCATATTGAAAGTAAATTAAAAGTATTCAAATCCAAAATAAATCCAGCACTGTTTAAGATATCTAGCGCTTATATAAAATATCAGGATATATTAAATCCAAAATGGTTTCCATGGTGATGAAATATCAATATGACAATATCAGGTGTATTTTTCCTAATTAAGTAATATACATAAAAACTTGTTAATGTCACCATAAGTCCAGTATTGATTTAGTAACCAAAATATTTTGGGTGTGAACAAAACTGAAAGTGCTATGCTCCAGTTACTTTCATGTATAAAATATCTCGCTGATAACTGGTTTTTAAAGGATGACTTCTTATATTGAAAGGAATCTAAGATTACAAATTAGAGTAAGGCCATACCAAACTAATACCTTGTATCTTGGGCCACACTTAGTCAACTTCTATTTCTGAATTTCAAATTTTTACCCCTTTTTGTACCCTAATTTAACAACCAAACATAATTTATTTGGTATGCCTTAAAATGAGTGAACTTTTGTAAGATTAAGAAGATGGGATGAATAGATAAATATAAAGAGCTATAACACATAGATGTATATTATATCTTAATAGCTCTATTATTGATATATGTGTATTGATTCCGAATTAAATGAATTAAAGGGACTGTCCTATTACTGTCTTTAAAATAATCAAACTAATTTCAGCTCCATGTAGCACATACTGACATAAGTTAATTATCAAGAATTTCATAGACAGACACAAAACTTTAATTTGTTGCAAAAAAGTGATGAAGGGAGTTTGAGTTAATTATATGCCTTACAGCCTTACAATAACAGCCTTACAATACAATAACAGCCTTACAATAACAGCCTTATGTGGACCATATCTCTTTAAAGAGAATTATCAAAAGGAAGCAGTAAAGTAAATGAGGTCTTTTAAGACTATTTATATGTCATATTTCAGAGAGAATTGAATAGAAATAATAAGTAGGTGGATACATATAATTATTTAAAGTGAAACTAGGTAATATTGACTAGAGTTTATATAATTTAATAATAATATGATTTTGCCTACACATTTTAATATAATAATAAATCTATTTCTTATATATAAATAATTTTTACTTTAGTATCATAATGGATACAATACAATGGATTTTGATTTCTTGTTGATTTCTGTTAATGGGACAGATTTCACCATCCGTTTCACCTATCACACCTTGGTCTCAGAAATGGGTTTCACATCTCAGTCGTAAATGTATGAATATGAGTTAACTGTAGAATATTCTTGTAGTCTTTTAACTTCTGTACAGTGAGATCCCTTATTTTGTTTATGCAGTCATATATATGTTTTGGAGTTTATATCACATCAAATGCCTTGATTTTAAATATATAAGCAATCAATTGAAACATTTTTTGTGACCATAATTTTTACAGGCCCAACCACTTTCAATTTTAATACCATTTTTTGTTTTCCTGTGATACATATATTTCACAATAATATTTCAGCTAAAATATTGAAATATGGTAATACCTCACTACATAGTTTAACAAATTTAACACAATGCACAGCCATTGTAATATTTTTAGTTTAGGTGTAGGTGTAGTTTTCTTAAATATTCTTTTCTAATGAATGGCAGTAACAAACACACCCTAACATTTTGGTGCAGTCTAATCAGATATATCAACCATCATATTGTTATAAATTAATAGTGTTAACACCTAATAGACTAGCTATCCCTGCACATAGTTCTAACAATGCTGAATCTTACTGTACTTCAGAAAGACATTTTTGACCTTTATCAACTGGAATAGACCTCATTTGAAAGGGAGGTTCATAACACAAATTATGTCCTCCATTGATAAGATGGCAATGTCATATGAATGAATAGCCAATTTGATGTCATTAAACACTTGTACAATAGCAAGAAAATGGAAAGAAAACTGCCATTTTTCGGGAATGTGTGAAGGTAAAATTCATGTAAAAGTATCATCAAATAGCTTAATCAATTCCAAATTTAATGATGTGAAATATGACTAGTTCGGAGAAAGAGGGATTGGTGAAGGAGGCTTTAAAGGCGTCAAGGTGGCAATTTTATGCAGTGACATAACGTTACCTTTTTATTGTTTGCATATTCAATATGGCCGGCGTGTGAATAAGGTCTATAGTGCCCGAAATTAAGCTCGACAAGATGTAACCTATCTTTTGGAAAAACAAATTTGAATTGATCCTTGTGCACTAGATGATGTCTATAAAGAAGGAGAGAAAAGAAATGATGGGGTATAGCTGTTTATAGAATGGAATGTGTTTAATGTTTGAATTATTAATCTAAGATTTTTAACTACTCTGTTATATCTATTGATTGATATAAACAGAAACAAAAGGAAAGTATTTATATATCATATAAAGTAAGATTGGGAACAGATCAATAAAATAGAGAAAAAAAAACAGAAAAAGCATACAAAACCTCTGCTTCCATCTAAATAATAAAAATATTCAAGAACATAAAGATAAAAATAAAATAAAAACATCTAGATACTAAATAATATAATATGCATACATTCAACTTTTAAGTGCAAAGAAAAGGTGTTATAAATGATGCATATATTCATAATACAAGTTATAACATAAAAATACATTTTAATAATCAACTTGAATCATTGATAGAAAAGTGCAAACATATAAGATAACTTATATCAAGTTTCAACATCTGTTATAGTGTATAATTATGAAATTGTATATTTCAAATAAAATTGAAATATGAACCAATCAATTTCCCAAATTAATTCCTGCATACGAACTTGGTACTTCAATGCTTGGTCTTTCCTAGTACTTCTTGATGAATTGAGCGTTTTTATGTTTTTATTATACCTTACATACAACATGCAGTAACATATTAGCATTTTATAAGAGGATAAAAATATACTGGTACAATGACAGTCAAAGATCAAAAGAAACTCTTTATATTCTTGTGCTTGAGCCTTGAGAGACAGATTCACTTGTTTTAGTACCTTATATAGAGGATTTAACAAGATAACTTAGTCTTCCTCCAACACAAACTTCTGTAGCCACATTCTTTTACTATATATCAAATTAATATCAAGTCAATTTATAGCCTTTTTATCTTGTTTTACTGGGCTCAGAATTAGAGTTAAAATAATACATTGGATGTAAAATATATCTATAGTTGAAATGGCATTCCAGTTGATTTGTATTTTTATCTATATAAGTATTAAAATCTATGATAAACTGTTATTGGGATTTAGGAATCTAAGAATTAAATTTCATTGGATATAATAATTAGATTAGAATCATACATGTGGATCACATTTAGTTACTATTATAATTCTGTATAAATTTAAAATCTACTGGATATTTTTCAAAGCTCACAAGGTAGTGGACATCTAGAGATGAAATGAGGTTATGGTATGTGTATGATCATTAGTTACTACCCTGCATCTAATATTAATATGCCATTATTCACATTGAGGCACATCATTATGCGCATGTTTGGCATAGAAACCAAGGGACACTTTTTTATAACACCTATATGCAGACTGTCAAAATTGAACATAATGTTTCACATTCTAGCCATATGAAGAAAATTAGGTCATCATTTATTTAGCTAATGAACTGGTATAACTGTTCTCTGAAGTGTGACAAGTATTTATATAGCTTCAATGCTCATTACAAACAATTTTCACTATTTCTTTATGTTGTTGTCTGCTACTGATAGATTCACAATGAAAAATAAAATCACTTGCTGTTATAAAAAATATGTTGCATAAATGAAATTCAAATATTGTCAGTGTACAGCCTATCAAAGTTTTGCTTTACTATGAAGAATTACATTCCTTTATTAATGGTGGTAAATCATGATGCTGATCATTCCAGTGCCAAACTGATTTCAGATTAGAGTAGTGACCACAATCCCACAGATAACATGCAACAAAAGTTAGAATCAAGACAAATGATTGGATTAGATCAGTCACATGACATCACCTCAGCCTTATAAGCAGCTTCGTATTCAGCTTGTTCCTGTTGTTGCTGTTCAAAGTCAGTCAACAAATTAATATCTTCACAACTTTCAACGCCATCCATATAAGGTAATACAGGCTAAACAGAGTAAAAATAAAAACAAAGCTACAAGCAAAATAAGATAAGCTGAAACGTTAAATCACATCAAACACCAAGTCACAAATCAAATGATGCATTAAGGTAGGAATAGACGAGGTATGGTGTCAGGTGGATTATAGATACCGTAAAAATACAAGCAAATCGTGTCTGCACTGTGTCCGGACCCCAAGTGTGGCTACTTCTTCTATTTTTAACTGTATCAATATTACCACACCAGACACTGTACCTCATCTATTCTAAACTTTAGACAAGGCAGATATTCACAGAATAGACTATTATATAACATACCTCTGATAAATTCACTGACATTTTCCTACAGAACTGAGTTTTTAATTAACTTAGACTTTGATTTCTAATACTAATATTGGTTTCTTTAGTGTTTGAAATATAGGGCAAAAAAGGTGGGTAAACAACCCATAGTGACCAAAGATAAGATTCAAAACACAAAATAACGTTGTTATCTACATTCTATATTTGACTGAATATCAGTTATGAATTTTTTATATATGTCTTTATCAAGAATGCTGAAATATGGCCTAAAAGTTCAATCTGATAATTGAAACTGTGAATATCTATCAGTGACTAAAATAATTCCATCAGTATATTTCTTACATAAATTCTTTCAGATTCAGTAAAGCCTTCCTCTGAAGCTACAGATGTTTCTTCAAGACTGCCATATTGAGTCAATGGTTCTGTATCCATTTTACAAGTTCAATAAATTATCACAATGACAGTCAGTCTATATTCTTCAATCCAAGTGTGAGATTTGGTCCATGTGAAAGCACAACATCATATAAACTATTCAAATACACGGAGTAAACTTCATAACAACATGTCTAACTAATAAACACATTTCATGTTATTGATTAGGATATTATAATGAGTATTGATGAGTAAGGTATGAAATCATGACAAGTTTTCACTGTTTTTATAGGTGAGTTGAGTTATTCGCTCTAGTGAACATATTCACCATGACACAGACAATACTATAAGGGATTTGTCCACTAACATGCCTAGCACTATATATTACTAGCAGAATGCTGGTTTCAAATGAAAGAATTATTTATGAAAATTTTAAAAAGCTAAAGAATGTTATTGATTGTCTGGGTCTTGTTGACTTTTAGTTTTCTCCAATATTTGATTTGAGGGAAGTCCAGTAGAGGAATAAAATGTCTGAATTACATAATAATCTATCTTTAAGGCAATTCACAGAATATCAGGATATGTCATACACAACTATACCCTGTACTGTATCCTTAATTCTATCAGGTAAATAGTGCATGCATGCTCTTTTCACATATCATTATAATCTGCTAATTCTATAATAAATTCTATCCTCATGAAATTTGATTATTTATTGTTTTATTATATTGGTTTCACAAACTAATTAGGAAAAGCTATTTAACATACTAGATTCAACATTGTTTTATACTATAATATATGCAGGCAGGTCAAGCTGATATCTCTTCTGTATACATCAATTTTTTAAAGCGAAGTTTTCCTCTAATGCAGAAAATAGTATTTCTCTTAAATAGAAACTCTGAGCCAAAATAAAAAACTAAAATATATAACTTTCGGCAGTCCTACACCTTGCATAAAGCGCACTATATAGGGGTCAAAATAGGGTTTTAAGCCTTTTAAAGAATACCTATAGCTTCTATTTCCACCATGCCAATTGCGCAACCAATGTCTGGTTCCTGTAATTTCAGAAACACTTGACCAAATAAAGATGGATGGAAAGATGGTTTTTGAATGGTATATGCTAAAGTGAGGTCATTAATCAGGTCGAGTTTTCTGGAATTGCAGGAAACATCTAGTTGGAAAAACTTCTGCAAATAGAAGCTCCGTCTGAGTTGTATTGCATATCAATAAGACAGAGCTTCTTATTGTGAAGTGTATTACACATATATTTACATTAAGGGTTATTTTACAACATACAAGTGTCTTTTCAGCCATCACACATTATGTCGATCAGGGTTATGACTGTCTTAAATTGCAATACAATTTTCATACTAGAAAATGTCCAACAATTTTGCTTAAGAGTAGGTCGATCAAAGAATGTATGTAGTATATAATGAAAGACACCACAAACTAAATGCGTAACAATAAATAATACATACTAACTACAGTGTTAACTAGTTAATTACTATTTGTGAACTATAACATAACTATTGGTACAAGGATTACAGAAATATTTACCTCTGTTCCATCTTTAGCTACTCTAGTTCTTGGACCACCAGTTACCTCCCCTTCTGTAAAATATAAAGTTACCTTGTGTTACTTATTGAAACTTATTTGATCTGGTTATGTTTATGTGGTATATTAGTTTTTATACCTCCTATAAAAGGTAACAAAAGGAAATTTGATGTGTTAAAATATATATTTTATATAATCAATAATATAAATAGAAGGAATCTCTTTTAGAATCAATAAAGAATAAATTCCTATCAAAAGAAAGTAATTCATTACAAAAAAAATTGGAAAAAAGTAGTAAGTGACCACTCTAATATTCCTACGAAAAATGATTCACATATGACCTAGATATTATCATACATTGTGTCTACAAAGCCAATTAATGGACACTATAAAGGTCCATATGCTGCCAGAACATATAATATGACAGCCTGTAAAATTGCTTAATACAAACAGAATCTAGAGGGACTATGAGAAATAGTTAGTATCAATCAATGATTAGATTAAACAGATCAATAGTAGATCTGGGCCACACTAGTTATAACTACTAGTTACTTATAAAGACTAGTAAGAAAGATAAAAGATTATCTATGTAGAATCAATCAATGTTTAAGGTATTCTTTAATTAATAAATTGAACACGGAATATAAAGACAATTCAAAGAAGAAAAGTTTAATAAAAAATATAAGAAATATAAGGAAATCAGTGTTCAAAAGAAAAAAGTTTCATTCAAATAAAACAAAAACATAACAGCTGCCTCTTACCATTCCATTAAGACTATAAATTTGAATCATTTCCATCCAATTAACAAATCAAGTTTTATTAGAACTTGTCAGAAATCTAATATATTGACAGCTGATATAGTACAATATATCACATAAAACACTTGCATGCAAATCTAGTTCCTGGTTCTCAATCTGGGATACTAGTACTTCCTTGGGGGATTCTAGAAAACTGTGTTTGTGGTACCTATAAGAGGTATGTTGGACAATTTTGGATGGTGTTGTTTCAATATATCAGAATTCAGTCCTCTATTATGCTTCTCTTGAAAAGTTCTACTTGAAATCTCACCCATTTCACTTTGTCAAGACAAGCACCTTAATGTATCAAAAGAGAACCAATAGTCAAAAAGGTTTGGAATCAGATGATCACTTAAATGCTTGGATATGTTTCAACAAGTATTCAAGATATTTGAAGGAAGAAGGGTCTTGCGTGAATCACTTTTCTGTTCAATATTCAACAAAGCAAATGAGGTCTCATATTCAGTTTCAAGCGCTCAAAGTTGTATGATTCAATAAACTGATTTAAACTATTAATAGAATTCTACTGGATATTGAAATGATATTTCATCTAAATATTTGACTAACAAGAATAAGCATATCTTAATTAAACTTAAGTTTACAATAATAAAACTTACTGCAAATTATAAAAAAATCATGCTATAATTTCTATACAAAGACAATTTCAAGACAAACTCTTATGTACAGAATTGATTTCAGCTTTTCAAAAGCTAAGTAATGAAATTCCCGTACATTCATATTGATTTCAAGATCAGTAAGAATTTCTTCTTCATTTGGATTTCATTTTCTAAAAGTTGAAAACAAATCTGATCTGAGATAGTCTTGTAATACGGTAAATAATTCAAAAATTCTGTTACAACACGAATAATTTAGATGAACCCAACAATTAACCTGTTACTTTTATTTCAGAATAAATTGCATGGAATCCAAATCCATTGCTTTCTACAGTTGGAATAGTTGGCTTACTATTACCATATTTGGCTGCATTTAATAGAGAAAATATAAAATAAAACAGGGCAGTCTCTACTGGTAATCAGGTATATCACATACATAGACACAAAGTAGAAAATATATTAAATATAGTTAAGCCCTGGTGTGTAGCTTATTGTTAATACAGCAGTGAATAGTTGGTGTGCATTAAGCATGTCCTGATTCATGTGCCTTGGTTTATGCACATGGCAAATTAAATTAAATTTATCAAAAAAAATATGATATAATGTCCCTTTATACCTTTATATTAATGTTTCAAATCGTTCTCTGTCTTTACACTTACAGATAATGTTTTACTATATAGGTTCTCTGAGAACCTTTCAAAATTTTCAAACATTTAGAACATAAGAAGATTCACTATATTTCTGAATTTAAAACCTTTTATAAAGACTTGTTTTTTCTCAGAATCTATAGAGCTCTTCTATCATTGAAAAACTATATAGTTTTTTTATTTCTGAGAACTGATGAAGGTTGTTTTTATCATTGAGAAACTATGAAGTTTAGTTATTTCTGAGAACTGATGAAGGTTGTTTTTATCATTGAGAAACTATGAAGTCTAGTTATTTCTGAGAACCTATGGAGGTTTTCTATCATCTAGAAACTATGAAGTCTAGTTATTTCTGAGAACCTATGGAGGTTTTCTATCATCTAGAAACTATGAAGTCTAGTTATTTCTGAGAACCTATGGAGGTTTTCTATCATCTAGAAACTATAAAGTCTAGCTATTTTAAAGAACCTTTGGAGGTTTTCCATCAGTTTAGGTGTTTTTTATTGTTCGTAGCCTATAGTTATGTTATTTGAAATATGTACACATTATACCTAATAAACAATATCATGTATTCTAATATAAGTATCATGAACTTTTCAGTTACATTCCTCATATTTCATGATTCTATTAAGCTTTCAATATTATAACTTCTAATTTGTCTATCATTAGTGCATAATAAAGCTTAAATTAGTAGCAGGACTAAGTGATTTACTTAAGTGTCTATATAAAAGGTAATATTATTTTATAGCACCTAAATGTTCCAATTACCTTTTGGATCCACATTAAATGAAACTTTATGTACTTTTGGTCTTTCTATAAACAAGTAAAACAAGAAATTTCATATCTTTATGATAAAGAAAATTCAAATTGACTAAAAAGCAAATATCATGCATATGATATATGTAGGTTTCCATTTTCAGTGTTGATCTATGTCTATTTTCATGCAAATATGACAAAACCTTACTAGATGTGTTAATGTGCTCTTATTTAATAAAATGTTCATAAAAAAAATTCTACTTCTCATCATTTTTTATGCTTAAATTTTCCATCTGCAGCTTTTTTGATGATTTAAATCCAAAACGAAAACAAAATAAAAGAGAAAAAAAATTATTTTGAAATATTGTTAGTTTGAAAAAAGAAAAAATTGAATTTCAAAAAGATAATAATGTCAACAGAAGAACTTTTATCAAATTCATTTTTTAGTGATAGATTGTTTTGAATTTGATTTTCATTAAAATATACATGACTTGTGTGGTTTTAAAGCACAATTTCTACAGTGTTTTAACAATAAAAACAAACATCATCAATTTCAACTAAACATGTCAACTAAAGATGTGAACACATTAAGAGAAATTATAAATACTTTTGTCTAAATCAAGAAAACAAAGAAGAAAAATTCAGAATAAAAAAAAAAAAGCTGGATTGTTATTTGCTGCAAATTGATGGAATTTTACCTGCGTTGTTATTACGATTTGGTTCATCAGCCACATATGCTGGATTAGCTAAATTCAGAGAGATTGAATTAAAAATAGCATTCCATATACCCATATAATAGGTACATATTTCTCATTCCCAACAAATTCATACTTATGCATGTCTATGGAATTATATTGAAACATTCAAAATATTAAAATAATAACCTTTCATTTTTTTTCCAAATTTAAAAATAGTCAACAGTTAAATATTTGGTATGTTTAAATTAGAGATTTGAATGTATACTATTAGTACATGCTATGAGGAAGTGGTAAATGTCAAGGGTCACATTATGTACCAACTTGAAAATATTGTGTTTAGCCTCTTTCATAGAGTGAGTAAGTACACAAACAACATGCAGTTTAAAGGGATTGGAAAGAGGTTTTATAAACTTTTTATGTGACATTTAATAGAAATTGCAAGAGCTAAAGATGTCTGATTGAAAATTGGAATGGCACAAGATGATGCTTTCATTGTCCCTATACACTATATAAGTTAAGAAAACCTCTCTACAATCCTTTTAAAACAAACTCAGTCAGAAGTCTGTTCAGGACGACAGAAGGTTCACACCATAAAATATGAATTTTGTATTAGAATAAGAAGTTATGATGTCATAGTGTGCTACCATCATTACCGGAGAACAGAAATAAATCAGTAGCATACCTTGATCTTCAAATCCTATTGGTACATTATTAGGTTCTACTAATGGTGAAGTATCTATGTTGTCAGTAGGTTGTGGATTAACATTGATCCCTGTAATAGAACATAATTATTGTTTATTGACTGATGCTATTCTGAATTCCCATATACTCCATGACAACATCTATAGCAGAGATATTATTGTGTAAACCTTAGAGAGTACAAGTAAAGATAAACAGTAGCTAATATACATAAATATTAACACAGGTTAAATGTAAACATACATATAATGACATGAATAAATATAGTTTTGCTATTCTAGAGTACTAGATCATGCTTTCTAGCATCTTATATAAGATAGTATAGTTTTGTCATCCATTTTCATCTTGAAAGATCGAGAAGGTCATTGGAAATCAAATTAAGCTCAATAATACCTTCAAAGGAGGCAACATATTGCAACACTCAACAAAAGCATTATAGTCATAAAGCCTAATTTCTGAGTCAAAAATGACATAAAAGATTGATTTTTCCAAAGCCATTTGTATATTTACATGAATGCAAATAAATACAAAAGCTATGAAAGCACTTCTGAATCAATTTATTCTATTTGTTTCTACTATCCAAGTTGACTGATGACAGATACTATATCATAAACAAGGGAAGCCTTATATTGTAAACAAATAAATAAAGGTTATTTTGACACAGAAATACATACTTGTTATATTTATGTTATTTCCTTCCATGGTGATACATCAATTTACATTATATAAAAATCTTAGTCTTTATATTTCTTACTTATATCAGCATCACGAATTTTCCTCATACACTTTACTATTATTAGTATTGTAAAATTTTCTATTAATTTTAATCAGTTTTACATTTCATACTTATAGCACCATCACAAAATCTGATCATGTCTCTTAAAGTCTCCTTATACACTTATATAAGCATTATTATTTTTAACATTATCATTGTTATCACATCACAAACTATTTCTATTTAGTCCTCTATACATCATTAATTATTGTTTATAATGTTACTCTTCTATTTTAAACAATAAGTCCTTAGAAGCTAACACCAATATCCTCTTTATTATAATTTCCAAAATACCACAACTTATATATGTTAATAAAATCTACTTATAAATCTATTGCTAACATTGATCAAATTAAAACCTGCCTATCACAGTGTTAATTGTAATTGTGCAATACTGAAGTATATTTTCAATATAATCAATGTCTTGCTAGCAGTATTCATGACAACTGGAACCAATCGTTCTCGACTGATGCTGACATTCCTACATTCAATTGTTGATAATCATTCTCTCGAGGATTAACCAATTATTGAGGATAATATTAATATAATGATTGTTGGTGAGAATGATATCTATTGAGAATATATATTATCACACATGATTTGTTATATCACACATCATATTTCCTCTTTTCATTCACACAAATTATACATCTACCACAATTATAGCACAAAATAGACCACAATTCTAGATAAATAAGGTACAGTAGATGTATCAATGGTTGCTAGGAAACTATCTCAAACTCAATTTAGATCATAAAATCTGTAATTTATAGCACTAAGTCTAGTTTACACAAACTGGCCTTTACTTTAATCTCAATGTTCAATTACAATTTACATTTTAATCCCAGATCAAGCTACAAAATATGAAACTAGTATTCTGCTATTTCAGAGAGCATTAGGATGCTGATAGCCACATTGATATAATACTTCCAGGTAAACAGTGACACATGCTGTCTAATATTCTAAAAAGAGTACATTAAAGCCTTGGAAAGCAGAAACTGATAGTAGTATATCTGCAAGAATCAATCACACCTATTGTTTATTACTTCACAAGTCAATGTAAACAGTAAGAAATGAGACAGTAAGCTTCTCCACGTAGATATCAGTAAATCAACAATTCAACTCATTAGCTATTCCAAGACTTCCTATAATTTCCTCACGCCTTTTTTCTCAATTCAGATTCTCTTGTTAACTTTTAATAAGATCTTAGTTTCTATAGTTCTAATCATACCAACTCAATGAGGCAGATGAACTCCACTACATTTAATATTAACCAGTATAAATTATATATTACTGGCCTGGTTAAAACTCTAGGTTTAAAGGGTTGAGATACAAACAGGGTTGAATGGTTTCAATATTTGATTAAGACCAGTATTTGAAGAGGTGTATTCATTTATTAAGTTAGGTAAATATAAGAAATATTACAGATTAAATAATTAAATTATAAATTCTTGCATTGCTTTCATCTTTTGACAATACTGTCAATATTAGGACTATAACACTTACAGCTTTATAGTTCCTGCGAAAGGAGCACAGGAATTCTATGTACTGCTCTAAAATATTGGAATGAGCCTATTTATAAAATATTTCAAAGCCTTAATAATGTAAATTTAATTATACCAAGAATGTTGCAAAATTGAATGTCATACTTATCCATGGATAAATTTACATTTAAATTCTTTAGAAAAAACTTTAAAATAACCATATACTAATATATGCTTAATCTGTCCTCTTTATATTGATGTCAAATCATTGTGGTTACATTAGTAATAGTATCATATCAAGTTATCTAGAATTACAGTCATTTATTGTCAATGTCATAATTAGTAATGACAGTAATTCATAATTAGTGATGTAAATTAATATTTACCTCTTGCCTATTCATTAATCAACTCGAATACTAAATACTAAATACTAGTAAAAATATTGATAATACTCTATATAAAATTGATAAATTCTTCATAAATAGTACTTAATATCCGTCAATTTTATCAATATATAGTGCAACATCTATATTTCTGCAATACCTAAACATCATAGTTTAGATCATGGAGGAATTAATGGACTACAATTCTTTAATCAGGAAGAAAGATAGATAAACTTTGAATTCTGTATGTAAAGATCTCTGGTTTGGCTTAAACATTCACGTTTCTAAGTGATCACATAGTCATTAGTCCAATCAGATTCTTTGGAAATTCACCTATGATTATCAAGAAGTTGAAATATTGAGTAATTTATATGATCATTTTCAAGTCTTTAGCAATTTACATACACTAAAACAGATTGGGTCATGATTATACATCATAAGAGAGATATTTTAATTTTTTTTTTCAATTTAGAGAAAGTTTAGAACAGTGTTATATTTCTATCCTTAAGATCTTATTTGTTAGAAATTCATTTATGTTTTAGGTAGAGAACCTTCACCTACATGGTATTCATAATGAATTTTTTTAAATTTCAGAAGAAGTATTTCCATATGTTTGATTGGTTGTGACATGTCAAACTATTCAATTCTGAATTATCCAAGTTGTTTTGAATTGGAGTTATGGCATTTGCAGCTTATTGTCTTTGTTAGCAGGGCTTGTGTCTTGCCTAGCTCCGTATAGTCACAGATCTAGTAGAATTTCTCTGTTGATCAGGATGGGCTTGTGTCTGATTTGAGAAGCAAACTAACACGAGGTGATTTAATTGATAAAGTTAAAAAGCTTTTTCACAGCATTTGATTTCCTCTATAAATATCTAAGCTGAGATATTATGAGTAACAGTACAAGCTGGCCTCCCTAGAGTACCATATAGAATGAAATGGTCATCCACTAACAGTATTCAGTCATATACAGAAATTCTCTAGTTATATACAACGGTATTGATTTTATGTTAATATACAGATTTTATATCTCCAAACTGTATAATTATTCATTTACAATCAAATAACATTAAGTTAATCAGTTGTTGTTCATAGTGAAAGGTCAGATCATATAAACTATGCCATGCAGTGTGCAATTTCTCAGTTTTCCAGGTTCTGATCAATGGATGCAGTGTACCATAGCATTAGCTGCATAGCCGATCATAAAATATGACAAAATTAGTTAAAAAATTTGCCAAGATGTTGATCGTATAGTATCTTAAAAAAGTTGTACTATCAGTTTATGATTTTCTTAACTATTGATTTTTGAAGCTTACTTAAATCATTTAAAACAAAGACTTAACTTCTATAGAACATTGCCGTAAGGATATATATTCCAGGAAAAAGGCCTCTACAATGCAGTACTCAGATACATTGGTACACAAGTAATTAACTTGTATATATCAAGCTAGGGCAAGCTGACAATAGTAAAATAGATCAAAATAATCGGTTTCGCATAGCTTCACACAAAACATATTTTCTTTATTGAAGGAGCAATATAATTCATGTTCACTTGTATGGAAAATAGTTTAAAATTAACTGAGCTTACTCCAACACTATTAATAAATCAAACTTTCTTCATCAACAAAAAATCATGGTAAATAATTAGTAAAAAGCAAGGTAGATAAATAAAATTAAATAGCACATTTTTAACACTTGCACTCTGAGGATCAAGGTCAATATTTGGAAACTACAGTTTGATGCATGTCCACTTAATATTGATACCAAAAAAATTCAAAAAATGTCATGTCTGTCTATGTTGTTATTATGATATAATGGAAATTAGAAAATGTTTTGTATGTTATTTTTGTTTTAATCAATAAAGTGCCATTTACACACACAATTCTCATTCATCAATCTGTGACAGTTTATTCAACAAATTTAATAACAACACAATCACGTCTAGTATTTCATTTCTGTCATTTTTATTGTATAAAAACAGTTTCAGAATAATTTGTCATTATTTCAGTATATTTCTAAAGAAACCACAAAGTAATTTATTTCAATGGTACATAAACTGTGCTTAAAATTCTGAGACATCTTAGCCCAACTTTCATGAAATTTAAGGTACTTTACTAAGCTGGATGGTTGTCTGATGGACAAAAAGGTGATGAGAGCTTGAATCCTGCTCAAGGTAAGACACATTTGATGCCATGTCTAGTGCTTTCAAGAGTAAACCTGATGTTGACTTTTTATCCCTTCTGCCATATACGGTACCCTAATTAAAGACCTTGAACTGTAGATAGCAAAAGACACATTTTATGACATAAATCTTCACTTTCTTTCTCACAATAACAATTTCAATTCAAAGTCTAAGACTACTACTTATGACAAAGATTTTCAAGTAAGCTTATAGAAATTACAAGGTCAATATAAAAATCAATAATTCTCAGACTACTATTAGCACCTACCTTCTTCCATCATCTCAAATCCTATAGGTCTAACACCAGTCGCCATCTTGTCAATGTAATAGATTTCACACTCTCAATATAAAATATAAACTAACTTAATCCAAAGATCTTCATTTAACTTAAACCATCTGAAATTGAAAAAATAAAATTTTAGCATTTCAATTTGATAACATTTGACAAATAAAGCAGACATGGAATTTAAACTTTTAAATACTAAATCTGGAACAGAAACATATATAATAGCTTTTAAAACACCATCAGAAAGAACCAGATCATAAGTTACATGAGTAAGCAGCTTCTACCCAGTCTAGATTATTAAATTTGTAAAGCTCGGTGTGCCTGTGAATATAGAACATTTCCAATCCAGTGCATTTTACCTACAAAAGTTAAGTTCATGTCCAGAAGGCAATGATGATTATGAAGAAAAAAAATTGCGTGAGATTGTTGTTAATTTGTCTTATCATATTACTGAATTCTTTTCCTACCCAGAGGCAAGCTAAAACTATGTCCACTATTTTAAGACTGGAGTGTAAAAGGCTACTGTTATGATATCTATATATATTTCTTTCCTAAATTTCATATCAATACATTGGGCCTATTGTCACACTTCAAACAGATCAAATATATTGTGAAATTTCTAGTATGAAATAAACAATAAATATATCCAAATATTCTAACTAGGTCACAATATTGCACCATTTAAATGATTATTCTACTTTTAATAATGAATGAATAAATTGTTATCTTCAAAATGTTCTAAGCTTTGTTATTTAAAAACAACATACAGAATATTTCAAAAATCATTGTTAACAAAAAGCCTTTAAATGAAAGTTTAATATCAGTATCAGTGTCCTTCTTGACAGCAATAGCCTTTTTATGATCTTTAGTTGAAGAAATGCTCTATTTAACTCACATAAAAATATTATGTACTGGTATTCACTATCTTCTCTACTCTATGAATAAGTGATCAAGAGCTCATATCATTATCAGTTTGATTGTAATTTTTAGGGCTATGATAAAGCTTTTAAATAAATACTACAAGATACTCCCATACACTTACATTAATACTCATTGTCTCAATACAGCCACAGGGGGGATGAAAAGGAGTTAAATTTGCTCACTCTCACATTCATTTTTGTAATATAACTAGAATCATCACCTCTAACATAGTCTAATTAATGAAGATCTCTAACATTACAAGAATGCATGATAAAAAAAATGATAGCCTGATAAATTGTAAAGCTCAGTAGTCCTTAGTCCTATAGTCTAATCTAGTCTAGACATAGAACTATGATTTTGGCTTCTGAAACTTCAAAATAAGCTTATACCAACCTACTTTTAGTTGAAGCCCTACCTACAACTTATTTGGATGGAAAAGGTAGATATATTATCTATATCCAGTAGGCCTAAGTAGAATTGCTTAAATTAGGCCTAGTGATAAGAAGGTAACTTGTACCAGTAGCCTACCTCAAAATTTTTGTAATAATAATGACAATGCCAAATGGCCTACTACCAGTACTACAAAATACTACAAAGTTTTTTCAATAAGCCTATTTCATATCTCCTACATTTCCATTAAGAACCTGTTCAACTTCTTTTAGACAAAGTAAGCTATTGCAAAGGCTTAACATAACAGTTCAAAGACACAGTTTCCCTTGTTTTTACTAGGGCTAGGGCCCGGCCTATCGTTTAGTTGTGTTTCACAATAAATGTGCAGTCTCTTCAGACTCTTGTTTTTGTAAGCTGCCTACATCAAATAAATAAGATTTATGAATAGAAATAATTCCCAGTAGAACTAATTGAAAAGAACTGATAATAATTTGCATAAAACACAATCATATTTTACTCTACCTGACATCTTGTCTTGATTTTAATATTCCGGGGCCTGTAATGTTTTGGTTGAGTTGTCAAACTTCTTTACGATGGGTCACTCCCAATCTTGGCATGGAGATTCCCTCGACCAGAACGAGCCTCGATTTCAGATGAGCTGTTACTATATTTAGATATCATGTGACACGTGGTTGTTATTTTTCTATTTTTAGCATAAATTTCACAGAGCCGTATATACAGATTTATTTGTAGTTTGTAGTACTGATAAAACAAAAATTATTTAGTATAGTTACTTCCCTTTAAAGGTGAAAGTTAATCGCTCTGCAATATCAAATTAAGCTTGTATTTTGTTCAGTTATATCCCTTGCGATTAGCTGGCCCCTTACTTTAAAGTTTCTGAAAGCCAACAATAAAACGAATCTCAACTTGTATAAGTCGATTTCTTCGTTGATTTGGTATATTTGAGTGAATCTGTTTTTTAGAGACACCCTGACTTATTTAAAAACATAGACTGTTCATACGGAGAACTGTATATACAGTAGGCCTACGCAGTAAACACAGAAATATGGATAGCGTCCGATAATTCGAAACAATAAACTGAATTTTACACACAAAACTAGGCCTTAAGTGAGGTGATTCGAGCTCCAACTTAGCAAATGAAAAACCCTTTCTGATACGTTTTTGTGCATTTGAGTGCATTTGTAATTTTCAGATACCCTATTCTATCTTGACTTCCGCTTCTGGAAAAGTCTTGCATAAGAAAACAAACGCAATAGAAGATTGCAGACAAACTGTGACGTTTCGTGTTGTAGCTTGGTAAGAACGAATATTTACAGAAAAGTGTGAGTATATAAATGTATATTCAGGCGAATAAGAAGGGTGACAACTGAAACAGTTGACTTACACTTACACAGATCTCTGCTGAGACACGGGTCGGGTGTCGATGGTGATAGATAATTTCGTTGGTATCTTTTTGCTTTTTGTAAAGTCATCGAATGGTCGATACCTGAAGGTGGGAGAAAGTGCCAATGACTGAAAGGAAGTAGTCTGTTGGTAGGAACACCTGAGGATATTTCATCTTCATTTTCAAGGACAATTTTGGAGATTTTTACACATATTACAGTGGTGCCTATAAGGATTCAACACCTAATTTCGTCAAAGTTAAAACAAACTGAATTTTTTTTTTATGTCTTAGATGTTTCCTCAGATATTCTACAAAATAATTAAAATTGGTTTGTTTCGATTTTCTTTATGAATCCCTCACTCTGACCCATATTTCATGAGTACCCAACTCGACCACGGTGGCAAAATGTGCCACCTATTTTTGTGTAAATAGTTTGATCTATAAAAAAGTCAGGAAAAACAAGTTGTATGGGTTGTTACTGATTTTATTAACTTTGCAGGTGAAGGATAAGTTAAAATGCTGTCTACACGTTTAGTGATGACCACTAGGGTCCCTCTCACTGCTTTTGTCAGTGGGTTGGGCAAGACACCAGTTAAATCACATCAAGTAACCAGAATACAGAAGTATGCTAATGGGACTAAAAGTGGTCTTGGCACAAGAGCTAAAAGAAGATCGATAAAAGATATTGCTATGGCTCCTGCAGGAGATTCAGGTAAATTATGTATAATATTATGTTCAAATCTGGCATGGTAAATACCAGTTTAAGTTTAACAAGCAGTTCATGGAAGTATTTGAAACTTATGTTTTCTGGATAGGAGTTCTAGAGAATTACCTGGTACTGGCTGGCTATGGTTATTATATTACACAAGGACCCTTTCCTTAACACAATTCATAACAGATTTTTTTAATTTTTGATGAAGTTTCATCTTTAAGATTTTAAACCGTAACATCTAATGACATTCTGAATGAATTGTTGAATAGTGTCCTTCAATAAGATAAGTAAATACTAATATAATATATAATATATTTCAGCATTCAGTCTAGGGCAAGGTGTGGTAGCAGGTTCTGCTGTGTTTGGTTTAGGAGCTTTATGTTATTATGGATTAGGAATGTCAAGTGAAGTTGGTGCTATTGATAGGGCTGCGTAAGTTTACACCAAGAGACTTATATCTTTCCATGGTTTGAGTGCATTTTCCATTTAGTTCCCACATTTGTCAGTAAATTGAATTTATAACATAAACGAAAATTCAAATATCAGTTTAAAAGAATATCTTCTGTGTCCATGCAAATATGTTAAAGTTTGTTAGTTTGCATTTAATACAAATTCACTTCCTTCCTAATTTATTTGTATTATTATTTTAGATTATGGCCTAAAGTGGTAAAGGCGCGCATTAGAGATACATACATGTATTTTGGTGGAAGTATAGCTCTTTCAGCCATATCTGCTGCAACATTATGGCGTAGTCCACAAGCAATGAGTCTGATGATGAGGCGCCCCATGTTGGTAAGTAGAAATTCCACTATAAATTTGTTAAAATTGACAAAGTAAAACTATTAACCTCAAAATAGTTGTAGCAATGGCTTAGTCTAGCCTCTATGAGGTCAGCTCTAATCTTTGCATAGGATACGACTATTAAACCTAGTTTTCCCCTTGTCAGTGATGCAGGTCAAAGGGTTTAATATATGCAACCAAAAAACAAGTCTCCATGCTCCAGAGCCACAGGCTATATATGTTCATAATTCGCTTCATAATCTAGAAGAATGCTTTCTTTTAACAAGGACTAAAATGTTATATGTTTAACTGTTTGTAGACTTTCGGAGCTCAGATTGTTGGTTTGATTGGAGCTGGTATGGTTTGTAGATCCATGGAATATACTGGTGGATTTAGTGCTAAACATTTAGTATGGATGGCATATAGTGGTATAGTTGGTACCACCTTGGCACCATTAGCTGTTCTTGGTGGACCTTTATTAATAAGAGCTGCCTGGTACACTGCTGGCATTGTTGGGGGTAGGTTAACTAAGTTTTATCTAAAAGAAGGCTAGAACAATTGGTATCATGCAATATTTCTATTTCTTTTTGGTAGCGACTAAATATCTTCTTTTGAAATAAAAGCATGCAATTGAAGAAAATTGGTAATTATGAAATACTTACAAAAATATAGCATTTTGAAAGTTTTCATAAAGACATGATAACCACTATTATCACTATGTTGAACAGTGTTAGGAACTGTTGTTAATATTAAGGACAATTATATATTCAATATTTCATGTTTTAGAGCCAATTCTTCGTGTATGGCTTGTAAATAACTATGAGCTTTTCTGTCTTCTACAGGGTTATCAGCTGTAGCAATGTGTGCACCAAGTGAGAAATTTTTGAACATGGGAGGACCATTGGCTATTGGTCTTGGAGTTGTGTTTGCTTCATCTATTGGTTAGTATAGGTACAAATGGTCAAACACAGACGTGATAAGCAATAAATATTACTATTAACATACACAGAGTATGAAATGTACAATGTATATTATAGCATTTAAAATGGAAAACTCCTGATTCATCAAGATATCTAACAGTTCTTTAGATTTTTGGAAGAAATTGGACTATATTTATTAGATGGGTAATGCTGAATTATAATTTATATTCCTACAGGAGGTATGTTCTTACCACCTACCACAGCACTAGGAGCTGGTCTTTATTCTATAACTATGTATGGTGGATTAGTTCTCTTTAGTGCCTTCTTACTATATGATACCCAGAAAATCATCAAAAAAGCTGAAACTCATCCAACTTACGGAGTGCGACGTTATGATCCTATCAATGGGTAAGTTTATTTCAGAAAGTATTAGTGTATATCAAACCTGGTTTAAAAGTTTGTAGTTGTGTAGCTTTCTGAGAAGAAGGAACTTGAGCTTTTTGCAGACACCTGGCTATTTGTCTTTATTCCTATAGTTTTAGAACCTGTTCTCTAAATCTTCTTACTTACTTCCACTGTTGCGCGCAATCTTGAATCTTAAATAAATCATACCAAAGAGTTATGAGCCACGATTTGGTCAAGTTGGGTACGTGCTTAGGCAAATCGCTTAAATAAATGGGCATTGTAGGCAAATCGTTGTTTGTGCTTTTAAGCCCTTTTAATATGAATTTAGAGTAAAATACATTCCACAAGACTGAATAAGGGAAACAACTCTTATTTGTTTGAACCTGAGCTCTATCAGATAATAAAGAAACTTCTTTACACAACTGTATTGCTTAAGCAAAGTTTAATGTGTTAAATAGTAAATGTTATATCTATTTCAGATGTCTGGGAATCTATATGGATACTATCAATATATTTATAAGATTAGCTATATTATTATCTAATGGTGGAGGTGGTAGAAGGAAATAAATATTTTGTGATGTTGTGATTGTAGAAAACATTGTGAACTGTTTATTGTGATATCTTTGATTCAGTCACCTGATACAGACATTGAACATCTAATTTCCACTAGACTTAACCATAAAGGTACTAGCCCAGGAGTCTAAGTGATTTGGTATCTTTTCTATCTGGGATTGTCCTTGTTTAAAAAAAAAAATGTGTTACTGTGTATAATAAGGTAGATAAATGACCTGTATTGTAAAATAAATTGTTTCCAGATCATTCTAGTGTTGAGCTTGATTCATTGGAAAGAGCAAACTTTGTAGAAGTATCTTACAAAGGTAGCAGCTGTCAATAAGTTTGTTTTACCTGCCTTTGTTACATTAACAAACCTCTTTTGAAAAAGTTTGTTGTCGCTATGAAGGTTGTTATGAAGAAAATATTGCTTAATTTAAGGACCCCCCACCTCCTCCCTTGGCCATTTATAGGAATGCGTCATTACCACTATAATTTACAACCAGTAAGAGTTATCCGTACATGTGTGTCTATCTGCTACCGAAAACTCTTTAAGGTTCGTCATAATTAAACATAAGCTGTCTAATATTAGCATATTATATTTGACATATGCAGAAATAGATTTAGAGTAGTTGGTGTTTTTGGAAAACATTGTCGAAAGATTTTTATACGTTGAAAATACTCTTCAAAAACATTATGTATTGACTAGAATATCATGATAAATATGGAGGTTTTCAAGACACGTTAAGCAACGCGTGATTTTAGAGTCTTAAAAAGAATCGATGTCAATAAGCTGGCGTCAGTCAGTTATTATTGCTGCAGACACGCCAAGATAAATATAGGTATTTGTCACAATATATCATACGATACATTGCTTTTTATAAATACTGGCTTAAATCATCCCTATCTCGTTTCGATTCACGTTTTGAAGAACAGGTGAAAGTTATTTATTTAAACTGCTGAGTGGACAAGGCTGGTAATATCTTTCTTTAACTATGAAGGGTCACAAGCCGTTAAAATAAATCTGCCATCTACCAGTTCGTGACCCTTCAGATAATAATTGTTAATACTTTTTAACTTCAAATTTAATCGACGAGGGCACAGATAGAATCGCAGATCATGCTTCTAATCAAGATTAATATAGCTTGGGAAAATAATGACGAACCTTGCTTTAAACGGATTGTAAAGAGACTTTCTAAATTTTGTATGTATATCGGTGACATTGATGATAGCATCAATATGCACCATTCCAATTTTCAATCAGATGTCAATGGTTCCTGCAATTCCAAAATTTAGAAAATCTCTTTACAATCTCTTCAAGGGTTTTTTTTTTTAAATAGAAGGCTGTAGTCCAGTTATTGCTCTATAAGTCAACAGAATTGTACTTCTGGTGTCCATTATCACTTTTCAGAATCAAAGTCACACATTAGGCTCCCTTACCATTAAATGAAGTAAATACCGCTATATTCTCTCTTATAATGATATTAAATTGTAAGGAGTCCTCCAAGGTAAGTGTTTTGTATAGGGGAAGGGAACCCTAATGTGGGAATTTGATTATTTAAAAAGCTATCAATACTTTTTGAGATAGTATGGAAACTGTGAAAGACTTCTCGTCATTAAAGATTAAAAGTAGGTAGTATGTAACACTGTGGTTATTGAATGACATACCATGATTGTGTCATCAACAATAATTATTAATTATACACTAGACTTAGTCATGCATTCTAGTTGTTTTCCATAGTTACCATTTCTCACATATAGTCTAGAAATAAGTATGTAATGATTCATTTTTACTTTGGAGTTTTACATAAGTACAATTCATCTGAGTTTCATCACACCATTCTTCATTCAATGTAGTCGAGGTAAGCAACAAATTTGAAAATCTATAGACCGAAAGTTTGAAACAGGATTTGAATTGCATTGTTATACAATAAGCAAGAGGCGGGCGTCTAATGAAAACATCTAGATACGTTTTGATACATGCAAGTAACCCTCAACTATTGTATCCCGTTCACTACGAATCTTTATAAAATTATTAGCGGGAACGAGGAATTCAAAAGGTTGAAAACTATGGCTATAAACAATAGCAACTCAATATCTTTTGAATGTACCATAGTAAGACATGTTAGGCATACTATCAAATTATGCGATGAAACCTTAATCTGCTGGTCTTCTCGACTCCATCCTTCTTTTTATATAGTCATGTCCTGGTAGACTTTTTACTTTAGTTAAGAATCAAGACACCAACCAATATTAACGAATCAACAGGAATGTTGCAATAACCTATTGGTTATTTTAATACACTGCATCCTCATACGCATTGACGTGCATGCAAATATCCAAGGTGTACTTACTTAATCACAATTTGCCTCATCCTTTACAGACCCACTTTAGACTCAACCCGCTTATTATAATACGACCAAATTTTATTCGACAGAATTTATCGGTTGTAAATTGTAAGAATTATGTTACCTTATTGAGTTTTTATCAACTAAATAAGACTTTAACTCGGCTATAAATTTCTAAAACGCACGTAAATAGAACACCAAATTGGTTTCATTCCACGATATAAAATATTGACAATTTTCAAAACATCAATGATGTTTTTCATTCCAGATTTGTAGTTGTATAAAGAAAAATGATGGTTGGCAGCCTTCAAAATGAATATATTTACAAGAAAAGAACGTAAATTCACAAGGATTCGGCAACTTTTCCTGCTGTCCACATTAAAGGGGATAAGGTTCGTCGAAAGCATGGTCTTCTTGAAGGCGCTGATGTGACTGGAGATTACTACAAGGAAAGAAATGCTCTTGTGATTTCCCCTATCAAAGACCTCAGTATTTATAATATACGGGACCACTCAGGGCCCACAGTAGCCAAATCGAGTAGATGTACCAAGCACTTTGTTCGACAACGCAAGGCTATTGTGCTGAGTTCTTATCATCCTAAAGGGAAAGATAGCCCAAGTCTTCTCGAACAATCACAGTCTTTACAGGGATTTCGAAAACAGATCAACAACAGATTGGGCGAGCCAGGAGGGAGTGAGACCAAACCCATGGCGACAAAGCTAGCACCAATATGTCATTCACAGCGTATCACCGCCAAGCTAGATGGTGTTAGTGGATATGATATCCAAACCTCTACCAAAACAGTATACCTGAAGACTAGGGGAATTCATGTCCGTGTAACAGAAACTCCAAAAGAGGCATTGGCAAGAAATGTAAGACAAACATCACCAGATGCTGTTTCTCGAAGTAGCTCAGCGACGAGGAAGGAGAACGTCACCGAAGATCTTAGATTAATGGTCCACGGAGTAGTCTCAAGCAAACCAGCTGATGAAGACCCGGAAGTTCGAAAGAGCGAAATTAGCAGCTATGCCATCCGTCAGCAATATGGACAACACTTAGAAAAGAATTGGTATAAATCAATGGTTCGTGAGATGAATACTAAGAATAAGGAAAGTGTCACGCAGCAGAGTTACCCGTTTACCCCGGAAATGTTCTACAGTCCGGAACCAGAAACAGACAGTGGCGACGAGGATGCTGTAAAATTCAGCTCAGAATTTCGAGTCGTCGTACAAAACTCGACTGTGGAAAGATCTTTAAGTGGTTACGAAAGTGAAGCAATCGTTGACGATGAACCTATTTCCCTTAAATACCAGTCAACTAAATTTGTGTCCATGGATGTTTTGGTCAGTGATCAAGAGTCTGGCAGTGAGTCAGACATAGAATTCATCATGAAGAACGGCGGACTTCTTCAGAAGCGGGTTAAGAATAAAATGCATGCAAAGCGCCAAAGGCAGATGACTAGATTTGAAAAACTGCATGCTAAACCAGATGAAGTATCAGATGAGGACGATGACTATGAATTAGAAAATATGACAGATAAAGAGCTCAGAGCTATGAGATTAAAACTCAAGAAACCCAAGTGGAAATTAAAACTTAAAGGCATAGCACGCTTCAGACAAGTAGTTAGATCGATTTGCATTCTTATGTTTTTCCGTCGCGTCATAAAAGAAATAAAAAGAGAACGCAAAGCGCGTATGAGACGAAACAAAAGGCACAAAAGTCTTGGTGGTTTTTTAAGTGGAGAAGATGACGAATGCAACAGATTGTCTAAACTCCATCATTACAAAACTCTTAAAGAACGTTTTCTTGATGAAATTGGTTGGAAATTAGTAGAACAAGTTTCTAACTTGGCGATTAAAGATGGTTTCGGCTACGACATCCGAGATGAACTGGCATCTGGTGAGCGCCGCTCTCGTTATTTAAGAGTTCTTGAAGAGTGGTTTGCCAACGACTCACAAGAAGCAACACAAATTGAATACATTCCCAATAGAAGAACATCAAAACGTTTATTAAAGAAGACGATAAAACGAAGCACTAGTTGCCCAGAACTCATAAAGCCGAAGCAGTATCGAGTTTTACACAGTCCTGTCAAGTTCCTAGAGCCTAAGACTGATAAAGAATTTTCCAAGAAAAAGGGTAAAGGGGGTAAAAGAAAAACAAACAAACCCCTCAGATATCAGAAAAACAATGACGACGATGATGATTATGCCATTGGATCGTACAATGAAGGAAACGGAAGAAGAAGCAGTTTTGAGTTGGGAAAGAAATCTGGCGGTGCGCTTGATCTTCGAGATCTGTTAAAAGATGTTCATATTCCAGCTAAAGAAATCAAAATTCAAATAGCTGAACGAAAAATGAGAAGAAATCGGAAAAATAGCCGACAAGCGAAGAAAAAGGGTTATATACCTTATGACGCCAAAAAAGCAATGGAAGCAAACAGATTCAAGATACCGGATTTTGAAATAAATCTTTCTCCAACCAATACTAGTCCAGTAGATGAAGACGAAGACAAGTCAAGTTCCCCTACCCATGAAAACAGTGAATCTCCAACTGAATCCAAAACACAGTTAGACAAATTACATACGTTTTCGGTGCGCAATGGACCATTCGTCAATAGTAGCGTATCTTGGAATAAATCCAAGCAGAAAAACCAGAATACATGGTCTAATGAAGAACTTGATCGTGAAATCCAGAGAGCGGGATCATTGTTTTTAGAAATGAGACATTGTCGGTATATAAGATGGTACAGACTTGGTCAAGCCATGGTCAGCAGAATGTTAGAACTAGAAAATGAAGTCATGTATGGGTTTACTCTCCAATCAAAACCCACGCACCAAGAGTAAATTTATTAGTTTTTGTACTGTTATTAAATTATTTCAAGTAATTATATGTTTATGTTACTTTAATGTTTCATTGGTATCAATAGCTCCTATCCTGGTTATTTGGATAATTCCACCCGCTTTCCCCATGTCAGTGTAGCAGGTTGGTTAGGCTATCTGTTCAATTTGACTAGATATTCGACAGTCTGCTTACGTTTAATTCCACCTCCTATCCCATAGTGGGGAAAATAAAATAAAGCTCGAAAAATGTCCAAGATACAAGGACTACGATAAGTTATGTATCACGATATAATGATACATAGTTACACATAGATCTAAAAATCAGTGTTGCATTGTTGTTCTCAAATATCAAGATTACAAATAATTCTAAAACACCAATATTACACATAGTTCTAAGATATCAATGATACACATAGTCTTAAGAAACCAATGTTACACATAGTTCTAAAACATGAATGATACAAAAATCTTAAACATCTATATTTCATATAGTTCTGTTATAACAACGTTGCATATAGTCTTAAAACACCAATTACAAATAGTTCTAAAACACTGATGTAACACATAGTTCTAAAACACGAATAATACACAAATCTAAAAAAATCTATGTTTCATTTAGTTCTGATATATCAATGATATATATAGTTCTAAAACGTCAATGTTACAAATAGTTCTTAAAATACAATTTAATACATAGTTCATGTGTTACATATAATTATAAAACAGTAGACACATTGTTCTAAAACTTCCATATAAACCATAGTTATAAAAATTAACCTTACACAAAGTTCTACAATATAATCGACGTTACTTATAGTTTTTAAACATCAATATAGTTCTGAAATATCAATGATAATAATAATGATAATTCTCAAACACTAATGTTATATAGTGCGAAAACATTTAATATACAATTCTGAACATCAATGTTACATATACATATATGTAGTTATCAAAAATCGATGCTGTTACATAATTCTCAAACATCAATGTTCATAATTCACAAACATTTTCTCAAACATCAATGTTACACGATTCTCAAACATCAATGTTACATAATTTTCAAAAATCAATGATACATAATTCACAAACATTTTCTGAAACATGAATGTTACATGATTCTCAAACATCAATGTTACATTATTCTCAAACATCAATGTTATTCGTTCAGAAACATCAATGATATCATTGGGGTAGCCTGGGGCTTCAAGGCCCATCATTCCGGGCGATATATTTGTTATCGCGTATCCTTGTAAGTAAACGCTCCAGTAGCCGTCAAATGCAGGTAGTCATAAAAAAATTTATTCACGATTTAGCTAGTTAGGCCTATTAAATCGTAATTAAACCATTTTAATCGTACCCGTATCCAGACTTGATTGCTCGGAGGGTCAAGTAATATATCTGGAAGGGTGTAGTTGCAGTAATGTCAGAATCACTCTCATCATCATATTTTTGCAACCTTAAAATATCATTTTTTCAATTGATTGTTTCATTCATTACCCTTGTATGCTGTGTTTACGATAGGATACGATGTATTTTCAAAATTTTTAAAATGTTTCGAAATTCTGGTATTAACATACGCGTGATAAATGCTTGTATTAAAATCTGATTAATTGCCATGTGAAAAGTTGACGAGATTCTTACACCGTAATAAACTTTCAAGTTCCCTACACCTTGTATAATTAAGAATTTCAATACCAGCATTGTAACAAACTGAATGTCATAGTAGGCCTATATACAAAACGTGGATATAAGATCGTGTTTTTAACAAGAATAACATAGACAACTTATTAACTCATAACAAACACAATACTATTCAGACAAAAGATTTTATAGACTATCTTTGCTATAAACACAAGAGTTGATTAAGATTTTTATGGCTCTTCAGAACGATTTATTTGGTACTTCAAAAACTGTATTTGTCGCCGGTCACGATAGGCAAGATAATTAAAGCGTAAGAAAAGTTTGGAGTATGTGGACACAATATCTAACTTATCTAAGTTATCATTATAGACGTGAATAGTGACCTTCAGCAACAGATGAAGAGCTGTCTACGAAGGAAAATAAGGCAAATCTTAAGTGTTCATAGCGACGATAATAGATCATTTGGAAAAAATGAATGGAAGAAACACTTGTTACATTGTCAATCAGCGCCTAAATAAGTTTTTATTTTAAGGACTGAATATATACAGTCGACTGATTTATAAAGACTTCTATGACCGAAAGATGGAATATAATGTCATTGTGTCAGGCGTTTAAATCTGAACAAGAGGAACATTACATTGGATTTCATGTTTATTGAACCCATTTTGTTGGACACATTACTTTCAGTTAGATTACCATTGTTCATATTATCATAAGCCGATTAAGTTACTAGCATAAGCGTAATTTACAGTTTCCAGAGGATATCAGAATGGATATAATGAGACGAAGTGAAGTGTGGCTGAGAGCACATAGTAAAAATATCGAACAAGAGAAGTACTTGGAGAAAAAACTCACTTCCTTCAGTACCAAATGTCGCAGACGAACAAATCAAGTGCAGCAGCAGATATTTGATATCTATCATCAAGAATTACAACCGTTACAACAGGAAGCCAACAAAGGAACATTCCAAAGCCATCATCTTGAATATGACAGCCGACATTTTGCTCCACAGAGAAACTTGCATCAAAGAAGTCCACCAAAGGTGGAAATATCTGACATTCGTCGTTCATCCCAAAGCACAACAGTCAGTGAATTAGTGAAAGGGGCCAGTAAAAGAATAAAATTTCCAAAAATAGGAATAAAGTTGAAGACTGATAATGTTATCTACGTTGACCAACCAAGGAGAAAGTCCACAGATAACATTGCAGATTATTGGTTGAGATCCTTGAAGGCCAAATCAATGAAATACCATGAAAGAGATCAACGCTTGTCATCTATCCGTAGAGCTTTAAACATTGGAGAGAGCTGAAAAAGCATTGCATTTGATCAATCTCTCGTTGATTAGAATTACATATATTCTAAATTTTGATTATCTTGAATCATGAATATCCTGTTTTTGGAAACAACCAAACCTGGTTTCCTGATGGACATTCGGATATCAATATCCATTATGTCAGTCGCATGAGTTCAGATCCAGTAATTTAATACACGTACATGGGTATGGGGGTAGATGATCCGACAGAAGCTGACTTTAGTGACTCTGTAATGTCTAATGATAAAGTCCCGTTTTATATTGTTCTTGCGAGAGGGAGACGTTGGATTGTAGCGTGTGTTTGATATCTATGACAGGTAAAACAGGTTTATCAGAACAATGTTATAATCACAATCAATTTGATTTGAATCTACCTGTAATTAATTTTATCAGTGTAATTTTGTGAATCAATTTTTGTCATATTTATTTGGATGTTATATGAACAAAACGAGTTATTTAGGCCTATTTGCTGTTAAATGTTTTTGATAATCAATAAAATATTGATAAAAAAGTATTTTAAGTTTCTGAAAATTTCTTAGGAATTAAAAATTTACGTTTACGTTTTTTTGTTTATTTAAATTGTCTGAACTTTGATGCAATGTGCTAGTTGCCCAAGGACTTTAAACTGGCGCTAATGTCCATTCCTTAATCGCATAACACCTTCATTAAAGGAATAGTAAAAAGTTTTCTAAAAATTGTATATGCATCGCGTCCGAAAATTGAAATGGTGCAAATTGGTGCTATCAGTGCGGTGGTTTATGATGTCGTATTACGAACCACCGTATATCAGTTTACTCGATACACATAACAAATTCAGAGAACTTCTTTACAATCCCTTGATCAATTGTTTGATATATAGTTGATATAGTGCCGATGGTCCCAATATTGTATCTTAATTTCATATACCATTGAGTATGTCGCTGGCAAGGAAACTTATTCGTAATCTTCTGCAAAACTTCAGGACAATCCTCTAAACAGTAACAGAAAATTGGGACATAAAACTCCTTCCTTGTGACAACTCTTTATTGACATTTTTCATTTCATGTATTTTAATATATTTGATTGCTTACGATATATTAATCCGTTGTACTTTTACAACTGTGGCCTTATTGTCATCTGCTTGCAGTCTTTATACACGGCTCGTCAAATTCTACATCATCAAAATAATCCTTACATTGTTCACGAGTTCATCGGATTAAAAGGATTATCTTAAACATGAGACATCAAATATAAAGTGTATCAACCTTGGATATGAGCTGACTAAATTATTATTCTTTGAGGCCTCTTTAATTTAATAAGTTTTTGTCTAAATTCTCTTTCTTGAACACTGCTTGGCATTCATTAGCTAAATCATGAGCTCAAAATAGGAAATAAAACTATATTTCATTTCAAAATAAAAGACTTATAGAATTACTTAATCGCTATCATTGTCAAATTGGCTAAAACATTATAGTCTATTTAATATCAAATTAATACTGGATTTTTCATTCACCTTTATATTTTCAGAAAATGACATTTCTGTAATTTGAGTTTTTCCTACCACAAAAGCCGCTATTATGCCAAACACATAAATGCTTGCTGATAAAGTGGACACAATATATTTGTAACAAGTGTTTGTAGCACCTGCTGCAGTTTAGAGATCACTTGTGAAATTTGCGGAAACATAGGACATGACAGTTAGTATTATGTACTAATTATTATATGCCTGACTTGGTTAATTAGATTTAAGGGTAATTAGAGGTGTGCGTGGTGACTGAATCTACTTTCTCAATTTTTATCGATTTTCCAATAAATGCAGTAAGTATATTGTCTTTGTATCGTATACAATATCATTACCGTTCAGTTCGTGTTCACGGCAGTTTTACCTATTCAGCATTTAAATTTCTGGAATATTCAGCTTGCCTTCAGTTGCCAGGAGGCACAGTGTGGAAGACAGAACTCTGAACGGCACCATGACGGCTGCGGAATTTTCATCCTTTGAACATTCAATTGTTGGAATAACATATATGGTAATCGGTAAGTTCATCTAAAAGACTCCGTTTAATTTCAGGCATTTAAAAAGTTGTGGATCTTGTATGCTTAGGACTTCATGAAAAAGAAATCAAATAAGCTCGTCTTGTAGTCTTATTTTTATTTTATAAAGAGTGAAACCTGGTGGTTGGGAGAGAGTAGAGTTGTAAGTCGATGTTAAACAAGTTTTTGTGAATTAATTCTAATTTTACCATTTTGTATCTTTTTTCAACCAACAATTTTTTTTTTTGCACACAAATGTTAAATGTTGTAAACATTTTCCGATTAAACATATATAAACCTATTTTATACTCATCAAAATCAATCCTATATCATTACTTGATTTTTGGAATGAATCTATATTTAAAATTGCTATAAATAATAATAACAGAACCTCTAAATGCAGGTGAAATAATTAAGTAATTGTTAAAGATTACAATCAAAGCCTTATTTATGATCTATTTTTTTCTATAAAAAATTTGAATAATGCCACTTTTAATCATAATGAGTCCCTGTACAATTTCCATTAAGTATTCATATTAATATCCATTAAACAGAATATTATGTTGTTGTTATCAAATATCATTGTAATGCCTAAAAGATAACATAGAAAGGCAATAAAACGCAATCACACTTGATTGCAAATTTTCTGGTCGGAAATAATCATTTAAATCAATGAATCAATGTATGACTATATAAGAAATACCAGAATCTTGTCTATCATAATAAGCTGTTTTACGATATTTCATCAATATTTAAAACATCAATCATGTAGTAGACAAGGTCAAATTTCTTAAACTAATAGTTTCACAATCGATATACTGCTTTGGTAATGATAGAATTGTTGTTTGTAGATGTTGCATTGATGAGGATACTTTACTGTCAACGGAATGTTCCTTCTACGGAAATTGAACCTGCTTATGCCTTCTTTAATATATTTCAGGTATTTCTGGAACACTCCTTAGTTTACTGGTAGCTTTAACATTCATACGTGAAAAAGGTTTATTTAAATATGGTCGAGCATGGCTACATATCAGTTTAGCAATAGCTAATGTTGGCGTTGTAGGAGCTTTTCCCTTCTCTGGTTCGTCCAGTTTTAGTGGAAGGTAAGATACCACCAGTGTTATCCATGTCATTAAAGTCTTGAAACGATAGTTCTAGATGGGCCTTGTTCTCAAGTATCATTATGATAAGCATTATTTTAACAAGCTGTCTGGTTAGTCTTTTAACCGCCGAAAATATGAATAACCACCGCATACCTACATTGAAGCAAAATCGGAAAATATGTCTCGATTGTTTAGACTAATTTATAATGTTTCTCGTAAAATTTTTCTACACGTGTTTGCTGATACCCCTTTAAATAAATTAGTATCTCATTTGTGAAGCAAAGAGAATTTAAGATCATATCTCTTTAAAATCTAAAACCTGATTTCTGTCTTATTTTTCTAATCTTTTGTGACGAAAAGAACGTTAATAACATTGTTTTCGAGTTATTGTGACATAAGACTAATTTAATGAAAGCTTGTATCCTCCAGAGTTTCTTCAGTCTGTTAAGCTGTCAACTAATTTGATTATCTTTGTAGGTGGTTATATGGAAGTGGAATGTGTACTTTTTATGGCTTTATTGGAATGTTCTTTGGAATAGCTGCTATTGGAAATGTGTTTGCTCTTTGTGTTGAAAGATATCTTGTTTCTAAAAAGAAAGATTCTGGTAAGAATTGATACGTATCTTCATTGAATTCCCCTAAAGATTTGCCAAAGTGATGAAAGTGCATGATGTACAAGCACTCTGATTAGTCAATATCCTATTAATTAGCACAAAATCTATCACTGTGTTTCATACCTGTTTCCAGAGCCAAGATCATTGATGTTTACTATAGTGCGGAATCACAATGCTAAATTATAAAATTATTTGTCGCTGAATCATAAATAGGAGGATTCGATGGGTCAATAACGTAATAATACAAAAACTTAGATTTTTGTCTTTTGAACTATAGTGTCAGATTAAACAGAAATGCACCAATGACCACCCAATTCTTAATACATTAAATGTTATTTATATTTCAGTTGATAAAGTATCAAATCAGTTCTATTGGATGATCACAGCATTAGTGTGGATTAATGCATTTTTCTGGGGTATTATGCCAGCACTAGGATGGACCAGGTCAGTTTTTCGTCATTTTTGGAAACTGTTTAAGTTGATTTCATTTTGAAACTGAGACTTTTAGCTCAAAATATCGTTCCAAAAACTTGATTCATCTTAAAACGTTAATAACAATGAGCCGTAGACGGAAGGGTAGGAAATTGTATTCACTTCTTCCAGGATATGATTACTATCGACAAAAGCCTTCAGTTTTAAATATTCTTCACTGAAATCTATTTCTGACATGTTAAAAACGCCTTGAAGTTCAGATAGGACACTGGGTTCATCTGTAGTACAAATTGTAAAAGATTCATCTACAGTTAGAAATCGAAAAAGAGAAAATTACTATAACCCTCTTTGTCTTATCGTGTTGCATGACATTTCAATTTATTTCCTTTCTATCAGTATCATATGATTCTAATTACAGCTATGACATCGAACCATCTGGAACATCTTGTACTATTAAATGGCAGAACTATGATAGTGGTTATCCTAGTTTTATGGCCATGTTGAGTTTAACATGTTTTCTTATACCACTACCAGTTGCCCTAATCTGCCTTATACTGTCTGGCACTGATAAAATTACCGAAGATAAGGAAGAAAAAACATATTTTAGAGAAGACCAACTACGATCGGTATGTAAGAAGAGTTCTTGCCAAGTTGAATTCTGAGATTGCCATGTACTCCTGTGGTCCATGTGCAGAGAAAACACAAGGCGTTGTCTATCGGACAAGTGTGATCAGAATTTATCGGATGGCATTATTCATGTGCGAAGAGTTTTGCAATTACATAATATTTGTTCATACTTATAGGGATCAATTTTAGCTGACCTAGTTGGGTGGCAATTATTAGTTACTCAATTCGTCCTGTTTACGTTTAAATTTGAATTCAGCTTGCACCCATTTACAGAAATATTAAATCTTACTTTTATAAAAGCATAATAGCTTTAAGGAAAATTTATATATATTTTTTTCAATATTTTCAGACTTGTACGTTCCTTCTGATATTGGCTCTTATAGGTTGGGGACCGTACTGTTTCATTTGTATCTGGGCCTTATTTGCGGATACAACACAAGTTTCTATGTTAGCTGCAGTGATACCACCCTTAGCTGCCAAGACCATGGTACTACTCTATCCCGTAGCCTATTGCCAGGGAAACAAAAGATTCAAGAACGCCTTTCTTGGGATGTTCATTTTCAACGAATCACCAAAACAACAATAGAATATCGCTATTTTGATGCCGCCATATCTGCATGAATTATCATTGTATCTATAAATAGGTATACGCATAAGTTTTGTTCTTGTTCATTGTCATTTTTATCTTTATACTAGTCTGTTGAATACGTTACATGTTTTTGAAGATTCCGAGAGCGACATAGATAAACGCGAGATGATGTTTTGTCGACATATAAGGAGAATAAAAATGTCGAGCGCCACGAAAAGTCGCTGCTCATATTGCATGAAATACTTTCCTTCGATAAAGCCAAGCCTAAAACTCAAATTTGATTCTATTTTCATGAATTATATTTGTGCTATCTTTGTGCCTTTTTGTGTTTGCTCTGTTTGCTCAATTTAAGTATGCCATAGGCTCGATTGTGCGACATAAATTCGTCGATTTTTATTGTCCGAGAAATCGTATTATTTGCTTCATCAACCACTCTACTGTGTTAGACGAAGTTGCCTTCAGGAGCTTAAGAGCTTAAGTCGAAATATAAAAGAGACTATGTCCTCTAAATATTAGCTGCACCAGCTGTTTGAGTTCATCAGTAATTATAGCATATGATATGATCGGTCAATACCGCACTGGAAGTGCAATTGCATTGTCGAGCGGAAGCCTGACGTCGGATTTAAGTCTGAACTGTTCTAGAACTCTATCAGCTCGTTAATATCTACATGTACTGTAATATCAGAGAAATATTTTCGTGTTCCACGCGATTACTGCTTTTTATATCTTAATATTGAACTTCCGCCTTAAATTGATTTTCTTATCTTTCTGATATATTGTCTATATAATTGTATGGAATTGTCACAATGACACGAGTGTCATCATGATATATTTCAAATTGTACTGCTATGTTTTTTGTATGTTAAAGTTAATTGTATGGTGTATCTTTCAATGTGTTTTTGCTCAATTTATTATTTCCGTATTGAACATGGTATAGGAACAAGCTCAGTTCAAATGGGAACAGTTTTTGATTTTAACTTTAAAACTGTATAAAAAGGTAAAAATAAACATTTTTCGTCTTTACGCGTTGTTTGTGTGAAGATGTTATGAGAGATAAATTGTCGGGCGAGACAGCAAGTTATATCAGTAGTAGATAAAGAAAGAATATTATTATGACATTTCTAAGATGCACAGCAAGTTAAGCAGTTTCCGATATCATATCAATCAACCAATCAAATTTTGATGCGTTTTACTAAGTCAAAGGCAATAACTCAAATTCCGTTCATCGAAAAATCGTTAAATTCAAATTTATATAAGATCTCATTGTAATAGATGATTACATCAAATTTCATCAAAATCAGATAAAAACTGTAGTCTCTATTGTGTTCACAACTAATTACGATGTGGTTTGGCAATGGCAATAACACAAAAACTCAGAAATTCGAACATGACCTAGATCTCATCAATATAAATGATCACACCAAATATCATTTAAATCGGATAAAAAGTGTAGCCTCTATTGTGTTCACAAGCCAATTGTGGACGGAGGGACGGATTCGACGACGTTATACGACCACATTATAATGTGGGCGTATAAAAACGATATTATAAGGTTTCACTAACCTTCAAGGATGCCGTGTTCATAGAAATAGAAGTACATTATCAGAGTGAATGAGTTTTCTGTTGGCTTCATATTGATGATTTGATAGGAATTGGTTTTATTTATTGAAGTAAGATATTGATGATTTCGACTACACTCTGAAGTATGAGGTTTAAAGAAATCTTATAAAAAACATTGGATATGTGTGCTTCCGATATTTTGCCTTTAATAATTAATACATTCTACATCTATCCATGACAATTATCGATGGAAAGCAAAATTATCTCTAAAGAATAAGACCAACAAAATATTAAAACATGTATTTATAGAGCATCTTTACATTGAATTCAAAATCTTAATCTCTTCCTCGTCACTTAATTCCATCGGCGTTTCTAATATCATTGGAAGATTATCAAAGTTGGGTTCTCTCATCACTAATTTAAATCCTTCTATACCAATGTGGCCTTTACCAATATTTTCATGCCGATCAAGGTGACATCCTAACTTTCCTGGAAAAACATTTACAAATGCAATTATCTTATCGTATTCTATGTTTATTAAATACTTAAAAATAAACCATATTAAAAATATATATGATAATAATATTCAAATACTATCTGCGTGCTTAGTTATAAGTTATATTTCATTAGTTCACATTACACACAAAACACATAAGAAATACAGAAAGAAGCTCAAACCTTATTATATCTGTTTTTCGCGTGTGTATTTTATGACAAATGACAAATAAAGCAAGACATCAGTTTCTTACAGGGACATAGTCGTCTAAATACATTCTCTTTTGGCTGATACAGCTATCCGTATCACCTAACAGAAGTAAATGCCAAACCACCCTTTGCAACTGACGACAGTTTCCTTTACAAGAAATACCATACGAATAGTGAAATTGGGCTCTATCATCTTTCTTATCTCTTACGAGAAAGACCATTTTCATCAAATTAATGCTTATGGAAGGTTTTACAAGGTCACATGTCACAGTGACATAAGCTTACATCGAGGATGACAATTGGGATACGGAAAATTGGTATCAAAAGATTAAAAATGAGATGCTTTTCAGCAAACCTTTAGAATCATTGAGATGTACTGCTTTTAGATACTGTAAACCAACAATGTCATCTAATTGCTGCATAAATAAGTTGAAGCCAGATTCTGTTGATACATCATAACCTTTGAAAAACAACAACATCATAAATATTCATCCAATCTGATAAAATACAGATCTCTGTGTGTTTTTGTCTATGTATTACTTCCTTAAAGAAGTAAACGCCATAAATCAAGGTTCAGTCAATGATTGAATTCACAACTTGATAGGTTTGTGTACTGAATAAAAGTAATGCTGAGATGACCAACTAAATCATATATAGCAAATCGCGATTGGCGTGCTAGGGAAAGATGGATTGCCCTCAGAAATACTCCCGGGGTTACAATCTGAGCTTTTCCTACAAATCAAATACACATGTAGGCCAAAAGACTGCGGCAGTTTACAAATACAAATAGATACTATGTTATATTAAATGAAAGGCCTGTATGCCAAAAATACAATACTACTTTTGTTGCGTATATACTCACCAGCAGCAAAAGCATGACATGTATCAATACAGACTCCAATTCGTGATTTATCTTTAACTCTATCAATAATACATTTTAATTCTTCTAGTTTACCTCCAATAGTGTTACCTTGGCAACTCATATTCTCGATTACTTTAACGATAGATATTTTAAAACGACATTAAAAGCAGTCAACTGTAACAAGGCAAATCTGGCCCTACCCGTTCCTCAGACATACGTGCCGATTTCCCATCCGTATTTCACGACCGAGGAACGGTTAAGGCAAGATTTGTACGGCCATTAATCCGACCGATCTTTATAGAATTATCCATAGTGGCATCAATAGGAAGGGGGGAGGGGTGGGGGGTAATTATTAGATACAAAATTATTAAGGGCAGTTCACGGGAAGTTTTCACTATGTACCACGTTTAGATCAATCCCGACGCAATTTAACCAGTAGAGACATTGATTTTGGCAACTGAAAATATCAATACCTGTTATAACATTATTAGTTTGAGAATGAGCTAAATTGATAGATTCGCTGATTTTATCCATGCATTCCTCTCGACTAATTTTACCACAAGACGATCCTGAAAAGTTAACAAAAACGTATATATAATCGAAATAAGTCACGGGGAGTATCATCGATTAATAACAGAATTGTCAAGAGGGTTCACAGGCAATTCTTTTTTCGATGAAAAAATAGATAAATAAGACATTTGGGAAGTCGGGCCCTTAAAAAGAGCAAATCAAATATTACCTGGGTGAAAGTTATAGAGTGGTATTCCTAACAGCTCACATCGTTGTAACTCATCTATCAGAGCTGTACGACTTTTTTGTAAAGTTTGATCATCAGGTGAACCACAATTAATTAGATAAGATCCATGCGGTAAAAGTTTGTCCACAGGAAAGTTATGTTTCTGTAACATAATGAAAATACAGGTCTATGCAGATGGAAACCTTTCAGAATTTTCAAAGTAATATAGAACTCTATTTCACCTAATCTTCATACTATTCAGAATTGAAATTCGACGTCCTATTAGTTTCAATTTAACATTCTCACGGGAAATAATTGGTCGTCGACTTACGCTATGGATAATCAAACTTAATTTTAAGAACAATAAAAGCTATGTTGTATACTTTTTGACTTTTTTTTCTTTCGAAACTAAACTGTTGTAATTTAGCATTTTTAATGTACAAATGCCTTTATTTTACCTGAATAGTATCTTTAAACATTTGAATGGTATCTTCTGTTAAAGGTTTGCTGGCCCACTGTCTTTGTGATTTGAGAAATAACCCACAAGATCTAGCGCCTATTCTCACAGCTTCCTCGATACATTTATATAAACCACCTACAATAAACATTGCAGGATGAGTTTTCGCTCCCTTTTGACGGAATGAATCATTATTCAGATCCAAGCTGCGTTGTGACACACACTTTCAACTTGCATAAACAAACCAACAAACCAACGATCGGAAATGCAAAACGAAACCGGAAATATATTTGATGTCTTCCTTCCCCATTTGATTTGACAAAATGGAACTATGAAAATAAATGCTGTAGAAAGGCACTAGAAAAATCATAAGACCGAAAAGTAATAACTTACCAGCAATGGATAGATGAGCACCTACAAATTTTTGATTATTTTTTGGTGGAGACTCCAATTTGACAATTTTATTAATGGAACTTTTATTCTTTCCTTTAATAGTCCCTTTTAATGGCTTTTCCATTGTTTGTAACGAGTCACTTTCAGTATTCACATCTTTCTTCAACTTTTTATACATGTTAGGCTTTATTTGCACATCATCATTTTGACAACTGTCTTTCGTTGGAACCCTTTTCTGAAAAGCACCTCTTTTCTTTTGGGGTGCAAGATCTAGGTTCATATCTTTGCCGTTTTCACCTGTAGATTCTAAAACCTTCAGACCAACTTTTCTTGTACGCCTTGCACTAGCACTAGATCTTGTTGAACTTGAACTCTCATTCTCCGATTTTACCATAAACTTCAAAGACTTCCTAGTGAGTACTCTATGATTGGTATCTTCTGTACCATTAAAGCTTTGGGTGGTATCAAATTTTTGGTTCATATTCAAATATGATAAGTTACCTATTAGACGACAAACTTGTGATGCAAAAGAAGAAACTGATGTATTTGTAACTTTACTCAGCAATAATGAACTATTTCTAATCATTCTTCAACCTGTATAATAAAAAAAAAATCGATGCATGTAGAGGATAGCATTTAATATAAGGCTTGATTAGACACTTGATTTTACATAAGATTATTTTAGTGTTCTTGCCATCTGATTGGTCAAGCACTATGTTTTTGTAAATATAATCAAATTAACCAATAGTCAATATATGAAATAAAAATACCAAATAGGCTCACTCTTGTGGAGCACCTGTTACCATTTCAGAGAGATCACCTAGCTAATCTATTTCATGTGGCATATTAATTATGTAATGATTATAACCAGTCATGTGCGAAATATTTAAATGTGTATGTCAGAGAAGTCTGTAAGAGGAGTTTGAAAGGTTTGGAGTTAGTACCTACCGCTATTTTGTTCGTTTCTATTTATAGATTTACTGCAGTTATCTCCTAAACTGTCAGACTTCCGTCTAATATCGTGCTTGACAGTTGAAAGAGAATTGTACAGTAGAATCACATACAGACTGATAACCTTTGCTACAATAAAACATTCTGCCCTTACACTGACTTATAATCCTACTAATCGTAACCGTATTTTCAAACTTGAGTCAAGAAGATGAGAGAAACTTCAACATCCGGCTATTTATTAGACACATTAATCGGTATTTCGCTTTTCCAAACCAGCAAATCTACAAACTTACAAAGTAATGTATATTGTGTTTGATCATTCTCAAATGTAAGCCCATGGATAACCGCTTTTGAATGCACCCGATATGATAGTACGACACCTAGATTAACATATGTCAAATGAAATGGAAAGGTTTTTAACCTGGTTTCCCCAGCCAAGTGCTGACATGGTAAAAACATCTCTAGTTAAACAATGGGAAAATAAACGAAAGCCCATTGTACACTGTGTTACATGACTGTAAAGATCACACTCGAATTCGAAATTCCATGTAACTTTCTGATGGAGATAACCAGCAGTCTGTGAGCCAACTGCAAATGAGCGTATGCTATCTTGAATGATAAACTAGGCATACCCTTTAATTTGAAAAGTAAATAAAACTCTAATGCAAAAAGATGAATAGCCTTATATTACCACCGACAATTACAAATCACAAACCTTTAATAACATGATAAAATTCAGTTATGCATTTAGTCCAAAACTGAAGACGAACTGAAGACGAACTAAAAGTAATTAAGGGGAGGTAAGGAGTCATATCTTATGGAATGAATTAACTACAAATAGCCAAAGTTGTGAGAAATCGCTGTACTTTCTGTTCGCCCTATTCTTCTTCTTTAAACTTTTAGCAATTACTAGTAATCTAATGTTTCTCGTAATGAAAAGTTACTCCTAGGAAAACCTATTACCGACATCAAATCAGCCTGGAATGACTACTTTGATATGATATTCAAAAACCCGCTGAAATAGTCTCGAAATAAGACATATATATTTTCACTTAGATGAATTCAGATAATAATTCTTTCTTACAACAAAAAGGTATAAATGTAATTTTCTTAGAGATTTGATCAATCAGTTTCATTCTTAAAGGGACAGATGCACCATCTTTTGGGGTTGATTAGAGTATTGAATATATGAGAATCGCGAATTTCCTTCAAAAATAAGACAAACTACGAAATTCTGTTCTCATTTCGACACGTGTCTTTTCTTCATATGGCAGTGTCTTAAAAAAGACATTCGTCTTTTTAACTTTCAATTAAATGCGGATAATTCTTGACACATACGGATTCGAAGGCTCAAATTACGACGGTGGGCTGTGAACATTATTACTGATTGGTTAAGCTAAAGGATTCCCAATTCTGAGACAAAAGTATTATTGGTCAAAATAAAAAAAACAATGGCGCATCTGTCCCCTTAAATACAATGCACGTATGGGACATATCATCAATTCAAATGTGAAATTGTTTATAATTCCTAAAGGTCAATATCGTTATAAAGCCAGTGAACTATGCAAGGAATTAACGAATAATCTATCATTTTCCAGTCTGGGTAAATGATTAAATCCAACATGTAATATGTTAGGTGCCGCATGGGATTCCCTTTTATTTTTTCGTCTATAGGTCACAATAAAGTGCTCATTCTTCAATTCCATAAGGGTTTAAGTATGTCAAATTTGCCTATTAGAATGCAGATTGTTTTAAATGTTGAAATGCCATGAATGTAGACCTTTATTGAGATGGATTTGAAATCTTTTAGCAGCAAAATCCACACCACTATACATCTTTACCATGACATCTCCATCGACCTGCATCGCCAAAAAGGGAAAACTGGATTGAAAAATACTGCATACTTTCTGGTTAATCGATCGAGAATCCCGAAAACTGAAATGGTTCGGAATGAAATCGCATATAAAACAACAATAAGCCTATGGCCAACAGTGACGATATCACACTCGTATATCAGAACTGAGATAATGTGATAATAATTCTGTCTTTATGATACTAGCCTCTTACTGATATTTTCGTTTTTATTAAAAGATTTTGAAAAAAATCCTTTAGAATTCAAGTTAACATTATTTGTTCTAGATCAGCCTTGTTACTTATTGTGTTAATTTGGATTTTTTCCAGTACATCATTCACTTAAGAATTTTAAATAAACCTGAAGATGGCAACCCTATAGATTATTTTGTTAAATTAAACTTTGAAAGACGAGATGAAACGGTGATTGAGGATGTTTTCTCTGTCTTATCATTTCAATACACAGGTGAATTCTAAATTATATCACGTAGGATTTCAATTAACTTCAGATAACCGAAATTTCATTCCGAGCCAATACCAGTCGATGCTCATATATTGTTTTTGGTTGAACCTCTAATTGATATAATATGTATACCAATATAGTCATAAATGCTTTATAAACTGGTCAATAGAGAAGATGAAAATGGCATCACTTCTAATGATGGTATGACCAACAGGTATATCTTTTTTATCAATTTTGCATGAGGCATTTGCATCATTTGCATTGATCTACGACCCTTTATATGGGTCTGACTTGTCTTCTCCACCATCTTTTTTGTCTCGAATCTGATTCGACATGTATTCGCAATGAGGCATTCGACAAGATCGGATTCGGCCACAAAACGCATTTCTCATTTTCACACATAATGTAAGTATAGAAAAAGATAAACTTTTCCCCGAAGGAGATCTGTAAGCAAGTAAAATAGTCTAATTCGGACGTTTTTTTAGATCCCATTTAACTTTTTGTGCTTTGATGTAACTCTCATAAAAAGTGAGATAGTCTACTAATTAAAAGTCAAGTAATAATTTGTCTGAATGATCCTAATCCTAGCAATAGCTTACAGGTTACTTGACTTGAAATGAAAACTCCCCTAACGAGAAACAATCTAGCATTTTTATCCCGCATACCGAAGCCAAAGTATTAATGGTATTCCTTCAGGAAGTAATTTTCCACCTAACTATTGGTAATGCCACGGTTAGAAATTAAATATCAGTCAGGTCTTCTAGAAATAGCACCAGTTGATGTATAATCTTAGCCGGATAGTTTGATAATCCACCTGCTGTTTCAACTGTCATTGTGTTATCAATCATTATACCTTAATGATGTTCTGTTGAACTACTTCTATTATAATGGTGAAAACATAACTTCCTAGTTGAATTGAGCCAGTATTTGGCTAATAAGCGTCGGATTTAGTTACGAATAGTAGATTAGAGGTTCTTTTGACCATTGAAGTCGCCAAAGGCCGTGCAGTGTACGATGAGAAATTGTTTTTTTTTTCTTTATAACAATTTTATAGAAATATTAAAACAGAAACTGACTGTTGTCAGAAAGATCGGAAAGGACTTTACCTTATACTTTCCTTTTTGGGATGGATATATAACGTGTGCTTCGGTTTGCTATACCTTAATTGATTGTCTCGTCTAAAATACTACATAGACCATAGACTTTATTAGCGTCTATTTCGAGTGAAACTTTGTTGAAAATGGAAGGGAGCTATCTCTGTCCATGCTTGTATGGAAACACGGGCCTTCAATGGGGGAACAATAACAAGTTGAGCCTAATGTCTGAAACATTGCTGCTCCTGCTCACAAGAAAGACAGCCTTTCTGGATTAGTATTGAGATCATCCTTGCCTTGGCCCTAATTGGTACTAATTCACACATCAATGATATCAAATGCGCTGCGAATTGGTGCAACCTAGAATCTAAAAAAATGCCAAATCTTACTAAAATATATAAGACCAAGGTACTGCAAAAATGTTGGCGTTATTTAAGAATACAGGATGTTGCATCGAGTTGGGCAAACATTCCAATCGCCTATATAGTATCATATATCAATGGTTATCCTTGAACTCTTTGAAGAAAACTGACAAAGAAATTGTGAGAATGATGGTAATTACCTATAGAAAATTGACAATGACAATTACAAACTTCTTCTAGCTTTAATACTTAGTTTGTTTTACACCGTTATTAATCAATATATTTCAGCTCTTTCTATCTTTTTCTTTTAGTATTTACCAGAACAACAAAAACTTGTCTTTTTTCAATTTTATAGGTTTTTTGTTGTCATTAGTAATAATAAAAAACGTTTCCAGGGTGATTTAGATGAAGTCCGTATAATGAAAAAGTGTGGTAGGAAGCTTTTGAAAATGTGGCAACAGACTTTAAGATTTACACTGGAAATGTAATATTACAAACGTACTGTGGCGTTTCTAGAACACATTTACTCGAGAGGACCGTATACAAATTTTGAAAGTGGAGGGCCGGGGAAACGCCACTACTCATGTCACCACGTAATTTGATAAATACGATGAACAGTCAAAGGTCAATGATAAAGTGATAATGCATGCTTAATATAATTTAGAAAATTGAAATAAACTCGAATTCAGCATTAAGATCCTCGAGGGATTATAGTGGGTGGCTTAGTAGCTTGTCTCAGCAGATGGCACGTCTCTGTTTCTCACGCAAAATTAACTAAATACCTTGTTAAGGTTGTAATAGATGAACCATTGTTGAAAATTAACAACAAGGGAAATCTAGTCGTGAAGTTATCAACTCAATACTTAATGGTTTTCAAATACAGAAGTATGTAGTACATTTTTTAAGATATTCTGTTACTTGTGTTTGATGCAAAGTTGGTCCTATAGTCTATGCGATAAACGCTAATTTGTTAAAACTTTTTTACATTCACAGTTTGACATTATTAACTTGGTGTCCTTAACGTAAAGGTTCGGGATAATAGCTTCAAAACATGAGAAGTTGTCAAATAATGCATATAAAGGCATGTTCAGTTCTATTAATGCCAGTGGGTCAACTAGATGAGTGGATGCCCCTTACCCCGGGAATTCTCTCCTACATTCTGAGACCCCTCTGTATATTGATTTACTGCTTGTTAATTCATTCATTGGCTTCATTAACTCTGTTAATAACAGTCTGATTTTCTAAATCTAATTACCAGAGGCCTTAATTTGGCACGCTTTTTTCAGACAATAATACAAATATTTCTGGAGGTTGTAAACCAGCACATGCAAGCAACCGCGTGAACCTTTGAAGTTTCTTTGATGAAACTCGCCAATATGAGAGAGAAATATGTTAGATAATATGGTTATGCGAATCTGAAAAGAGTTTGAAGATAAAGAGTAAGCGCCAAAT